TATAGTCTCAAACTTATTTTATATTTAAACCTCCTCATTGTCTGAAGATAATTATTTCCATTATAAGATATTTTAGAACTCTTCTATTGTTTATTCAATGTTTTTGAAATGCTCAAATATTTAATTAGTGCTTTTCTATTTCATGAAAATACTCAGTAAAATAAGCTAGCACTTTAATACATGGTGCTACTTTAAAGGAAATTATAAGTATCTATCGTGAATTTCAATTACACTATGAATTTACGCTTCTATTTCTTTTGCACTCAGTTTATCCAAAGATAAGATCAGATACTTATCCTAAACCAAACCGTAAATCTCATCCTTTTTGCTCTTATTTAAAGCTTTGATCAAATCCCCAAGTAATTTAATTGCCTTACTCTATCCATCTGTTCTCATCAAACCCTAAATGTGAATAATCTATTTTCCGAACTTATCCAGCGACACCGATGTCTTCATTGTAATTGGCTATTTAAAATACAATGTTTGAAATGTCTGACCCAGAGATTCATTTAATGTTTAAAATAAACTCAAATCTTCCTCAGATCTCACTTGCTGTTTACTTTTTATTCTAATAAAAGCCTTCTTCAATTTTGAAATAATTTGAATTTTTTTAGCTTAATAATGCATTTGGATTACAAAATTATTACACTTGGCATAGGTTAGTGTTCTATTAGAACGTTCGATAAATCTAATAGCACTTAAATATTATCCATTAAATTCAAAGATAGACCCTATTATAAACTACAATTTAGATATTATCTTCTTCTTAAACTCTTTCCCATTCCTATACTACTAATTCATATCATTAGCATAAAATAATGCAATGTTCATAGCATGACCTATATCATCTTGCAGAACATGAATCTATAATTACTATAACACTAGAAACACTACTTCTTCTGCATAAATGTGAAATGATCTTAACATCAATTCTTAAGCTCTTTTAAGACATGATAATGAATTTTCTTAATCATGCATATCAAAGTAACTCATCCCAAGTAGGAACTCTACTTTGGCTTTATTGCTTGTAGCCAAATTTTTAACGCTTACATCTTTATATCTTATTTAGAATGGATTATACTCTGATTTATCTGCAATGTCACTTTAATCTTCTACCTACTTATATTATGGAAAGAACTGATTGTAAATTACTAAACTCATTTCTAAATTAAGCATAGCTGAAATTGGGGCTAAACTTAACCTTGCTATCTCTCCACTCACTAAGAGTGAATAACCATAAGACAATGATGCTTGGTGCTGGTTTTTCAATTAAAATCCTATTGCTTTCTAGATTTTGCTGATGGCTTAAAAATAATTGTCTGAATGAAGATAAGACAAAGCTGACCATACTTATAACATCACATGCTTTTTTTGTTCAAGTAACCCCTTTGCTTAATTTTAACTCCTTAATCTATGATCCATTTGCATTTTCTGTTTCAGTTGATTAGAAATACATTTCGATAATTAATTTAAAATCACTATTGGCTTTTTTTAAGATAAAGTCATAATCTAAAATAACAGAGTAATATGAAAATTATCAACACTATCATCTTTAACTTTTTTAATAAGATCAATCACCTTGTCCATTTTTTAGGATACCCTTATTAATTTCTCCTGCCAAGAATCCTCTCGATTCTATTCTTTAATAAAATAGAATATATTCAGTATTTCCACATAACAATTTTAAAATATTGGCTTCTATAAATTTTGAAACTTTTCGTAATAGGCTTGAAATCTGTTTGAATAGAGTAATGACTGATATATTATCTCCATGTAGGTTTAATCAATCTCAGATAGCTTACTCTTATTTTGAGCAATTTATTTGTAATCCTCACAGATATTTACTGGAAAACTTTCCATTACTTTTGCTTCGTTTAAATCATCCAAATCAACAGAATTAGAATTAGACAATTTTTGCTATTCAACTTATTGATCCATTTGCTTTGAATCTTACTAAAAATCTATTTCATATAATTCTTTTCGAAGACTCTCGACAACTTATTTGAGATCCTAAATAAATTTATCAACATCTGCCAGATCATATGAATATATTGCCATTTTAATGAATTCAAGTAAGTAACGATCTGAATTGTGGCTGAATACCTTCTCAGCCAATAAGCAATAATTCTTTTCATCGTCTAAAATCTCTCCATGCTCTTTTTTCAAATTTGCAAAGTATTTTTTCCTAATTGTTATTATGGTTCTTAAGTTTTAACTCTAGACTTTTTTGAAATAGATGATAAGATCAACAATTGCAAATAAATCCTTCTTGAAACTTTTAACGAATGCCTTATACTTCTTTTCTTCCAAAGTCTTTAAGGCCACTTCTGGATTTTGACCAAATTATACGAGTATTTTCATTCTACCAAAGGATTCTATTTTAAAACATTTATATTTTGGAACATAGAATATTGTCGATAACGTGAAATTAAGTCTGTAAAGATATTTCTCATAGCAACCAATAAGAATCTATATTAAATTTAATGACAGTTTTTTATGTAAGGTGTTGCTTAACTCACTTTTGTCCTTCAGTAAAATCTGTTAAAGATCTTTCAGAGAATACGATAGTTTATCATAGAACAATGCCAATCTATACATATTAGGTTGATCAAATTAGGGAGGTATATCAAACAAAAAAGTAGTATTGGTAATAAAAACTAAATACTAATCCAGGTTTTGGTGATAGTGCTATAGGATTAAGTGAAATAACACATTCAAAAATCTTGATTGTTGCTCAATATCTACTACAGTTATTATTTCAAGCATCTCTAAATTGGAAGTCACAATATAATCATTTTAATTTTTTTGATTTGCATTTTATTCATGAATTACACTCTATTTTTTCTTTAATTTCATCTGATATTATTTGAGTGAAATGATCCTTTCAACATTAAGCAAATTCTCAAACGAAATAAAACTATTTGGGCTTTCCTTATCTATATTGAAATAATTATCAGTAGAAAAAAAAGTAGGTATTCGAGAATATGAATTTGCCTCTTTAAAGGTATCTGGTTTCAAATGGAAGAGGTCAAAATCTGCTTAAGTGATCAGGATTCCATTTACATGAGCATAATGTACACAATCTTTAATTTTTGTTCCAATTGTGATACTATAATATTTTTTTTGGTCATCTTGGATTAATTCCACAATCAAAGAGAAAACAGTAAGTACGTGATCGGACCTTCTATAATAATTAGCATCATCTTTTGTGGACTTTGTCTTCTTTTTAGAGGCCTTTGCCTATTAGGGCTCACTCTTCTGAACTTCTTGTTCAGTTTAATGAATTGTAACTTAGTTTCCATTTGTGTTAAGTGTAGATTATTGGTTACAAATAGAACGTCTCGTTGTATGTTACACTTGAAGCTCCTCCTCTATCTTGAGTTATTTCTACTCAGCAACTGTTTTCTCTATTTATAATTATATTCCTGCTTCCTTATCTGATTTTTTCGAACCACAAATTCCCATTAATATTTAAATAATTGATTCTTCTCATAGATTATCCTAAATATTTAAAGAAAGAAATTAGTAACAACGATAATTTATTATAAAATTCAAGTTAGAAACTGAACTTAAATAATTTCATCTCCATTCTCTTTCCTTTAGAGGTTCAGTACCCTAAATAAGCTATAAGCAAGGGATAGATTGAACTAAATTCATATAGGTAAAAAAACGATAATAATTCTAAAATAAATTATTTAATTCCAATAAATATAATGTAATTTAATTTTTTTTATTTTTTATTTGTTTAAATTGACCCGCACACATATTTTAATTTTTAAATAAAATTTATGATTCTCTCAAATACTTGCTCTATTAACTAACCAATCAATTAAACTATTTTGATGTATCTTTGAGTAATCCCATTGTAATTTTAGATAAAATTTAATTTATCCATTCAAGGAGAGATATACTTTAATTTAAAATTTTTTAAACTTCTTTTGTATGTTATATTCTTTTCAGGCAATTAATTTGGATAGAATTTCAATTCTATATAATTATCCTTATTGGCATAACCATATTATGTTTTATATCATAGTATATATGTTTTCAATTTCAACTTCCTAAATAATTGCTGTCAATGTGAAATTTCATATTATAAAACGATTCTATTCTGATTCAGTTGATATTAATTATTCATCTTCGATTATCAAATAGTTAAACTCTATTTTAATTTATCAAAATGTTATTAATTTAAAAACACAATATGAAATTTAAAAAAATAAAAGCTATGCCTCTTTAATACTTACTATCTATGATTATTAAATAATAGTTTTTGAAATTTCTTATTTCATTGAATAATTTTCAACCTAATTAAATAAACTTTTTGATAAATAAAAAAAGTCTATAATCTTTAGATATAAATTCCCATTTAGGTTTATATATATATCTAAATGAAATTGTGTTAAATATTTGAACATTTCATATTTTTCGAGTAAATAATTAAATTTGAGATTTATTATATTTCAGAAAATATTTGTACGATCCATTATGGATATTCATAAAAAGCGATCCAAATTACAATTAAATTCGGAATTTCATTTAGTAAGAGGCAATTTATCTAAGTAAAAAGATTCAATAATAATAAATATGGTTATGGCAATCAACCAGAAATTCGTGTTGATGTTTGAATGTATATTAATACGATCTAAGATAAAATGAAATAAAAATAGTAGGTATGTATATAGGAAATGAGTAAGAAAAGTTTAATTCACAAATGGGGTGGTTAGTAAGGTACTTTGTATTTATCTATATAATTAAATAACTTCTCGTTGATTACAATACTAATTCTTTGGATGTTATTTTAAAATTGGAGAAAGTGGAAATTGCCTCAATGCAAGGGTTGTTAATGTTAACTCATGATTGGATAAGAAATTGGATATGATAAATTTAGAACTGAAAAAAAGTTAATCACAAAAGAACTCGAATAAGTTTTTGAAGTTACAAAGTGATGCTATGTTAAAGAAGAATTAATAAATTGAAATATTATTATTAATAATTAAATGACTCACAGGTACTAGTATGGTTATAAGAAGTCTTACAGTAAGTTATTTGAGATGAATTGTTAGTTGAAACTCCGAAACGCTATTAATATCAATCAATGGATCGATTACCAAAATTGCCATCGATTACTTCTGATGCTAAGTAAGAGTGTAATCTTATTCAGACAGTCTTGGAAAGTAGGTCGGAAGGAATAATAGACAAATTTGGGAGTTATGAGTTTGCCTGGTTAATTGATGAGTGGAAAGTAGAAGATTAATTAGGATGCTTTCATTATAGAGAAGAGACTTAACTTTTATGGAGTGGCTGATGGACATGGAGTGAATGGTGAACGTGTTTCTGGGTTTATTCGGATCACTCTACCAAAATATATTGAACAAAGTCTTTTAGATCCAAAAGAGACATTGATAAAAGGTGTTTTATAGACAAATAGTGAATTGGTGAATAATTCAAAAATTGAAACTGTCATAGCAGGTTCAACGTTGTGTTGTGGTTTGATCAAATTAAATAGATTATATATAGCAAATGTTGGGGATAGTAGATGTGTTATAGCAAAGTAAATGGGTAATTCTTGGTAAACCATTGAATTAACAAAGGATTAAAAACCATCTCGAGAAGATGAGGCAATAAGAATATTAAAGGCAGGTGGACGTATAGCTGCTCAATAAGACATTTATGGTAATTAAGTGGGTCCACTTCGAGTCTGGTTAAAAACATTGAATGCACCAGGACTAGCTATGACTAGGGCAATGGGAGATAGATTGGGTGCATAGGCAGGAGTGATAGCTACACCTGAGATCACAGAGTATGAATTAACAAATGAGGACAAAATCTTGGTATTTGCTTCAGATGGGATTTGGGAATACATGTCTTCTCAAGAAGTAGTTTCAATTTTGAGTTATTGTTACGATAAAAATATAAGTGCTGAATTGGCAGCATAAAAATTACTAAATTTAGCAGTGGATGCATGGAAAAGAAATAGTTTAGCCAGAGATGACATTACTTGTGTAGTCTTATATTTGTGAATTAATTACATTTCATAATTGTTTACTTATATCATATTGAGTAATTAACAATATATGTTGTAATTAGTTAATAGATTTATATAAATATATATAATAAAAAAGAAATAAATTAATTCATTCATTTTAACTCATAAACTAATTAGGAATGATATCATCCTTATCTTTCTCATATACAATTTTTAAAACTCCATTTTCTATTCCAAAATGTTTCCATTTTCGTTCGAAGTTTTCTGGAATTCTAAAACTTAATGTAAATTCACCATATTTTCTCTCCTACTTTTTGATATGATCACTTTATTCTTCCTAATAGGGTTTCTTTCGGTTTCCTTTAACTATAGTCACAACATTTTATCTATACATTTCGATATCTTCTTCGCTTATTCCTGGTACATCCATATAAATAGTATATTTATCATTAGCTATGATATCTGTGGCAGGTGCAAATGAATCTGGTCTTGCTAATATCAGACCAGATTGATCAATATTAGTTTAAGGGATTTTTAATTGTCCATTATATAAGTGGGCCTCCTTTTACACAATCTTCTTTACGAATTAATTATCTGTGTCAATCAACTTTACATTAACTTCCCTCTTAAAATACTATGTTAATTTGCTGGTTGCATATTACAAGATACTTTCACAAACAGAAAATTATCTGTTAACAGGTACAAATACTGATTTTAACCAATATTTCAATAATGAAAATACCCAAGGATTTACATCTAATCCTAATTAACTATCATCACTAACCAAACAGACATGTCTTGTATATTAGGTTTTGAACCATAATACATGTTTAGCTTATAACTCATTATTTCTTGGATTATTGGCTGCAACTTTGGTTCTTTGAATAGATCCACCAGTAGAATAAATTTAAGTCACTTGAGTTATCCAAACATGTTGTAAGATTTCAGAAGTCTCAATTTCCTTCAAATTATGAACTACTATGATTTCTCTAAATGTCTTTGAACTATTCTATATTTGTCTAGACAATCTATCTAAATATCTCTGATCTAAAGAAGTGAAGTCATTTACAACACAAATGAAGTAATCACTCAATTCAAAGACAAGATCTATAATAAAATGCTCAGTTGCCTCTTTCTCTACTATGCTTAAAGCAGATTAAATTTTTACAGGAGAGTAACTACCTGCTGTATCAACTAAAATTAACTAAGTTCCTGAATCAACATCAACATGTTTGAAAGATATCCCTTTAGTAGTTACTTTTTTTCCTGATGGTAAATTTGATTGAGTTAGATTATTAAGAACAAATGTCTTCCCTTTATCATAAAGACCAACAACTGCCACTGTGGCACCTTCCCATTTAATTGAAGACTTAAATTCATTATTGTTATTCCCTAAACCCACTAAATCCATTTTAGCCTGGAATGGCTTGCTGATATAAACAGGCCAACCCAATTGAACATTGTTTATCAAATCAATGTCCAATATCCAATCGTACACTTGAGTCTCATCAATACCATCTTGAGTATTATATTTTATTGGATCATTAAAGATATTATCTTAGATTTTATCATACAATCTTGATTACTCTTCGAAATCATAGCTAGTTATAATATTAGATTAGATGTTATTATTTTCCATATTCAAATTATGATTATTCTCTTTGAATTATAGAAATCTTCCAGTCTATCTCAAAGATCGAGTCTTTTAAAATTTTTGTGATGTTTCCAACTCTTTTAAGGCATTCCTCATTTGGCTATCTAGATTGGCTTATTGTTATAACCTGTTATTATATCGGATAAATTACAGATACTCCTCTTGTTGATTAATTTCATCCATTATCAACAATTTATCGTTATTTCGTACACTCATTTCATAATTAATCATTTCCATTATCTCATACAATTCCTCTATTGATCTTGCTTCTTTTGTCATTTTATTGAATTATTTCATAATCTCCTCCTCCTCCTATTAGATATCTTTCAGCATTGTAACCAGTGTCTGAATTTTCTATTTCAATAGTATTCTTACTTAACTTTTATCAGCAATCACTTATTTTAAAGACACCTCTTTGAATAACGATGACATTTGTATATTTTTATTAAATAATAAAATGCCATAAAATCTCAAGTAATATAAACTATCATTACCCTAGATTTCCCTAAAAGTATTTCAAAGTATAACAAGTAAGAATTAGTAATTATTAAACTAATCCGTTGATTGAGATCAGAATTTAAATTAAAAATATTCTCTCAATCTAAACAATCAATTTAAAACATCAATTACTAATTCTTTATCAGAGTATCTTATTCCTAGAATTTTCAAAGCGATCCATAATATTTTTTTGACAAATTTATTAAACCTAATTTCATCCTTGATGTAAAATAAAGTATAAGAAAATTACTAGTCTTAAGCTTTCCTTTCTAAATTTAGAACTGGTAATCAATAGTACTTTCTGTTTGTTAATTAAAATAAATTAAAAGTTTTGTTTGAAAATTATAAATTGAAATCCTGTAAATTGTAACAGAACAAAATTAAGTAAACAGTCAATATTTACTATACTCAATTTTAAGAAACAAAATTGCAATTTGTGTCACTAATTTCATCTTTCTTGGCTGGCTATTAAATTGAATTGAATATTAAATAAAACTATTTATAATATTTAGAATAAAATCAAAACTACCTTCAATTACAATTCTCATAGATATGAAATTCAAGAGAAAAATGATTAGTATTATTTCAATTGAATAATAAGTTGTATAACAATAAAAAAATAGTTAATAATATGATAAAATCAGGATTTTAGTTGATCTTACTAATATTGGATATCATTACTCAAAATATCCCTGTAACCTCAAATCTCTGTAATAAATTTTAGCAATTCCATTAAGTAAGTTTAATTTTAGACAAATCATTTGGGTCTTTAAATATATATATATGTAATTGATATCTATTAACCATAATTAATATTTTAATATTATGTTTGTTCGATTGATATCGAGAATGGCAATGCCTATTTTAAGATGTTAGAGATTTTAATTCAGCCCAGCTTTGACGATCTTGAACAATAGATTAATAATTCATAATTTAACGTAAATTAGAATTCCCATAATGGACGAGTTAACAGAATCTGATTAAGATGAAGAATTACAGTATATCTAAATTAATCAACTTAGGGATGGCCTCAGTTTAACATCTGCATGATTCTTATGAAAATATTCAAATCATTATTATATTAATTTTTAGCTGTTATTCGCCTTAGCACAAAAGAATCCGAGCAAACTATATCAAATATTCCACTTTTTAATATTCTAGATATACATTAAGCATTGCTCTAAATTAGATTGTTATATAATTTATAACACATTAAAAATGAATATTAGGTATATAGAGAGAGTGAATACAATTATATATCATATTCTCTTTATTCTCCATTCAAATCGAAACGAAATCCTTATTTATGAATTATTTAAATGGATTTAATAACAATTTTAAGAGATATACAATAAGCAAAGATATTAAAAATCCAGTTGAAAATAATAAAAGTTCTGTTTGTAAATTTTAAGAGAGTTCAGACTACTCTCAAAATATAATATTTATCGTTTGCTAATTATAAATAGTATTGAATAAGTAAATAATTTATTAATGTTAAATTTTTATATATTTACTATTATTTTTATATTTTTGAGAAAAAGTCAAATTTTTTAATAAATATCGATAGGGTAGTCCAATCGTATACCAAATATAATCATGAATTCATATTAAAAAATAATATATTTGTTATCAATATGGGATGACATCATAATAGCAACATGATCTATTCAGCAAATTGGTAAAATTTCTAGTTTTTCGTCTTAAACCAGAATTTGCTATTATTTTTATTTTACACATTCTTGCAAGAATTTGTATTATAAATAATTTGAGAGGTTGGTAATTGGCATAATATTAATATTGGCAACAATCTAACGTATTGGCAGATTTTATTAATTCAGTTATAGTTCACAGTACTTCACAAAATTTTTATTATTTCTTCTATGAAATAAATTAGAATTGGCTGTCTTTGAAACTTCAAAAGATATTATTATAATAAATATGGGACAACATAAAAACTTTGATTACGAAGATCACCAAAAAAAATTAATTTTAACAAAATGAACAAGAATTTCATTAAAAAATAAAATAATTCATTCTGATTTTTATAGTTTTCCACCCACCAAAGAGACAATATTAATATTTCTCTTATTTTTGAGATTGTCTAAAGGAAGAATTAAACAAGGTTTCTTGGATTTGAAGATAAGTTTTTTCCTTACCACTTTCTTTCTATAATTAAGAATGATTGTTTTGGCAGTAGCGTACTTTAGTTATAATTATTAGGCTGCCTACGTTTACAATTACTCATACTTGCTTAATCTTCAACCCATTTTGAAAAACTTTTAGTATCAAGGATTTCTTTGTGTAAGGAGGAATCTTTGTATAACTCCTATTCTGTGAACTTTATTCTGTCATGATAAAGAAAATATTCAATTTAGATTTAATTTTTTGTAGCATAAAACGTAATGAATAATTCGTATCTATAATTGATAAATATGATATTGTTAATTAATTATATTGTGAAGTGGAATAAATAATTATAAAGGTTCTCAATATATTAATTTTGATTGAAACGTTATTCAAATTTATATAAAGTAAAAATTTAATTAGTTTAGAATTCTATTCTCATTCAGAAGCACATCCGCTAATCTTTAATTTTGTAATTTCAAAATTTATTGTAATTAATAAATAAAATCAATATATTTATAATAATAATTATAATAATTAATGAGTGAAATACAAGAATTAATAGATAATTTCGAAAGAATAGAAATCAAAGAAAATGATAAAAAAGAGGACATAAAGGAGTAAAAAATAGAATAATTGAATAATCAAGATGAATCAAAGGATACAAGTATTAAAGAAACAAATGATGATTAAAAATAATAATAAGGATAGCTCTAGCAATATTAAAACAATAAAGAAGAATCAAATAATCAAAACAATACTAAGGACCTTAATAATGATTAATTCAATGAAAAATAGTTAGAAGAAGCATTCACTAATAAATTAGTTATTCAGGAATAAAATAAAGGAGAAAAAAAATAAGAATAAGATTAAACTAACAATGATGATTAATTATAGAAATAAGAACATACGGTTATAAAAGGTACAATGAGAAGTGATGGAACCATGAGAAAAGATATTAAAGTAAGAGCTGGATATAAAAATGCAGACATGGTGCAAAGATATGTGATACCTTAAAAAAGAAAATGACTCTATACTTTATAATTAAAGATGATATAATAATAATAACTTGAAATTTTCAGTTTTTCTAAAATCAATCAAGTATATTGACTTCATAATTGGAAATTGACTGAAATATTCTTAGTATTTTAATATAGTGTATCAGAAAATTAATGATTAAGATGGAATTTTCAGTATTGCTTTTTAAATTATATAATTAATTATTCGTTTTAATTCACTTTTGTGTTTTTCTGAGATTAATATCATTAATTTTAGATTCACCTTGATTATTTCTTTAAGTCAAGAGGTACTGTTATAAACAATAAAAATAATGTATTATCATATTATCTGTAATTCATAGGCTTTTAAAATATTTGAGAAATCTAATAATAGAAATTTGAATAGCATGAAGCTTAAATAATAGCATTAAATACATATTAATAGTCTCATCCAAAGTAAATGTTTCAATAATAGTATCTTAACTTTTGTAGGTAAATTCAATAAGTAACCAAAATATTTATTTTAACCTTAAGATAATTTTATTTTCTTCAATATGAACATTTAACTCTTGAACTCTGCGACTTTGACCTGCTTAGAATAGTAACTTAAATTAGACAATATAAAGCCATAGGATTATGGTTTCCTCCTATTTTGACTTTATTTTCATTATCGACTCCCATTCGTATTTTGGAGATGCCTTATAAGTGTTGGCAACAATGACAGCAAATTGTAATTTAAATATTGCTATCCCTATAAAATAAGAAAGTTCCTTTGAAAAATTATGGAGAAGTAATATCTCAGGGTATGAAATTTATAATTTATATAAAAAGATATATGATCTAATTTAGAAATATAAATTCAGTAAACGATTTAAGTGATATTTAATTTAATCATTTAACTTTGAGTAAATTTCTTATAGTTTCAGAACTAATTGAATTATTTTAACTGCCTTTTTTTGCACTACTACTATGTTTTGTTTAACTTCTACTTGGTTTACTGGATTGAATATTGCAAATTTCTGCTAAGGTTTATCTTCCTTTCATCATGTATTAACTAATTTAGATATTGTTCGAGCGTTAGCTTATTTAGGCTTATTGTTATTAAAGTAACTTATTATATCTCTTGAATAACTCATCACAGGAACTCCTATGTGAGGAGTACCCATGCTAAGACAACGATTCTTTGTTCTTTGGTGATGCATTCCTTTGGGTCAAAGAGGCTTCTTGACTCTTCTCCTTCCTCTTCTAAGATTCTGATAACCACTATTATACAATATTAGTACTATATCGAGATATTTCCGATTGCAATCTCTTGATTTCTTGAGATGCCTCGTCTAATTTGGATTGCAACTAATCCTAGTACAGCTTCATCTATTGTTCCAACTAGTCATTGATTAAGAAATTCTAATTACACTAATGTGATTTCGAATGTCGGCTTCCTGCTATTGCAAAACGGATTCCAATTTCTTGTATTCCTGGTTGCTATTCATAATTTCTCTAAATGCCTTAGTAATTCTCTGTATTAAATCATTGCAGCTGTAGTACTCAATTCGCAAACATTTTTCATTTTTAAAGTTGAGCATCTTTGTTTAATAAGGTTTTGATACTTCTTCCAATATGGCACGTAATCCAGACACTATTTCTGATTTCTCTTATCTGTTCATTTAACGAAAATAATTAAAAGTAATTTAATTAATTATTTAAATGGAGGAAGAAGACTGCACTATCTTTATTGAAGAACTCAAAAGTGATGATCCAAACCTGAAAATCAATGCAGTCACAAAAATAGTATCAATAGCACAAATTCTTGGTCCAGTCAGAACATGCTCTGAACTCATTCCATACTTAATAGACATTATTGAAGAATAGGATAATGAGGATGAATTTCTAATTAAATTGGCCCAAGAACTTGTGAATCTGAAACCTCACACAGGGACTAATGCCCACCTCTTAAATGTGCCTTTAGAAATTCTGAGCTCGATGGAAGAGCCATTAGTGAGGGAAAAAGCTGTAGAATCATTGTTATTGTTAGCAGAAGATATGCCAGACAGTAAGAATTCAATAAAATAATAAAAGGCTTTTTTGAAAATCACTTCTTTTAGATTGTCTAACAATTGGGATAATGGGACAATTTCCCATCACGTATTTCTGCAGCTAGTCTATTTCCATTAACTTATAAACATGTCTCATTTGAAAAGAAAAACATACTTTGGGAGTTATATAAACAATTATGTGGAGATGACACGCCTATGGTGAGAAGAGTCTGTGCTGGTGTGTTGTCTGATCTAGCCAAAATAAAATGTTAACCTTAATAGTTACTTACAATTTGGGAGACTTTACTTAAAGATCCTGTTGACAGTGTTAAAATTAAGGCCATTGAAGGTTCACAATAAATGCTTAAACTTATCGATGACAATAATGAATTAGACACTCATCTTCAAGCATATTTTTCATTAGCAGATCCTAGAGAAAAGAGTTGGCGAGTCAGGTACACTGTCCCAGAATGCTTAGAAAGTATAATTGAAGTAGTCGTCAAATTGAGTAACTATTTAATCTGAATTATTAGATAAGGATAAGACTATACTCAAAACTAAAGCTGTCCCTGTCTTTCAGCAATTACTCAAGGATCCAGAGCCTGAAGTCAGATCTATTACAGTGATGACTATTTATAATCTGTTGAAGGAGATACCAATTACATTGAAGGACTAATTTCTACCCTTCTTCTAAGCACTCTCCACTGACACCTCCTAACATGTACGAATGTCATTGGCTGAATAAATTTGCAAAATATCCAAATAGTATACAGTCTAAGTTGTAATACAAACCTTCATTCCTTTAATATCTACTTTAATTAAAGATGATGTTTCTGAAATCAAAATCAAATTGGCTCATAATCTAGATCAATTGTCTCAAACCATAGGACCTGAGAACTCTAAAAAACACTTGGTTCCTCTTATTTCTTCCTTTGCTACTGAAAAACAATGGAGATTTAGACTTGAGATGATGTCCATTATACCAAAACTTCTAAAAGTTGCAGGATATGATAGTTTTCTAGAATTGTAGGAGATTTATCTTGACAAAGGAGTTCTTAATCATTATTAAGCTATTAGAGACCAAGCAATTGATAATTTGGTGCCCATCTGTGAAAATTTTGGTTATGACAAAATTCGAGACTTTATCTTAAGATGCATTTCAAAATAATTCGAATAACCCAATTATATATTTAGAGTTTCAGCTATGCATAGCATTACTAAATTAAGAGATGTACTCTCTATTGATGATCTACTTAATTTATTTAAGGTAGTTTGAACCAGTTATCATTTTCTAGGATATCACTTCTAAATCAATCAATGACAGAGTGCCAAATGTTAGGTTGAATGCTTTTAAATTATTTAGTGCCATTCAAGATAAATTAGATTACAGAACATAAAATGAATTTAAAGATAAGTCAAGATTCTTATAACAAGATGATGATAAAGATGTACAATTTTATGCATCAACAATTTGAAATGCAATTTTCATTTATTAAATTTATTCATTTACTTTATTTATAATATAAATAATATATCTAATTGATAAAAATTAGTTCTGAAGTATGTTGTAAATTTCTTTAATTACATTATTTAAGTAAATACTATTTAACAATCAATCAGACATAATTAGATATAACTTTTATATAGAATAAAATATTTATAATATTATTAATATATATATAATTGAATTAAGTAATATCAAGTAGATGATTAAGGTTTGTAATTTTTAAAGAATTGTTTTTACTCATCAGTCATAGTTACATCAATTTACTTTGCATTGTTAATTATATTAGTAACATCAATTTATTATTGATCTTTGTTAAAGCCAGTGAAGAATTCTGAGATTTAGCCAATATCTTTTTAGTACAGGCAATGTCCAAATTCACTGAGAAATGCGATACTCAGTTTAATGATTGAAAATATATCAGTGGCCAAAATAAAGTCCCAAAAGAAAATCACAGTATCAATTGGAAACGTGTATAAAAACTAAGTTAAAATCCATTGCCAAATATACTATTAATCGCTTATGCCTTCATCGTAGAAATGTTGATAGAGTGCTGGTAGTTATGCATTAAAATTTTTTAAAAACACCTAACATAAAGCTTTGGTGTAATTAAAGTTGACTCTGTAGATCTCCCACCATAAGAAGAGAGGATTAGTATTGATGAAATGTATTAACCAAAAGACTTCCTCTTCTTTGCCTCCACTGACAATCAAGGAGAATCCAACTATATAATTCATTCCTTATACATATCCAATGTCTTCATTGAGGATGGATAAGGCCTTGAGAATTGAGAACAATTGTTATTGACCCTAATTGTAGTCCTTGAAGTGGTCATGCGAAGGGAAAGTCCGATTAACATCTTTGCCAATGTCTTCAAGGACTTTTTGAGAAGGAGTCTGATTTTTCAACTTTGAGTAAAGAAGGGGATCATAATCTTTGTTCCTATAGACCTGAGCCATCCAGAAATTCCATCTATATTTGGAGATGGCTCCATCCATAAGAATATTTTTAAAATCTTCGTTATTGATTTCTTTTAGTAGGTAAGCATCCATAATATCTTGATTTGTCAATTTAAAAGGGCCATCAAGTGATTAAGCTAGCGACATTAATATTTTTTTAGAGAACAGCTTGTTTGAATTGAGTTTTGGCTCTTTACATTGATCATCTTCATTAGTCTGTTATTCTAATTACTCAATGGATGTTGATCGTCTGAACAAAGCAATATATGTCTCTTCGTTTATAACTTCATATTTTTTTTGATAGTATCGATTCCATTTAATTTGTTTCTATGAATAAGCTGGATCATTTTTTTCAATTTCTTATTGAAATTCTTCACCAACATATTTGTGTGTGTTTGTAGTTTTTGGCGGCGCATTAGGAGTTGGTGTATTTCCAGGTTTTGCACTACCTCTGATGACAATCTTGTTTGTTTTATCTTTTGTACAGATAGGTCCCATTTAACTTAAATAATTTATATATATGTAAGAATATCAGTTTTTGTAGATCCTAATAACATCTTGGATTTTGGTTCTGCAGATGGGACAATCCTTCAAATTCTTGCTGCATTTGAGACAAGCAGTGTTATGTTTACAGGGCATGTACAGAGCATCCCGATCATTTTCTATGCAAATTATACAACTATTCTCATTATTCTTATCAGCAACCACCTAAGTAGTTCTTTTACATTAATAAGTAGAAGTGGTTCCAATCTTGAATACTGTTTGGTTCTCTAAGGGATATAACTATGAGAACTATCCTTCTTTAGACAACCTAATCCAGGAACTGTTAATCAAATAAATTAAAATACCCATTAGTGGATCCCATGTCCTCCAAATAGACACGTCCCTCAATAAGACAAATCTTGGCATGTATATTTGAGAGATGATGATCTTCACTGAAGGTGAGATCTGCAGTTTATTTTCTACCTATTGTTGTAACACACTTTTAAGGATTCAAAGCAATTATGTGCTTTTCAGATGAATTCAACCCCTCCACTATCAACATGACAATCTACATTAGGATGATAATAGCTTACTTCAACTATTTGATTATTCATACTCAATTGCTATATCTCAAATTGATTGCTTCCAAGCTCTATAATCATTCCAACTTTCAATTCCAATTTGCTCTCTACTTTGATGAAAGTCCCAGTTGTTGATCCTATATCTTTTATGAAAAACTATCCCATACAACATTAATTATTTACTTCTTTATTTTAAAACACAATTTCCGCGTGAAATCTACTTATACTTTCTTCTAATATCAAAATCTAGTTGTTGGAGTGCCTTCCTATTTTACCTCCTGATTCCTTAATACAATAGAAATTAGTCTATGGTCCTTCAGTAGGTTGAATTATGAGTTCATTTTATACTTGTGATTCTAAGTTTTCTATTTCTTATTCTAATTAATTGCCGGTTTATTATTTCTTTAAAAACTAAGGCTTGTTTTCACTATGTTATGATGCATCTCCTTACATTTCACATAATGGTTGTTGGAACTATTGAGATAACATTTCATTATTCTTAATGTAATTAGTCATCATATCATGTTACACATTTATTTATCCATATTGTGCTTGTGCGGATTCTGTATTTTCAAGTGAAGTGTTTTCTTATTCCATCCTATCACATCGCTTATCATCAATAAAAACTGATTTTATGTGTTAAGCGTACTCTTTTAATCCAATTTTCAACCCTTTCTTAAAATATTTATTTACAATGCATCAACTTTTTTCTAACTATCTTACTGTTGATTCCTAAATCATCAATGAGGTCGTTTTCTTCTATTAATTCCAAACAGGATCCATCAATTGAATTATTTGCTACTTCTAAAAATAAATACGTACTGAAAGTGCTTTCCAGAGACTACAATCCAACAAATTTAAGCCATTATGACACATCCTCCCGAGACCATTTTTTTGGTTCCTTGGGTAGAATGACAAAGAGAGTTTCATAATCCATATTTTATATTTTAAATTTAAAAGCACTAACTGAAAATAATTATTCACAAATATAATTCTTTTATCTTACTATTTGCCAAGTACACCAATTCTCGATTTGCAAATCTTTTAACATGGGTTGCTCTTATTATGCTTTTTCCAATCAATTCTGACTCTTTTTTCTTGATTTAGTACGAATATCCAAGTTATATCAAGGAATTGGTCTTGATCAACTTTCAGTGACAGTCTCATTTAATTCAGGAATCTTCGCTCAAAATATTTTTCAACTAACTCAATCTCATTATCATGCTTATCCTATATTTGCATCACATATAAATTATGAGTATCATTCTTAGATATCAAGAAGGGATTAAAAGTGAATGTATTACCATACTTAAAATCGCTATGTTAAATCTTCATAAACTTCAAACTTATAGTTGCTATCTATTTGATTCATCCTTTGGTAAATTCAGATAGTTCTAGCAAATAATTCTAGTCGCAAAAAATCTTTATCTAATTCCTTGGATTATTTTTTCTTCCTTTTCATATTAAATTTAGCTTTATCTAATATAAATGATTTTGGGCACACATTATAAGTAATAGTAATAAATCCTAATTCTCAATTAATTTTTTAGGATAAATATTTTTGAAGAATTTTCACATACGAACTCAAAGTATTCCAAAATTATCTGTTTTTTTGGTTCATCAATATCATCATCGTTTAACTATTATTAGTGTAAAGGCATCATCATTACAATTATCCCTTCTAAATCATGAAATCACAATTTGCAAACGAACATCATTTTTAGTGTCCAATTCCAATTGATAACTATATGGCTACTAAATATTGGGATAACTTAGGAATTTATTAATTATAAACCACTCTCTATGAAATCCAAACTGATTTAGAAAATGATGTAATGTTCTCTCATATTTGCACTTTGTAATTGATATTGATCCTTCTTCAATAAAAATAGATCCATTTGACTCTTGCTTCTACAATTACGAATTTTGAGGCATAGTGAATAAATTAATACAATAATTATTAAATATTATATTATCACTTGAATTATCACTTCAGTAATCCCTTACAAATTGAATTACTTTTTATGAAATATGAAGAGTATACTTAAAAATGATTTTATGATCATTAAGTCAACAATCGATCAAGAAAATTAATGATTTACATTAAAACCTAAAAATTTCAATATATATTATAATTTTATCCCTCCAATATTCTATCTCTAAATATCTATTCTGATTATTTAATAAAGTGTTAAAAAGACTGTTTTTTTAGCAGAAATTAATTTATTATGAATATAATGAGTCTTACATTTAATGTATCTTACTAAATATTTTGTTTTCTAAGCTATACGAGTCTCTTATTTACATATCACCTAAAACTTTAATGTTAAAAACACTTTTATATTGAGAGCATAAAGAATGTACATCCAAAGTAGTAAATACTCATAACAAAAATAGCTTTCTTAACATATATATTATAAATCATCAATTTTATAAGCTTAAAATACCAGGAATTTCCTTAAGCATAGTTTAGGCATCTGAGTTCTATTAGACATTATCATCTTTATTCTCCTCTTAATTAATAGGTTCTAGAAGCTGATTTTATACAGAGTCTGTTTTTTAATTTTATGCCTTTTGCATTTTTTTGAGAGCCCTATAGTTCTCTATGATATTCCTGAGTTTTGGGTCCTCCATCACGTCGATGTAATCCACAGGCTACGATATGATAGTATTAAAAGGTGCCTTGCATTCTTTAATATAATAAATAAAACAAAGGCGATCTTGGAATTTCTTAAGAGTATGATAATTTTATAAATTGTTCATGATTTGTTGATTTCTATTATAATATTATTAAATAATCTTACTCAAATTGATCCCTCATTAGTATCCATTTAGTAGCAGGTTTTAACTTCTTTAAGAAATTATAATATATTAAGGTCAATCCTACATTTCCCTATTTAGTGCCAAGGCATTATTTGGAATTCTTCAATTTATCTGCAAGATTAAAAAGGTCTCCAGCCACAGCTATATTTTTGGAATAAACCCATCCTACAATCATTTTGTATTTAGACTTGTTTTGAGTAAAATAGTCAACAACTGTTCTAACAGATGAATAATTTTCACAAGTAAGTGTAATCAATTCTGGCCTTGGAAGGAATTAAGCATATTGATGATCATATGTTAACAATTATGGTCGTATTAACCATGATTCTCTGATCTCATCTGGCCTCTTCTTCAATAATAGATTCAGTTCTCCTATATGTATCAATTATTTTTTCTCTTTGATTTTAGATATTTCAATCTAGGCCTAGGCTTCAGGACATTATAACAATGATTAACCTTATTTTCTATATTGTTAGAATAGCATATCCTACTTTTTTTGTTTTTCTGATTCATTATGGTACAATGATTTCTCATAAAGTATTGATGGAATTTATTAGGGGGCTACTTCAACAATTTTAATTGCCTATTATTGTTATTTTTTTTTCTTTTCAATAATGGCTTATTAATAACTCTGAGATTACTTGTTTGTTGAGCGATCTTTCACTTTCTTAATTTCTTCATATGTTAAACTATAATATATATAGATAAATACTTTTTCTATTTGTTTAATTTGATGATTTCTTGAACATTCTAAATCTCTTTTAAGTATTTCTCTTTATTCAAATTCATTTCCAAAAAGATTTATGATTCTAAGTTGAGTATCGATTATTCATTCACTTATCTCCAATTTTTGAATCTCCCTAATAATCTTGTGAATCTCTCTTTCGATGCTTTTCTCAAATCTCCCCAAACATCCTCTACTTTAGTTGACTATTCCTTTTTATTTTGAATTTTCTCCTCTTTCAAATGTTTCTTATTTTATGTTTCTTAATCAAGACATTGATTCACATTCTGCATGTTTTCTTTCATCCACCCTATCCATTCAAAATCATCCCTTAAACTCTTAATATTAATTTATATATCTTACATAATCTATAAATTTTAGATCTGCACTATTCGTATTCTTTTATCTCTGTTTATTAATCTGCCCTAATTTTTATTGCCATTCCTCTCCTCCAAAAGTAACTAACAGCTCAACTTCATTCAGTCTTTCTTACATCTGATCATTCGAACTTCTTTATTTCAAACATCTTAAGGATTGTTACTTGATCAGATTGTACATCAATTATAGACTAAATCCTTGAATTTTCAAATAGCAATGACAATAACATGTTCGTATTTTTAGTAACTATTAAATATACAGATTATTATCAGGCTATTTCTGTACAAGTTCATTATATTGAGACAGTACTTATTTTACTTCCTAAAGATCATCTCCCAAATCCTTAAATTTGAGTCCTTGAAATTACTTAACTTGATTCTATAATTCACTCATGATTTCAGCATCTGGTTTATTCTCCAAAAAGGTAAAGTATTATTAATATGTTTGCAAATTGTTAATCTAATCTTTATTTCTTAACCAAATTAATCTTTATTCTTAATAATCTTTGATTTTCTAATTCAAATCATCGTAAATCTTTATATTTTCTCTTAATTTAACCAATAATTGATTATTTGGTTTGATATTTGCAATTTGAGCGCTGTTGATCAGAGTTCTTATGCTTAGAACATTTGCATTTTAATCTAAGAATTCCTCAGCCTTTTACATCCAAAGCATCTAAATATAGAATGTCCATAATCTACTTTACACATTTGGTTCATAATAACAATTGTTGTTTATTATTTAAATGAATATGTATTGCTCTGGAGCTTTTGAACCCTCCAATTTGATCTCAAACTCTCTCAAAGACTGTAGCCAAACTTCATATTTAGATTTTATCTTTTGCATCAACATCAAGTAATAATGATCTTGTATCTAATTATCACTATTCAATAATTTCAACACTTAAACAATATTGTATTTCTTTTTTCCATTTTATGCTTCAACATTTTTAGATTCATTCAATAATTTCTAACATTCGTATCTCCATTGTATTTATCTAAAACTCAATACAATTTATGATATCTCATCAAAGACTACTTCTGGGATCTTCACCTATGCAATAAGTTCATTATTAAAATCTAAATCTCTAATCTCCTTCACTCTCTATAACATTACTTAAATATTATCTTGTCTCTTATAAGCTACATAAAATAATTGCCGAATAAATTCCACCTATTATTGACTCTACTTAATGTATTATTCAAGATCACCAGATTTCAGATATCTATATTAATCCAAATTATCTAAAATCCTAGGCTTACTTTCAACTATTTCAATTGCCTACATTAATTCTGTCTTACGAGTTGAAATATCTAATTCGAATCCATTTGAGTTACATAGCTTTTCAATATCTTCCAATTCCTTCAGTGTTAAGATCTCCTTCAATTTATGATCAAGTTCTTTGAATTGTTTAAGCTTTTTTTTGTAATTCTCTAAATATTCGCTTGTCAATAAACATTTATCCATCAAAGCTATTATATCTTAACAAAATTAACTTGTTATTTTCTCTTAGCTTTAACATTTATTGTGAATTTCAACCAATTAATCAAAGACTCTTTTAATCACTGGCGATTCTTAAGCTGCTCTTTAGATATTTTCAAAACTATAAAGTCCTTAAGACTCTCTTTCAGTCAATCTGCAGTTTCTATCTATTTTCGATTCCAAGTCTGTTCTAAATTCCTAGATCAATTGAGCTTCAAAATGAGATTAAATTTGATTTAACAATTTGTCACTATTAAAAGGGAATTCTATGATTTATTAAAAGTTATTTTGGATATTTACATCTTCGAGAGTTATGCTTTCAGATATTAGTTTTTCTATTAATTTGACACATCCCATTGTAATATTACTTTTATTGGCCATCTTTTTTAATTCAAACAATTTCTCCACAAGTGGCTTACTTTTTTAATTTTTCATCAATATATATTACTTGTAAACAGTCAGTTCTAATTAGCTCTCTATGAATGGAACATCCCATTAAAACTTCGCTCCTTCAAAGAGTTTTTTAAATTCTTTCTTAATATTTGATGATACAATATAGCGATTAATTAATTATAATAGAGTTTCATTAGGATGGACAAACAATTTATGTGGATCAATTACGCATTCATTCAAGAGATTCAATGTAGTTTCAATTAAAAAACCATCACCAATCCCTTTTTCAATTTTAAGTTTCATTTATTTTCGTGACAATATATATGATTTTATCGCTTTTCTTTCCTCTTTATCGAATGAATACCCTTTGTTTTTTAATTAAATTGTTAATTCATCAAAGAAAGAGGCATTATTTTCTAACTAAATCGGAAGTATAGATAACATTTACTATTTCAGTTCTTCCAATAATTTCTACTTCAATAATATTTTATCCAATTGAATTTCTGCAGATGGTTTTATTGGCATAGAAGCTAAAAAGGATTTTAGATGTTTCAGATTCTAATAGTCATCTTAAGTTAAAGGTAATCTGGGTAACTTTCTCATAATAGCCTCCATGTATAATAATAAAGGTAAGACATCCAATAAATGAATTTTTAATATTTCTTTCGGAATTACTAAATCCTCTAAACTCAACAAGATAGGATCATCCAAATCAATTTTATATCTTCTGCTGCTCCATCTCTTACAAGATTCACAAACATAGGAATCTTGTTTGATTTGTTTCTTTTTAATGCACACAAAATGAAACCACTCATAACAATGATCACATTACACCATTTGTTAGTTATTTAATGATTTTCTACAAATACAAAAAATGACATGACTCTCCATATGAGATTAGCAATAACCTTCAATTTTATCATTATCTGACCAAAATTATTCTTTTTTTTTGGGTATTGAATAATTTTGAAAAATTGATTCTAAATTAATTAATACTTCATTCTTCAATTGACTGGTTGATTTGTCATTCTTTTATTGAACATCAAAAATGTTATCTATTGAAATTGAAAAGGCCTCTTAGATATCGTCTAATTCATTTTTAATTTCCTATTAATCTACTTCTATGCTGTTTGGATCCTAATTATTGCCATGAAACCTAAGATTTAGAATCCATTATTCATTTTCAATCAACTCCAACTCTTTCTAAACTCTCTCTTTCATAATACAATGTGGATGTGCAAAACCATCACAATCCAAACATTTTATTGATGCTCCAGGCTTATCACAATTCAAGCATTTTTCCTTTGTTTTTTTATCTTTCTACTCTTATAAACCAAATGACATAGTATGGTAATCTCTCACTTGTATACAAGGATCAAAAATAGCACAGAGTACATGTACATACATACCATTATATCCAGAAACTCTCCTAAGCAATCCATCCTACCCACAAATGTAACATACAGGTTTCTAAACATTATCTTAGCAAGGATCACATTCTTCATCTAAATTATTATACCCATAACAAAATCTATGATATTTTAATTTACATTTTTGGCATTCCTTCTATTGACAACCTTTATCTTTTCTTAAGAAGTTCAATCCGCAAACTGAGCAACTCATTTATTATTATTATTTCTACTCCTTAAATACTTTTTATAATTCATGCTCAAATATTACCTGCCATTGTATTAAATCATTAATCTAAATCAATCTATCACAACCCATTATTATCTATACAAAGGACTTCTCAATTACCACTTTTCAACAGTCAACATTATCCAATTATGATCAATTATATCCCCATATGTGACATAAGACTAGTCATAATTCATTTATTCTTTGCCTAATTTTCATATTCATAAAGCACGAGAACTGTCCACATTCACTCGTAATATAATACAATTAATTATAATATTATATATTAATAAGAAAATACCAGTCTCCTTTGGCTTTATTATGAATAATGATAAAAACTAAATTTTCACTTGCTTATTTACATTTTTTCATTTTTTCAAATTTATTCTAAATTTCAAAATGGTTTTATATTTAAGTTTAAAGTCTAATATTGGACCTTATTACAAAATTTAATAAGCATCCTATTTCACTCATTTACCCATAACCTTTTTATGGTCAAATTCGATTGTAATGGCTCTAATCTAGTTCTATTTTTACACATTTTAATTATTATAAAGAATAGAGTAATTTATTTTTAATTTAATTTAAAGTCATCTTTTTCAGTTATTTGAAAATTTAAAAATTTCCACATTCATGAAGACTTTCATCTAAATTCGAATTGTCTAAGTTGTAATGAATGTGGTGGTTTTGTCTATGTAGTTGAAAATGTTAGGAACAATTATTAGATACATACTATATTTTATTGTTTCTTTGATTCAATTTAAGTTAATAATATTTATATTTAATGGCAAAATTTGAGTAATTGGATTCTCCATATGCAAAAGTATTTTTCATGTTGCAATAATTAGTGAAAGCAGAATTGATTACTCAAAGTGAGAAAGATCAATTTAAGGGTATATAAGTATATGCTATTTAGACTTAATAATTCAAAACGACTAGTCAATAATGAATTTTATCGTTATAGAAGGTTATCAGGAACTATTTGAAAAAGTTTAAGAATTCATTTATAAAAAAAGAGTCAGTTTAGAAGGGTTATCCGATTTTGAGGATGATGATTCAACTACCAAAAGTCTGAGGTAGTATTTGAGAAATAAATTAAAACTGGAATTAAAACAGAGTAATTTTAATTTGTCAATTAAGAAAATTTGATTATATAATTAAATGTATAATATTTCTGCGATTACATATATAAATTGTTTACATTCTTTTAAGTAATCTCATGGTTACAAACCATTCTACAATAATTAATTATTGTAGAGTGTTGAGAATTCGTTCCATTTATTCAAATAATTAATCTAATTAGATTAGCATGGCAACTAATATAAATACTGTTGTTATGGAGATACAAACCCTAGAAATGGGTTCATCATTTGAATTCCTGGATATTGATTAATAACATAAGGTAATTATGGGATTTTGAATGGCTATTATTTGGTTTGCAGTAATTGTTGTTGAACTGAATTTTGATCTTAAGTAATTTTTGGACTAGATTCTTTCAAAGGCATGTTATTATTTATGAATTATTAAAATACATTATTATTGAGGATCATTGGGGAATCTTAATAAGATTTATAAGGTTGATAAGACTATTAAAGTATTATAGAATTAAAATTATTATGATCTAATTACTATTAATTTTCTTCTTTGACATTTAGGACTTGATCATTCAAATTAGATGTGATATTTTAGCATCCTTTATGAATATTTAAATAGAAATACCACTATTAATTTTAATATTTTGATCCTCATTAGAACTGACTATTTTCTAGCTATTTTCATCTTTTTATTTATTCACTTTTGATCTTGTTAATATTTAACAATTTTCTGAACAAACCTCTTATGTTTAAATTTTTTTAGATTTTGGCTCTTCCTTTTTTGATATAGGTAATCTTCTTCTTTTTAAAAGTTTAATTTTATCATCTTCTTAGGAAGAAACAGAATCTTCTTGGATATCATCATCATCTGAATCATCTAGATCACATTGGTATCTTCTCTTAAGGTTGGCATAGTATCTATTTTTAACCATGTTTTCCTACATCTATAAACATAAGATAATTACAGGTCTTCCTTTTAAAAAACTAGAAATATAACTCCATTTAGTTCCAAATTTTCTATACAATTTGAGGATCAACTTATCCTCTTCTTCAGTCCACTTATCTTAATTTATTGTCCCTTATAGTTAATTTAAATAACGCTCTCGAACTTATTTTCCTGTTCTCCAATCCATTACTGTACAGATCTTACTCCATTTTTTACCAAACTTTTAAACTAATTCTTTCAATTATTCATCTTCTTCTAAAGTCCACAACTGTCTCGAAGGAGCCTAAGCTTATATACACATTCTACTAAATTTGGATGGAGCTATTGCCATTTATACATGCATTCTAATGGTGTAGGACCATCTAATAATGCGCTTATAGATTTCCAGTTCCCTTGCTACTAAATATGGAGCTCCTTAAGTTTTTCCTATCTTTAAGGGGTCCATTCAAATTTTGTCTGAAATTATATTAATGTTATGTAATTACTTCGCTCTAGGTCTGGTTGAGTGCATTTTCTTATTTCGAGTCTTGTGTAATACTCATTCTGTATGCAGAAATTATTTTAAATATATTATCAAAAATATCATCCATTCTTCATCACCTTTTATACATTAAATATGACGAAATAATATATTAAGTATCTTTATTAAACTTTTCTAAATAAAACTGCAAAACAAACTGCAATTTATCAATATGCAACCTTAATATCACTATTTTTCTAACATCGACGTTAAAGATTACTTTGCCAGTTTTAACTCCAAAGTTCTGATGTTTATTACTGATTTTCGCTCTTCAAGTCCCCTATAAAAAAATATTTAAATCATAAATAACAATATGTAAATAATATATTATATTTATCTACCGTTAAATAATAGAGCTCACCATTCCATTTTTCTCAATTAAATAAAATTCAAAATTTAATCTATTTTTTATACACTATCACCTGTTTTATTGATTAGGATATTTTAGACTTACTTTGTTTTGATAACATTTAATATATTTTAGTATATTTTTATTACATTAATTAAACACCTTTTACCTATTGTAAGATAGTATTGATTTCTATGTTTGAATTAAACAATTCACTCTTAAATAAATAATATTTCCCACAAATATCAGTATTTGTGTATCTATTGATAATTGGAGTATTCAATATTATTTTGATTGATGTGTGCATTTCTTGTTATATTAGACATTTGTGATCTATCTCTCATTACAAAAATCATCTAATATGAGTATTTACATGATAAATTTATCTATCTAAAATTCATTATCAGAGACTAGTCATTATATTTTTTTTAGAAAATAATTAAATTTTCATCAATGAATACTTTTAAAACATGTATACTTCAACTTTAAATACTTCTCAACTAGCATTCGAATTTTGATAAATCTTCTAAATATGGGATCCAAAGAATTTCTGAAAACAAGTTCTTTCCTTTTTATTTTCTATATATTCAATATTGATAGTAGCCAGACTATAATTTAAATATAATAAAGGCTAGCAATGATTTCTTTTAGCACAAATGGAGTTCATGATGATTAATTCTAATTATAAATATTATTATTATCCTTGTATATCATATACTTCGAAAAGGTTATTTTAATTACACAATTAATTAATCAACTATTTAGTTAAGGTTTATTCAGAAGTAAAAGTTTAATAGGATGAAAATATTTTATATAATAATGATATAATTACAATATAAAATCTTAGTAATAACACAAAGTATAAGACATATAATATATATTAATTTAAATATTTTCTTATAATTTATTAATAAAGGGTATCTTATTTGGATTTGCTAACTTTTTAATCTAGATGAGATATTATAATACTTATTGAAAGAGTTTCTGATTTTTTTAATCAAACCGCCTTTTAATAAATTAAATAGTGGTTTTCTATTGTTCAATATAAAATTCATTATTTCCAAACTAAACCAATCTATTGGAAATTATGCAAATAAGATCGTAATAAATATAATTTTTAAATAATATGAGTTTTAGATATCAATCCTCTAAGTACTTATCTGAGATTTAGGACATTAAATTTTAAAGTTAATTTACCTAAGATGAGTTTATTTACATTTTCTAGTTTATAAATATTAAATACCTAATAAATTTCTAATGACTTTTGATAATCAAGATATGCTTATTTATATCGGCCTAGTTCTTTATGGCAATCTGCACAATTTTTAAGGGTAATGGCTAAGTTCCCATGCATTTTGCCACATAACTATGTATATATTTTAATAGATTCTTCAAAACAATTGACAGCTTCTTCGTATTACTTTCTTTCAAAATAGGATCTTCCAAAGTTATTTAGAATAATTGCGATGCTTGCATGACTATCACCATACAAGGTTTTTAGGATATCTTAAGATTTTTTGAAATATTATTCGAATACATTTGAATTCAAATTCTAAGCCTGAATTTTACCTAATGAATGATAACAATCAGCAATATCCTAAGAAGATTCTCCAATTATTTTGAGATTTATTTCTAAACTTTCAGTAATAAGTTTTTCAGCAGAAGATAAATCTAGAATAATAAAATAATACTACTTTCTTGAGTATTTTTCATTCGTAGGTAGAGATTGCCCTTCAAATAGATGGATTTCGCAGTTTTTATATGTTAATAGCCTAAGACTTCTGTCCAAATGGAAATAGCCTCTGTAATTGAATTCATTGCTTCTTCAATTTTCCCTTCATCTGAGAATAATTAAGATAATCCATGTAATGAATCAGCCACTTCCTTCAATATAAACAAATAGTACAATTGATTATCTTGTATACAATTCTTCTCGAATTTTGATACTTTCGAATAACATTTATTCTGCCAAATCATCTTAAAACATAAATCTGTAATAATTTCCCAAAAGTGTTAATGTCATGGCATAAACTCCAGTTTATTTTAGGTTATGCTTGATTAATAATTAATAAGCATAATCAAGGTATTTGAAGGTTTATTCATAATAACAACAATAAAAGCAGCATCTTCCTTAAATTATTGTAGATTGTTACCAATTTTAGCATAAGAGTTACATAATCTTAAGATGCTCTCTTTGTCATTCTGAGTTTTGAAAAGTTCTTTTTCTATTTTAATCATATTAATTAAATATTGCATGGCTCGATAGACTTGATTGATATCAATAAAGATTTGTGCATATCTCTCATAAATATTGCTTTAGAGAATCTTATAGATTGTAAATAATACTAATTCTGCCTCAGAGGATTCCTCAGGGTTATTTACTTTAGTGTTCAATTCATTTTACAATTTTCCAAGTTTAGTTAAACATTTTTAGAATTATTATTTTCTTATAAGCATGTCGATATTCTTAAAATGTTCTTCCATCTTTTGTCAAAAATAAATTTTATTAAATTTATTGAATTTATTCTTAAATTATGAACGCAAGTAAATTAAACCAACAAAATTTAATAACAAGTATAAAAATTAAATAAACTCAAAGCATTTCAGTCACTACTAGAGGAGATAAGTTGATCAATATCATGAGCAAAGTCTTCTTTTCCATAATTTTCTAAATTACACCAGCTGAAAAGCTTAGAAATAAATTGAGAGATTTCGTAATTATTGATCTCATCAACAAGATGATGAAATCTTCTACTTTCATAAAAATTATTTAATTCCTAGTTGTTCAATGCTTATTGAGTAATCCTTTAATTAAATTGAAAGACTTACAATTAATAAAAGACGAGACCACAATCCAGAATATCTTTTTCTAATGAGAATCCATTGCTGGTAAATAAATTCATCTCGGTGAAATAGTCTTAAGTAGACAAAGTTTTGATTGATTTGATGTGTCTTAAACTAGTAATGTCATAAGTCTTTTATTGACCAAAATCTATTAAAGTGATTTGGTCCAACATTGAACAATAGAAGATGTTCTCTAATTTGATGTTTTAATGGCTGAATCCCTCGTTATGTAAGTATGAAACCACTTATAATAAATCCTATGATAGATTTGAATTTATACTTTCATTATTTTTAAAATCTAATTCTTACTAAGAATATGTTTCTTAATATATTTATCTAGAGAAGATCCTTCTACGAATTCGTATATTATATATTAATGGCTTTATTCGATGTAGTATTCTTTTAATTTTGGAATAAATTTATGCTTTAAAAATTGAAGGGCAATTACTTCATTTCGAAATTCCTAAATTAGAATATAAAGTATACTTGTTCAAATTCAGCCCTTCCTTATTTAAATATTTTACAGGTTACTAACTCTTCGTTATGGATGCTCCTCATGCGAACTATCTATTAAAGTATGATTAAAATATATACAGAACCAAAATTTCTTTTTTAAATATATTAGGCAATCTTGTAATGATTATTTATTCCTTCAAAACACACTTTTCCATTCAAGAACTCTTTCAATAGAATTCCAATATTCGGAGCAAATTTGTAAATAGACTTCTTTTTATTGAGGAACAATTCAAAAGAGATGATTTCTGAATTATCGTTGGTAATCCACGTGATTTTTGGATCAAAGGAATTAAGTTAAATCACTAATGTATGTTAATCCTAAATTAAAATATTAAATATACGTTGGACAATTGAAGCTCGTCTTTTAACATAAAAATTTTGTACTTTTGGTGTGAAAAGAAATTGCTTTTGTAGCAGATCATGTATGTTATTTTATTATAAGATAATAATAATAAATATATCTTGTATCTAATTAACTCCTTTTAAAAATCGTTTATTTTCTTTATAATTGAAGTATCGGTTTTTTTGCAAATGAAAGTTTGCCAATCTGATGTCATAGAAATAACAACAATTCATGATATTATTATAATCAGTTTGTATAAAGGTCTATAACCCAGTTTAAAGACTTAGATAATGGTACTTTGGTCTATCTGTTTCCTGACACAACTTAACATTACTTGAACTAAATGTTTTAGAGCAAATAATTGGGAATTTTGATTGATAAGAAATATGCAAATTATTGTTATTCAGCACTCAAAGTTGGAGACTAAGCATTTGAGAGTTCATTTTTGAAATGTTTATGTGGTTAAGAAATATCAATTATTTAAGTATTGAAAAATGATCACTCAATCATTTAAACCACTAATTACTTTACTTAAAACCATTGATGTCTGCCTTACTTACTTGGATATCAGTTGCATAGGTCCTAGTTTTTATTCGATTTATTCAATTTCATCATGAATTTTGAATCGTTTCATCGGCAGAGTTTGGACAGATAACTTCTATTCATCTTCACCCATTCCCAATTCAGATTGAATCTTTTGAACTTACTAGGTTTCTTTTGTAATCTTATATTATTATAACTGATTACATTTTCACTTATACGATTAATGTATTGGATCTCATTTTATAATAATAGATTCCCTATCATGTCTGTTAAATATGCTAAATCATCATATAATGATAAATCAAACTTGTCCACTACTTTCTATTCTCCGAATACATATTGAATCTCTCTTACACAACACATTTTACTTATATCTTAAAAGTCAATCAACTCATCCCCATTCTATTTTAACATCACTTTACGAAGATTCTTTCTCAATCCGATAAGTTACTTAATTACTTAAAATAACTTTCTATCATTATTGATGTAATCCTATAATTAGAGATGTCAATACTTTTAATTTGCTAAGATTATGATTCAGTTCATAGATCTGTTAACTAAATTTGATATAAGATTAAGATTGTGGATTTTTAATATTAAGAAATACAGCAATTGATTTCTTTGAGGTATTTTCCTTGACTCTCTTGAACTTCAAATCTCCATACTGTACAATTTCTGTTTCTGTTTTCACCTTTTTGAATTTGGTTTGTCTCTGTGTGTTTTTTTATGATCTCAATGTATTAAGATGATCCAAATAATCTTTGATGGTTTTCTCATCAGATGCATTTGATCTGATGGTTGATAGAGGTAACTTTGGTCTTTCGTTGGAATTGGCTTTTCTAATAGGAGGTAAACTGAAATCATTATTCTCAATTAGACTGTGTTAAACTGGAAGTATTTTTTCTTAGAGCGCCCTTTAAGTTGTCAGTGTCTTTTGAGATGACTTTAGAGTACTGTTGTTATTGGATTGAGAGTTTTGAAAAGGGATAGTTTCATTCAACTTGAATTCAGGCAATATTAGATGATGCTTATATATAAGACTCATAATTATATTAAAATGATTTAAGTATTTCTTTATTATGATTCTCAATAAATCCAATACCTCCAAAACATTTAGAAACAGATTTACTTAAAATTTTAGTTATTGAAATGATATATTATGATTAATATGATTAATTAGAATAATTCTAAAAGTTTTGTAGCTGTTAATCGAAGTCAAACAAACAAAACAGTGTAAGAGTTTATTCGATAAGACTTAAAAAAACTTAGACGAAAGAAAAAGAATTTGAATCAACTCTTTTAGGAAGTTGAAGAAATTGCTTAGATTTCCTTATCAAAGAATTATTCGGAAGACAATCTTGATGAAGATGATTAAGACACAGCCGAATTGATTAACTAGACTTATTAATTAAAAAAATAAGAACTAGAATAGAATTCATCATAAAATAGCAGTAGAATTTTGCCAAATGTTTTAAGTAAGCAGAAATCAGACAGGTCATTAAGAGAATCAAAAGATGTAAGCAAATTAACTAGCATTACAAAAATACACATTACTCAAAACGACGACTCACTTCTAAGTGATAGGAGTATTAAATTAAAAAAGACTTCTTACACACAACGTAATATCAAATCAATTAGACTTACTGATTAACAATCTAAAACATAACCAAAAGTAAGGCTTTCAAACAAAAAGTAATAAGTTCAAACTACTTAAATTGATGAAAAAGATAAGTTACCTTTAATTTGGCAATAATATTATAATATTTAACCAGAAACAGAAAAAGTAGAAGTGAAAAACTCCTTTTTGAAATTAAATGATCAATTCAAAAAAATGAGAGAACAAGTACTTGAGCCGTTCTTAAAAGATCAAAAACTCAAAGTGAAATTAATGGCACCACTTATTATTAGAAAGGATAAACCGTACTTTGTGGCTGAAAATAAAGATAATAGTATTCTAATTTTAATAATAATATCTAGAGAATCTAATTGATAATATGAAAAACGAAAATACGAATCTAAACAAAGATGAGTACTTAATTGTTAGTTATGAGCATATCTTAGATTATATATGAATTATTCAGTCATGAAACATTATGAAAATAATTATTACACTTTGTGCATTGTTTTGTTGCATGAGATTTCTCACATTGAACTATTATATAATTTTTAAATTACTTGTCAAACAACTTGAACAAGCATAAGCAATAGGATTTGTGACTTTATTACAACAAGAGCAAAATGATTTATATTACAACTCACTCAATTTGGCCTAATAGAATCCATAAATATCTCCCGGATTGAAGGATGATAACTAGTTCTATTCATCTATATACCAAAAGTTCCGCTAAAATCTTATTGAAATTTTTATCCTATTTCACTACATGGACAATTCCAGCTGTCAATTGCACTCCCAATTTCAATCCTTCATTCCCCAACACATCCTATTTAAGTTCACTTTGAGCCTAGATGTCAATTTGCAATAAATCCAACCGAATTTTCTCTTTGCTAGCATGAGTGCACAATTTCAAGTATTTATTGTAGGATTCCTACCCTAATTGGAAAAATTGTGAAGTAATGAACGTGATTTTAGAATCCTTACATGTCTATCGGTCCTTATTAACCCGACACATTATTTAACTTAAGCATTTTATTATTTTTGATTCCCACACATCATCCACTCCCTTCTTCTAAACGATATCATACAAAGTCTTCAAGACCTATTGAAATTCAGAATTGTATTCAAAGCCTGAATTCTCCCCACTTCTGTATAGTTAATAGATGTCATAAGTGTCTATCGCGTAGATTGTAAATAAATTATGGAAATCAGTACACAACTACAATCCCAAACTAGTCTTAATACACTATAGAATTGCTACGAAATTCTCCTTCAAAGCCTTCAAGAACTTAGAGTTTATGTCCAATATTAAATAGAGTTGATGATTTTACATTAATTAATTAAGATAAATCGAATGCAACAAATTCAAGCATTACCTCCCCAGTTTTTCTAAACCTTAAAAATCTAAACTATCCTGGGTTAAGGCCATGATGCTAAAGTTCTTCTAGCACTAGAAACCAAAGACACCGGAAACCAATATTACGCCTTGAAGTGCCAAGCCCAAAAAATATAAGACACCGCCATAAACTTATTCGTATTACTTCCAATAACTTGAAGTTACTAAGAATGAAATACAAATTCTCATCCACATCAAGCATCCGCATATAATTGAACTATTCGGTTACAGCCAAGATTACACATGTCTGGTCCTTCAATATTGTCCGCATGGCACCTTAATTTAATTGATCAAATCCTCTCCACTTCCAGTTAGCATTGCATCCTCCCTTCTATACTAAGTAACTCTGGCTCTAAATTACATGCATGAATAAGGATTTACCCATGGGGATCTTAAATTATCGAATATTCTCATAGACAGTTAATACAACCTTAAATTATGTGATTTTGGTTTTGCAAGGTGGAATGGCAAAATGGCAATTGAAAAATAAACTATTGCCGGCAGCGAAGGATACACTGCGCCAGAAGTATGGAAACCAAATCCTAATTATATGAAGACTGACATGTTTTCAGTTGCTGTTATATTTTTCATTTTAATCACTGGACACCCACCATTCGAATCCAATAATCCAGACAATCATGATCCATGGTGGAATTTAATTAAAAATAATTAATGGGACACTTATTGGAAGGATATCAAAACCAACATAGATCAAGAATGCAAAAATTTGTTTGTTTAAATGTTCAGTACCCAACCAGATGAAAGATTAAGCGCAAATCATTTAAACTAATGGTTTAAATTAAAATAAACTACTCAAGAGAATTTGATTCAAGAAATCAAAAAAAGGTTAGCTGAGATGTGATATATAATCAATGATCTATTATTTAAATCAGTTGCCTTTTAAATACTCAAATCAACTATTCTAACTCATTTATTCCTATTATAGTTTATCACTACAATTTCTATTTCTTTTTCTTCAATTTACTCAATTTTAATACAATCATTTCATTAAGAGAATCTAATACCCATCTATATTTTGGATTACACGCCGTCTAATATTGAAATTAGATGTAATCTAAACTTTTTTGGTTTTGAAAAATTATATATATAATATATAAAAAATAAATTAAAAGTAAAAAAATTATTCTTCCATATTTTACTATCCATTTTCTTCAAATTTTTATAATTTATTATATGAGAATCAAAAATTTTATTCTTAATACTATTATTTTAATAGAATTCAAAGTTTTTACAAATTTGTTAGAATCATATCATTTTTACAAGTAAAATAAATATTTTCAACTTAATCTTTTTTCCAAGTCTTTGTAATCTTTAAATCTTAAGGTGGACTGTGTTAATCTTTCAGTTTATTAAATATGTGTTCTATTTCCTTTTACATAAATACTCTACTAAAAAAAAGTGAGTTTCTAGGGTTGTAATGAAGGCATTGGACTTTATAAGGAACCTTGATTATCCAATGGCTTCGGTTCTGTTGTTTATTTCCTTCTAGTCGTTGCTCTTGATGTTGGTAAGCATTCATTATTGATTTTATGAAAAAGTCTGAAGATTTTGCTTGACCATTAAATTTTCAATTGTTATTCTAATGGTTTCTTCATTATTTCTTATTTAACATAATTTTCGAATAACTGTAATTAAGTTGCAATTCTATTATATTTAATATTTTCATTGAAGAATTCTTCATCAAAGAGGGCTTTTATCTAAGATATTATTTATGAAATAAAAAAGGAAAATTCTTCAATTGAATCAAGTTTTCTATTGATTTGTTTCTTTAAAATATGTTGGTCAAATAGCCATTCAATAGATGATTATATTTCATTAAGGTCATATAACAGAATGTGTTATTAAGAATAAGCTTGGATCTACTATTTTAATAACTTTCCTTAAATTATTTATGAAATTTACAACATGATTTACTTGCTTTACATATTAAGCTATTCAATGAATGCTTACCTTCTATCAATCATATGCTTTGATATTATGCAAATATACGTTTCAAATAAAAGATTACTTACAATTTCATTTTAGGCTTAGTGCAAAACTTAATTAATTGTCTTATTGATAGCTGATGCCAACTATTAAAATGGATAAAGGAGTATATGTTATTCCGAAAAATTAGTTTTTGATAAGAAGTTTGATAAAGATTACAGTAATATGATACTATTATTTTAGATGTATTTTAACATCAACAAAGTTTAACCATAAATCTTAGAGGTAACATCATCGCTTGCTTTGAAAACGTTAACAGATGTTTAGAGTGAGTCAAAATCACTTGAATTTCTATTGTCATCTAATATTTAATGAATTATATTGTCTAATTAATTTAAATATACACTTGTCATTTAATTTAAATGGTGAATATTTTGATGAAGTCTTACAAGCTATTCTTAAGTAAAAATGTCAGACAGTATTTTTAGATCTTATTTACATTTTAATTTAAGATCCTTGCTACATATGTCCTCAGTAAGTTAAATTTATTTAGTGTTCACAATTTACTCAAATATATTAATACATATTCTAGTCTTGAGTAATTTTATAATCTGTTGTAAATTCTATAAATTAATATGGTCATTATAATTCTCGAGCACTTCTTCTATGTTATTAACTAGAAAATTTGTTTAAATGGATATATATATGTTTTCTATTAATTTCATGGTGAAAGAGTCATAAAATGTTGCAGAAAATTTAGTTTTATATTTTTATAATAATGACAATTATCTTTATGACATTGTATCGTTCCCCCTTTTATCAATGGAAGAAAGATGTTAAGTTATTTTACTTTTAATAGATATTTCTTCATTAACTTTATTGTCATTTGATATAGATTAAGCAATTTTTCCAGGCTTTAGCAATGTGAGGGTAGATTGACGGTGATTAGGAAGTTTTTTATTAATTGTTAGAGTGGGCTAAACTTCAGTTTTCTACTTTAACATTTACTATTATTAATCCTTTTAGATGAATAATAAACAAAATTAACGCTTAATTTCTTATTTGTAGGCATCTTTGATGGGATAGTTTAACAATTAAGCAATTTCATTTTTTTCTGCTAATCTTGATTTTACAATATCATGATATTTTTATATTTAAGAAAGTTCTTACTAAATCTTTTCTAACAAATGGTAACACTGCAATCTACTCAATTCACTATCAATTGAACTTGCATAGACCTAAACTTTAAATTTGTTAATTAATTATTGGATGGATTTGTAAGTTACAACAAGTTTATTGCATTATAAAAACATCATTTTCAATTTTCTAGGGTCAATCTGTTCTTTAATTGTTTCCAAATCTTTGTCATAATTTTAATAATGCTACAATTATTAATAATGCAGCTTTGAGCTGTCTTGATTCTAAATAAAATCTTTAAGTGGTTAGACAAAAAGTTTTAGGCAAAATAATTCTAGATCGCACTTGTCTATAACTATAAAAGAACCCATTTCTATTAGTTACTCGGATAAAATATGCATTAACACTTTTTCTAATAATTATGAGAGATTTGATTAAATGAGTTGAGATTAAGAAAAGTTAGTGTAACTTCTTCTATTACAAGTAATAAGTTGATTAGTAAATAGATTTTATGGTTTAATACTTTCTTCGTCCAGAAAATTTTGTTATTATTAATCTTAAGTATTGATCTCATTATCCATCAAATATATTAATAAATTTTATAATTATTAAAAAAAACTCATGAAATATGCAACAATTATTTATAAATACACAACAAAATTAAAGAATATCAAATCAGTATTTTTGTTTGCTTTCAAGTACCAAAGTTTTCATTTTAGATTCTGAGGTTAATGTGTAAATCCATAGTTATTACATTTTCAAAAACAAATATTCAAACTATTAGTTACATTAGAATTGAGAATTTTGATTTCCTAGAAATCAAGATATCATATTTCAATATTTTTATGCAAAAATTTAAGAGATATAAATTCATTTGTGGATTTTTTAAATAATGTGTTATATCTATTGTGATTTATTGAGTCAATAGTTTATTGGTAAATTAAAGGGAGATATTTTCTTTTATTATTGTATTAAATTTAATTTAAACTTTAGTTTATGAATAAGATCCTCAGAAAGTATAACTAATCAATATGTTTCAGTCAATTATAAAATTTAGGATGATTGATTAATAACTCTATTGATTAGAGATGTAAGAATAGCCAAATATACTATTATCTTATTTCCAAGAGTATCGATCAATGAAGCGATCATATTTATAAAAAATCTATAATTATATCATCCAAAATTTGAGTTAATTATCTTAAAACTTTAGAAATAAAATATATTTAATACCCTATTATGAACCCTCTATATATTACTTAAGATGAGCTTCATGAAATGTTCTAATCCCCAAATCATACAAAGCGAAGCGCAGATTCTGTAGTTACACTCGAACCGTAAACAGTAAAGTTTTAATAAACATTTTCCAACATTCAAACAAATATTGAAACAATAGATCAATTGAAAAAAGAGATGGCAGCCAAAGATAAACTGATAAATGAATTGAATTCAAGGACTTCTTAATAAATTGAATTACTTCTCTATCAATAGGAAAAACTAATACAAGAAAATCTCAATCTCAAAAAAGAGCTCAACAATTCAAAAGCTCAACAGAAACACTAATAGCAAAAACTAGAACTATATTTAACTGAAACAAAGACGCTTCAACAACTTCGACTGTAAGAGCGAACAAGATATTAAAGGGATATTAGAATTATCGAACAATTCAATTAATCACTTACTAAGTGAATAATAACATATTATATTTATATTAAAATTAATTTTCGAATTAAATTGAAGAATTTCATAGAAGAATATATAATAATCAAACTTTATTTATGATAATTGAAAAGTGATGAAATGAAAAGTCAATTTATTTTTTCGAGTGGAGTGCCCTTGTCTCTATTTCTGAATTGAAAGCTTATGTGTTTTAAAGGAGTTTTCAAAAGAGGGGCTCTAAATTATTTTTTTAAAGCAGGTTAAGATTATGCTTCTTCTTTAAATTCTTCTTATTTAAGACCAGGCATATATATTAGACAAGGTGTTGTTCTGAGGAGTAACCCTTCACTTTTTCTTTTTTAAGAGAAATTATGATTTCCATGATTAATATTTGGCATACTAGATCTAAATGATTGTTTTGAACTAATTTATCTGCTCATATCGACAGAACTAAATTTATTTATTATTTACCTTAGAGTCGATCGTTATTAATTGAATAGAAAAGGTTCATTTTATGGTTCCAGTTGCTATAATTCTGTTTAGAATCTTGCACTTAGTGTCATAGATTATAGGTTTTTACATAATCTCGTATTTAAACTACTGCTTTCATTGGTGCTTGGTCTAACAGAATGTTTTGCACTACTGATCAACATAAAATAATTATTAAAATATAAACTATAATAATCCCATACTAATTTAATCGAATTACATCCTCTGATATCCATACATATTGTTAGAGTAAACAAATTCATTTATGATATTTGTATAAATATAAAGACAACAATTGATTATTTATATCTTTTTGGCATCTTGGTTTTGAGCGAAATAAAGTACATAAATATGCTATGGGCCTCGAAGATTAAATTAGAGTAAGTGATTTAATGAATTTGATCGTTGAAAATGATTTGTTTTTAATTAAATAAATAAAATGAATAGCACAATGAGTTCGGAAGATTTAGATAACGATATACGAATATAATAAGTCTAATAAACTGCACCCGATGCTGTGCAATTTTACATTACTGAGGAGTATGAGAATAGCATTATTCTTATTAGGCCTTTCAATAATGATCCATATGATATTATATAATAAAAGGTAGCTGCATTTCAACCGATTCAGTCGAAAGATGACTCAAGATGTGATTAGGCATCAAAGGATGGTGGCAAGAAATTCGAGGATAAGAAACAAATTAAGTGTATGAGGTCTGTAGGGACATATGTGATTTAGCAAATTGGACGTAAAATATTATCAGGAGACATGAATCTCACGAAGATTAGTTTCCCCATCAAGGCGATGATTGCGAAATCGGCTTTGGAGAAAAATTTGTAATCTACGATATTCTTCCCTTTGTATATCAACAGAGCCGTTCAGACTTTGGATTTTATGGAGTAATTGAAATTGGTCATAACTGCTACAATAGCTACATTCCACATAAATTTGAGTTTTCACAAACCCTTGAATCCTATCTTGGGGGAAACAGTTGAGGGTTTCCTATCTGATGGAACAAAGTTATACGCAGAGTAAATTAGTCATCATCCTCCTGTAAGCTAATTTTATGGGGTTGGCAGAGATAATTCATATAAATATTTTGGGTATTGCCTTTGTATATGATAAGAAATTATTGGTACGAAGCCTCTGCAGGACTAAATTCGATAACTCTAAAAAACAAGGGGAAAAGAACTATAATATTTAATGGAGGCCAAAGAATTGATTATAATTTTGCATATGAACTTTATAGTGGAACTATCATGGGTTCAATGAAAGTTGAAGTATAGCAATTAATAATCTGTTAAGACTCTTGGGGTTGCGACCTATCAGACAAATAAAGGAATGACTGCAACTTTAAAATTCGGAAAAGTCAAGAGAAAGGCTACTGATTATTTTGAAGGCACAATTAATATGGGACAATAAGAATTGTGTAAAATATTTGGTACTTACATGGGATACATAGAGTTTGATGGAGTGCGTTATTGGGATCACAGACATATGGTACAATTGAATCAATTACATTTAGTAACCACATTAAGTAACAATTAAACCTCCATTTTTGCCATCTGATGCTCAATTGAGAGGGGACTATACTAATTTAGCCTCTTTAGATATAGATAGGGCACAAATAGAAAAGGAGAATCTGGAGAATTTATAAAGACATGATGCTAAATTAAGAACAAAATTTAAAGAGATCAGAAGAAAAAAAGAAGAGAAAAAAAAATTACAAGATCATGATTGATAAATTACTATTCATAAATCATAAAAAGGTCTTAATTTATTGGTCTTTTAAATTACCAAAATCATTAGATCGCATCATAGAATCTTTATCTTCAAGCTCACTTTAATGGGAATCAATCAAGCTCTAAGTTTTTTACTCAAATTCTTCAGTTATGTCTGGTATAACAGGCATATTTATTTTTACGGTTTCCCAAAATTTTATAGTTTAATTTAATATGGCAGGTTGCTATCTGAATTGTTCTTTTCTTTCCTATTGCAATTCATGTTCCTGCAATTTGTAAAAGTTTAAATTTGCCTCTTACTAAATTTTAAGGAATTTTTTTTCGTAATTTACACCCTCTAATAAAAACTAATTCGGCCTGAATTCAGTAATGTTGTTCTAGGATTCGTTGTCTTCTTTTTTATGGTTCTTCAAATTGAAACATAAAAACTTAGATATCACAGTAAAAATAATGCTTCCAAGTGAACTTATGGCAAAATAACTCAAAAAAAATAATAACACATATCCACAAAAATCGTAATAAGCTTCAACCATGAAACAAATAAATAGGAAAACGATATTATATGAGATCCAAAGAGCAAAAGATTGGACTTTATTATAATAAAACTCTTTAATCTTCTCATTTTCAATATTGTTATCAGTATTTATCCTCTCATAAAATTTCATCCCAAAATTTACTATCAAATAGTAAAAGATATAACTGAGGTAACCTCTGACAAACACTGGAATGTGTGACAAATGTAGCAGTATCTTTATTGTTTTTTCTAAAATTACCATCAAGATGCAAATACAGATTATCCATCTATATAATTAGTCAGTATGAAAGCAGTAATTGAAAATTATGTTTAAAGTAAATATTGCAATAAGGGTCAAGTTAAAGATTGCAATCAAATGATAGAATGTTTTATATTATTCAGCAGCTTCTCCAATCGTATTTTAATAGTTAAAGCAAATATCTTTACAATCCTTTATTTTTGAAAAGTATTCAACTACTCCATTTTAATTTTTATTTTCACCTTACTACCTCCTTATTTTAGATAAATTAATAATCTCTTGAAGTATGGTATTTGTGTCAAGTTAGTTAGCTAAATAGATTTATTTTCCATAATAAAGGTATAAACTCATAACTTAATTATTAGGTGAGGATCCTACGAATTAGACATTCCTGGGATCCAATTATTTATTGCTTTTTTTTATCGTCGAATTTTCAAAGCAGTAGGAACAAGAATTTGTAAGGGGACTGTAAGATAAATAGAATACTAAATCACCGCTAACTATAATTGGTTCTTCCATTCCTTTTGCCCTTGCTATTTTGTATTGACTTCTGAATAGAATTGCAAAAATTAAAAATGTAACTACACTAAATATAAATAATGCTGGGATTGACAATTACAATATATAAAAGTAGTAGTATCCGAATGCATTTCCAAAAAAGTCGTAAGAACTTTAAGCAAAAATGAATATAATCGCACTTATACCAAAGTAATTATTCAAACTAGAATGGATATGCATTGTCTTTAAGGCAATTTATTAGATTAATCTGATAAAAAGATTGATTTTCCAAGTGGAACTTAAAGTTGAATAAGTCTCTAAAAATTAATTATGCGTAGATGCTTTAGAATTCTTTCTTTTTCTCTATTAGTTCATAATTTTTGATAGTGAATCATTGCAGGAAGCTTATGCTACTATTTTATCTGATCTACCAAATAATAATCCTTATTCTGCAGCCAAACTTGGTAATATGTAATTCTCACCTTACACAATTATGTTTTAAACATAATCGCACTCTGACTTAATTATTTTTTATAAATATAGGTCAATAAATTATTTAATTTTCTACCAGTCATAAAAGCAGAAAAAAGGATTATGATCCAGAACAACAGAGAATAAATTATTCGTTGATATATTCTCAAGGTGATCTAATGTTTGCTCTAACAATAGTGCATTAATTGGATTTAATGGATTCCATGAACGAAGGTTATTTTGTAAGATACTACATGTAATTGCACATAGATTCTTTTATTTGATAGACTTAAGTTATGTATTAATAGAGTGATCTGATTAGATTAAGGAGCATTAAGTTACATAAAAGAAATCAGGGTCAAAATGTTTACCTATTCCGTTGTATAACCACCTTTGAATATCATAATTAGATGATTTAAAGTATTTTATAACGAAAATTACCTCATGTTGTAAATTATTTTCACTAAATTAATATTATAGCACAAGAGCATTATTGACTGAATATTGATTTTTATCTATTTCAATAGTTATCAGAGTTTATTTCTCATGCTTCAGTAACAATTTTTATCTTAATGTTCTTTCTAATGAGTCAAGCCCATTACAAAGTATAACCAAATCTATATCCTAATTTCTAAATGATCGAATAAAATCTTCTATTTAAGATAAATTCTCATTTTCATAGACACCACAAACCAATGTTTTTTTAGACTTACTTTCATAGAAATTTTATACCTTTTAAATTATGAATAAATTATTACTTAGAGAAGACCTTAATTTTAATCTCTTAAAGTACCTATTTGACTTAATTAAGCTATATTTTGAGTTCCTTAAAAAACTCTGCTCTGTTATTGATATTCTTAATTTTAGATTTGTTAAGTTTAAAACTTTAAATAGTTTTCTTATTTTCTCTTTTTATTTGAAGTTTTTAAAAATTAAGTACCCAAAAATATTTTACATGTGGCTTCATACCTTTCCAAGAAGTTTTCTTAATTATTTTAATTGTATTCTTGTTCTAATTAAACCTTAAAATCCTGAATATCGCTGGCTAAATGTTTAAGATTTCTGTTATTTATAAATTCAAATAAAAATTTATCATCTTTCGTTATTGGTCTTTAATATGCCTGAAATTATGTTGAATTATTACGCTTAATGCTAGTTCATGGCTTTCACATTGAACAATTACTTTAAAAGGCTATAACAATAATAAATGGTTATCATACTATTTTCTCTTAATCGTAAAGTTGAATCGTTAATGGATCAATTATGGGAGAGCTTAGTAATTTAAGTTCCATAAATATATTGTAATTTATATTTGATTGCTTCATACAAATTATATTTAGATATTAAATAAAAGCTCTTTATTCTATTTGATATTTGAAAATAAATATTATAAAGCAAAAATTGACGCATTAAATAATTTAATAGGGAATCTATAATCTTTAGAAACTTTTTTCAAGCATAAATCAACAATGAAAAAAAAAACAATAAGTATTCAAAGTTATGAGTATGAATAAATTTCTTATAAATCTAAGTATTATATTTAATTTAATATTCATAGTTTTTTTCTAAAATTTACAGTATTGGTTTAAATTCCATCAAAAAATTTACTATTGCTTTAAAGATCCTACTTTCTCAATGTATTAATTGATTCCTTTTATTACAATTAAGATATGCAATGCTCAACTTCATCTTAAATTATATCTAATAATAATTTTACATTTCAACTAAACAGCCTCCATATTACCTTGATCAATTTCCAGAATTTTCTTATAGCATACCAAGGATTATGGATATTTCCTCATTAATTTTAACACTTCTCCATATCCAAACAATCCTTTTATGTGATTTGGTTATAATTCCAGAGCCTATTTATATTCAACTGAAGCGTCATAATTAAATTTTAGCATTCTGAGTGCTTCTCCTTCAAATCTACATGATAAGATACCTTTTCCATAAAGAGATAAGAAATGTTTTGGGTGGTATTTTAGAGCCCTATCAAAATAAATAATGGCCTTTCTGAATTTGTCCTACATTCTCAATGACTCACCTTCGAAATATATAAAAATGCTAAACCTTTGCCCCATATGGAACATACATGATTCGGTTTTATTTTAATGGCTTTATCATACCATTCAATAGCATCTTCATAGTTTTCAATCAATCTAAAATATTAGCCTTTCTTCTTTGAAATTTATACCTTTTCCAAATAAGCTTTATAGATGATTCGGATCCAATTCTAAGGCCTTATCGTAAAAACTGTTGGCTTCTGCATATTTTTATTGATTTAATAAAATATCGCCTAGAATATATCTAGATAGTGCCTTTTGCTGCATAAATATCGGATTATTTTTCATTATGACCCAAAATAGTTGGCAACGATAAAGCTTTATTTATAATAACTTCAGCATCAATTTATTTTTAAAAAGCATTTACACAGAGACCTAAATCTTAATGAAGATTATCACCTTTCCCTGTAAGTGCTTGTACCTAATTAGGTTTAGTCGATAAAGCTTAATCAAAGTACTTTTATGATTCTAATTCTAGTTCAATTTCTTATTCTAGTTCAATTTAATGTTTAGGTTTAGCTAAATTTCTGAAATAAAAATACGTTTCCCTTATAATAAGGCTTCAATCTTATATTAATGTAATGCTTTGGCTTTAGTTTATTAATATTTATTTACCTTTATCACTTAATTTAGCCTCCAACTATTTATTAAAAGTTGTCTTCTCTATATTTATTTTTTTATATAATACCTTTCTCTTTAAGACGAATGTCTAACTTCTCTTTGGTTTAATCTTCTAAAAGATACATAGTCATAATCTAATACCCTTTTCTTTGAAACGCTATTCCAATTTTAGCTTTTCTAATGAATCTAATTATGAAATAAGGAGTTGTTTACCTCTTTCAAAGAGACTAGATTCTGTTTTCTATTTACTCAACACTTTGGCTAGATAAACTTAAAGATAGTAATACGTTTAGCTAATTTATTAAAATCTAACTCTAATTGATAAAGTGCTTTGGCTATACATTTTTGATTAAAAGAATAAATTACCTTTCCCTACTAAACTGGATACGTGATTAGGGGCTATACCCAATGCTCGATCATACCATTATATGGCTTTCTAATATTTATCGAATTGCTACAAAGCATCCCCTTATGTATATTCAGGAACAGTTACCTTTTCCACATAGTGAATCAACCATATTGGGATCTAGACTTATTGCTGCATCAAACCAATAAAGTGCTTGATTCCTTTTTTATTGTTGCAACAGTTTTTAACCTAAATTAATAGAATGACAACCTAATGCTATCATAGACTTAATGTCATTAGGGTTTCTTTTTAGAACATCTTCATAATCATATCTCAATATTTTAGACATTATAAATTTTAATATACATTTTCAATCCTTTTTTATTTTACCTTCCTCAATCAACACAGGGATTTCAGCTGCCAACCAAGGGGCTAACTATATTATTTATCAACATTAAATATATTACAGCCAGTTATAGAGCATGAACAATCCCAAACTTGGGTGCATTCTTCTACCATAAAGGAGCGAAATGAATGTCAATGCAGATCTTGCCACCTCTGTACATTTTAGGTGTCAAACCATCTAATGATGGAATTTCGATTTCTATAGGTGCCAATGGATATGTTGGTGGAATCTAAATATTCATGTTTGCTAACTTCAAATTAAAAATCAAATTCATATCTAATCAAATTATGGACTACCCAGCACTTTCCTTTCCAACTATTAAATAATCCTTCATTGTTATTACTTTGTGCATTCTTTATTTGCTGGTTCCAATTTTACCCAATCGTTATCTTCACTTTTATTGTTTTTTATATAGTTGATCAAAGCAGCATATTCTTCTTTTAGTCTATCTATCCATTATGCATCTCTGGGTCCTGCACTGATCGTGATATTAGTCTGTTGTGATTGAGTTTACATAATTATTTAATATATAAATATTTCATCTCATTAAAATTAAAATAAAGATTATTAAAATAATGGGGAAGCAGTACAACAGTTTAAATATAGAGAATTTACTCTCAACTTGCTTTTCAATTGTTTTTTTAGATATTTTTGGAGGGGAATTTTTTTAACATTTGGCTGGAATCACTTAATTTATTATATTGAATATTTACAATATTACTGAATTGCAGAATTAAGTGTTTCTTTTTTTTCACCTGGTTTATTTTGAAAAGTTTAATGATTGCTTTAATTCTTCACTAATACTGAAGTTTTTATTGTTTATAACGTATTAACAGAATTTGTAATTATGGATTGTTCAGTTACTTCGCTCTAAACTATTTTAAACCAATTATTACATCAGAAATGGCATTTTTTGAAATATCTGAATATTATGTTACATATCTAACTCCAGGCAGTGCTTTGAATGATCCTTTTTTTTCATTAACTGTGATATCTGTGCTCTTTTACTAAGGATCATCTTCTTTAAATATTTTCTATCCCAATATCAATAATTTATGATTAGAATTTTAAGATCTAAGTTTCTTATCTCCTCTATAATATTTAATCGAAGGTCGAGATATTTTGGAAGGGACTTGATTAATCTAATAGAAATATTATTTAAGTTTTTAAATTAGGAAGTGATTAATTTGATTAGCTGCAATTATCTTAGGTTTTATTTTGTCTTCTTCAATTTAAGACTAGTCTAGATTCTCACTAATATCAATAGATTTTATTTCTCTGATATCTAATTTTTGATTGCATCCAGAACTTAGATGAAACAGAAATGCAAATTATGCTTTTATCATCACCTAACTTAAAATTCCAATCAATAATGACGTACTGGCAAATTTCATGGCCAATTATTCTTTAGCACTCATCAATTAATTATTTATTTCATGTTCCTGGAGATCTTGGAGTGTTTGTTATTCTAATTACTATTATTGTGAAAATTCAGAATCCAATAAACTTACTTATTGAGAATGAATGTTAGCATTATAAATGTATTAAGAAATTGTTAGTAACGCTTCTAATTACATTGATTTTATCTTTTATTTTGTTATTAAAGCAATTTTCCTAAATATTTTTGATTATAATAGTCTTGTCTTGAGAATTTGGAAGTGTTAAGTTTGTTTTTTTCTGAATAACCGCATTAAAATGCTATTGAAGGATATTTGTTTATTTTTTTTGTTTTGATTATATTGTAATATATTGAAGTAACTGCGAACACGCTTATTATACATAGATTTAATTAATAAACAAGGCGCAATAGAGAATTTAGGCTGAAACTTGACACTTTTCTTTTTTGTTGGAGGTGTTAAATATTAAATTTACCCTTATTAATTTTTATTTAAAATCGGCATAGGTATAGGATTAGCATTTGGTGTTTTGGTCAAAAGCAAAACATCAAAATAATGTTATAACCTTATTGCTTTGATTTTATGGCAGATTCCCACTATCTTATGAGTTGCAAGAACTATTTTCAATTACGTAAATCTCAAAGCTAATTTGCAGCTTTAATCTTCTTTCATCTCAGAATACACTTTTAATGTTGCTTTGACTGCAGAGTTTCTTTAGGAACTCTAATTGCTCATGCTTAATAACTAATTCTAATCAGGATTAGTTTTATTTCTTCGTTCAGCAAAATTCATAATAAATTATATTTCAATAATTAAGGATACTTTTTAAGTCATGCTAGTGTTGCCATTTTAATTGATATCTAGTTTAGATTGTAATATAAATTAACTAATCACATCAACATCCCCTATCCATGAATTCTTTTGGTTTTGATATCAGTCAAAGAATTGAACCAAAAAAGGAGGACTTTTTGGAAAGTAACTCATTTAGTTCAACACTATATATCTGAAATTAACTGAACTATATTACTTTTTATCAGAACTAGCCTCTATTTAGATTTAGAATCTTTACTAATAATTTTAATCTTGAAATAGGATTATAAAAATGTTAGTCTTTAAGTATTGTGATCCATGCTACTTATTGGAATCTCATTATTTTCTCTGAATCGATTGAATTTGATGTCGACTAATGAGTTCCTTCTTTATTATTTAAGTTTAAATTCTTTATTTCTTTTATTTTGTTTGGTTAATAACCTACAAACTTTATCTCTTATTTATAAGATTAACTTTATGTCTAATCGAAACATTTTAAGATAACGAAATCCACCCTAATTGGAAGATTTGTTATTGAATTCAGTGATTTTAATAATGCTTAATTAGGAAATAGTGATGTAAGATATTATGTTTTGATGTAAAGTTATTTCATATAATGGATCATCTCTCTATTCTCCTTCTGAATAAATAATTGGCAGCACATTAAAAATTCATAGCCAGATGGATTGATCAGATAAAGGAATTAGATATTGATTTTACATAAAGTTATTTTCTTATCTTTATAGAGAGTTACATTTCTAAATGTTATTATCTACAAAATTGTGAAAATGTTATTATGATATACATTTTTATATCAAAAGAAACTTCGATTCATACTTAAAAGATATTCCTAACTATACTAAACTTCAACATTTCCATCTACGAATAATGTATGCCATTTGATAATTATCATCTTAAAAAATGTAACAAATCTATAATTCTGTGATCTATTTTATTATTACCACCTTTCTAATTCTTAATCATAAATTATAAGAAATTGATTGAAATTTAACATTAACAACTTAGATTTCCATTATCTTTGTACACTGTTAATTAATGACATAAATATTATTTGATTATTTTTATAATTCCTTTATCAAATTTAAAAATACTTTGTATTAAATTGATAAATCTACTTTATAAATAAAAATGATCAATTTTTTTTAAAATCTGTGATTGCATCAATGAAATTCGGAAAATCATCTTTATGGATTTCGATTACTGAAGTTTCAAAACTATCTTGTCTGAATTATAGATTCAATTCCTAGACTTTTCTTAGGAAATATTATCCAAACTAACTAAAAATGATTAGAATGAATAGGAATACTTTTTTTCTTGTCCACTAAAACTCATTCCTCCGACCACTCCAACCACCATGAATAACTCACCCAATTGATTAACTAGAATGACTGACTTATTGGATTATTTGTATCCCTTTTCTTTGTAGATATCCATAAGGAGGAGAGCTAATTTTTATAAGCTTTAAGGATGTTGAAAGAACTTCTTCTGCTAAGGACTTTCATTTTTCAAAATTCCATATCTGAAATGCTTGCATGGATAAAGCTCGTTGTTTTCGATAAGATTGTTGGCTTCATCAACCAGAGCAGCTTGGAACTCCAAAGCCATTTGTACTCCTTGTTGGAACAGGTCATCAGATTTACTAATAAGAATAGAGTATTGAGTTGTACCTGCCCAAAGTGTCTAAGGCACAAAAGAAATTCTAGAATTTGGCTGCAGTTTCAGAGGTCTTCAACTTTTCAATGACTTCAGAACATTGATGTTGCATTAATTGTTTAGAGAGCAATGCTTATGGGTATTCAAGGATTGCATTAACAGCGTAAACCATATCGCTGGCTGCAATTTATATTTTAGTATCAGATTGGCGAACAAATGATCTATAAAGAATATCATCCATCTGAAATTTAGATGCCACCTCAGCAATTTAGGATTTCAATATTTATTTGTATTTCTAATTCATGTATCGAAAATCCTATTTTGCTTCATTTAATGGAATACCTAATTTAGCCATAAACTCTTCCAATCTTTTGTTGTCCCTATCCTTCCACAATTTGAGTTTAGTTCCGACATAGGAAGAATAGTACATTGAGTTATAAAGTGATTGTTGTCTCATGAGCAAGAATTTGTATTCGTTTTCAATGAAGACTCCTCCAATCTTCTTAGCATCTCCTTGAGTTTCCTCGAAATGGATGTTCAATCTGATGACTTCATTCTGCAATTCTTCAAAAATGAGATCATAATTCTTTTGGTTCAATCGCATATGAATATAGGCATCAGTCAATCCCAGAATTGCATACCATAAATGATCGTTGCAATCGTGATTCATTTGTTAAGCCAAAGTATAAACCACAGTCGAACTTGGTCTGCTGTAATAGGTTCCTTGACTGTAGTAATCTTCATGCATTTGAATGAGTTATTTGCGAAGACTTCTTTGCAATTTCTGCTATTGCTTCCTTTGAATTTATGATGAATGAGATCCTGAGTCGTCTTCATCGATTGAGTCTTCGTCTCCATCACTCATTTCTTTGATTTCCTCCTCTGGACATTTCTCCAGTTGTCCCATGCCATCATCTATAATATAGATACTCTTCTCGTTATTCACATTGTTGTGATTGATGGGCTTGTGACTGTCAAATATGAAGAACTTGATGTCTCCCTTTATAAAGTCACTCATGTCATACACATTTCCACAATTTAATAAAATTATACTCTTATACATATTCCCACATTTCTGAATTGCTTCAGTCATTTCAGAGTACCCAGAAACTGGGATCATTCTGAATTGCAGGTTCTCCCTATTCAACAAGGACTATCAATAGAATTATGACAATTACAGTGAGAATCCTTAATGCGCATATGGCGTCTACGTCCAAAGATACTATAATGCATACGGAGGTCTTGCCAAATTCACTTCTCTTTAAGATTTTTTGGAAACATTCCTTTATATTGTTTAAGAGGATTTTCATGAAAAAAGGAGGGAATTTTAATTATTATATTATTATTTTTAACAATTAGATAATTTGAATTAATTAATATGAATTCGCAGTATTCCCTATACATATAGTGGATTTCTCAATCTTACAAAGGATCTAAAAAAAGATGCTTATATTATTACCTTATTTACATCTAATAGATTAGGAATAAAATAATTAAATTAATTAAATAATTTAAAGTGAGAGAAAATGAATTTAATGCAATTTGATGCTCTATGTCACGATTGCTGCTATGCTCAATCGGTTGAAGTATTGTACATTTTTATTGCTTTTAGAAGAAATAATTGGCTGATCAAACCATTTATCAATTCATAGAAGATATCAGAAATATCGATGGATTGTATTAAATCATAGGCCAAACCCAGTCAGGCTCTACGTTATTTGTCATTTCTGAATTCATAGCCAAAATTATAGTTTCTGAACGATAATTCAAAGGATTTTAGGTGGCTGAACGATCCTCACAAGAAATCCAAGTTATTGTTGGGCAATGCTATACGGGCGAGGAGGTGGAGATCTTGTATCAAAAATGCAGAGTATATGAGACTTTGGTGACCTTATTCTGCCAGACTTTGCAGAGAGAATTAGCGACTCATGCGCAAAACTCCATCTGCAATCTCGTGGGGTTGTTGATATAACAAGTGATGATGTTGAGTGGAACTCAATTCATGAAATTCTAAGACCAACTAAATGTATTTTTTGAGGGAAATTAAATTTACAATCTCAGCATTGGCTTGAAATTGATATAGAATGTGATTCAGAATATCTAGCAATATTCATCATACGATTCGTATGTGTCTTATAGGAGAATTATGTTTGGATTCTAGAATCAGGAAATATTCAATTGTTTTGAGATCGTCTGCAGAATTGTTAAAAATAATCCACCTCAATTATACAAGTAATCACTGAGCACATTGAAGGATATATTGATGTTTAATTTCAATGTGAGTTATTTTGAATTAGAATCTGATTTCGATCCAAATGACTAAAACAACGTTAGTGTAAGAATACATCTATGACTTTTAGTTTCCAGATAAATTCGCTGATTATTTTACAGATTAATAATTTTTAGAGTTACTATTCAAGATTGTGGAGACCTATTGTAATAAGGACACCTCTTTGGCAACATTAGCTTTGAAATCATTAAAAAGAATGGCATCAGCCAAGAAGAAGATATTCACTAGCAAAGACAAAAAGAGGTTATTTGCAAAAGCACTATATGATGGTTGCACCTACTTATTTTAGAATGTGCAATCAACTAACGAAGAGATCATAAGTGATATCTTAGAATTGAATACTAAATTAAACAATTGTTTCGGTCTCAGACAAATACGATTCGATTTTGCATTCTGTTAGAAGTGGCTCTATTGTTTATAAACCTATTGCATTCAGATATTGCAGAGACAAATGAAGATTAAAGATCCCCACATGTATTAGATGATTGAATTAATGAAGAGACTGCTTAAATTCATTTCTGATTTTAAATTAGACACAACCTTTAAAACCTCAATCTCTTCAACAATCACTGAAATTGGAAAATCAGTCATCCATCTACTGCTCAATTCCTAGAACTCCTTCTTTTAAGGCTACACTCCTCAAAATCACAAGAAGTTGAAGAACACTCTCAAGGAATTCTTTGAAAATCTATTCCCAATCTTATCCATTGATCTAGGTAATCACATTAAGATGATATATCACTCATTCAAAAATGCCGCTTAGGATCAGGAGAAATTCATAATCGAATTAAGTTTAATCAATTACATTGTGATAAATCCATTGATCCTGGAAAGAACATCTGAAGATATCATTTAAATGGTTCAGACTGTAATCAAGGAATCTCTGCAATTCTTGTCAATCCCTCAGAACAATCTACCGCCTTTGGTGATTATGTCAGCAATGTCTCTGGCTGATAATCTGTTCTAGTTTGCCTTGAGTGAATCAGATGAGTCCATAGGGAGATAGAGATCCAACAAAATCTTTTTCGATACTTGTATCAAGCCTATTCAAGTTCAACCATAATAGGCAACGAACCAGTTGCTTCAATACATCGTTATGCAACTGCAAATTCAAAATAAAGAAATCATCGAATATGCTTTGGTTATAATGAAGGAGACCATTGTAAGACTTAAGCATCATCTGTACAACGAGTCATTTCAATCCTCAAATGTAGTCACTCAAATAAAGAGTGTATTACTCAATCTAAAGAATTCTGCCTTGCAATAGGAGCAGTTTTTTAGTTGCCGCACATTGGCCTCAGAAATCATATCCATACTCCTATTCGATTCAGCCTATGAGAATTACATAGAGTCGATTGTATAATTAAATCAACTCCTGACAGTTCAGCCGACTTCTCAATCAATCCAAATATATCTATACGAAATGCTTGGCTATTTCAAACATGTAGATGTCAGTAAGATTTTTAGATTATTGATAAAATAACATTTATTGAAAATAGCAGATTTGACTAGATTTATTTTGATTGATAATCCCTAACAATTTCAGCTGTGTAAATTATGTTTGAAATTGATGGTTGCCATAACTGAAAATAAGAGTCTCCGATTTCAATACCATAGTTCTTCGATCGTCTAGATTGAATTAGTTAGGACCTTCCAAGGAATCCTGACTAGCTACGTTCAGCATCTGATTGTTGCCATCTAGAATGAGAAAGTCAAATAAGAATTTTCTGCTTAGATCTGTAGATTGGTAGGATTGGTGTATAAAATAATGAACAACATCCTTAAAGGGAAGTACATATCTCAAGCTTGCCAATTGTTATTTGCAGATCGTAAATACTTAGATCTCTTGGTAGCCATTCTAGATATCACATACAAGATCTCCAATTACATCATAGTAATCACTCCTTGTTATTTTTTTAGCTGTATAACAAGTCCTGTTTGCAAATGATTCAAGTTCTCCAAGTTGTCAGTTCACAACAATTGTAACTATTTGAATTGAGTCCGCAGTCCTTATCAACCTTGATGAGCATAGTCGAAAATCTATAGAAGCATTTGCTGGTGCAATTGTCTTAAGAATACAAAGTCTCCACTTCTTCCTCATATCATCAACCAGCAGATAAGGTTTCATTAGATCAAACTACAGATATTGTTATTTCGACTTTGGAATTTGTTTCAGAAGAACAGCAACTCACGTAATTGGGAGTGATTCAGTCCTTTGTTGTACCTCTGAATCCTATCATTGATAATATCTTGAATGATTTGATTGTCTGTTTAATACAAGGCAAATGTTCTCAATAAACATTCAATAAAATCAACAGACAACTCTTTGCCATCATGTGTACATATTATCAAAACTTCGTTAATGTATTGAGTAGACAATTTGTCAAATCTGAATAACAATTAGGACAGGCCTTGGTTAATGTTTTAACCAAAGATCTAGAACTCAGGATCAAACAACAGAACGAAGAGTAGTTTAAAAAGAACATGCCCTTATTTTTATCTTAATTTGGAATATTATGAGAATATATTTTATTTTGTTATTAAATACATTTATTTTTCATGAACAAAAGATTTAATACTCAATATCCTATCGCCCCTCCCATGAATGATATCTCAAACCTATACAAAAGAATCAGAATAGAAGAACAATTATAATTATTCGATGAAGTTATCAAGAAAGTTAAAATTAAGAAACTAATAATCTAAACACCAAAAAACAAAGAACCCTTCTTGGTTCAAGCTAAATCCATTCAACTCAAAACAGAACGGACCCTTTCTGTTCGTTCACCAAGAATTCCTAAAATTTTAAAGAAATAAGTTCTCCCCAAACTCGTAAGACAGAAACCCTCCATTTCTGGCTGGGAAGTAAACATACACAATGATTCATAAATGTATTATTGATAACATTATCATCAAATTGATGTCTATTCCCTTCACTTCCTTAATAAACTAACATCTCCCTTTGCGTAATGAAACTTTTTAAATAAGAAACATTTCTTCAGACGCATATGTTGTTATGTTGTTACTAACTAGAAACTCTAATTCGAAAAACAAAAAACAATTAATCCATATATAGTACTAACAATAAATATAACTGAAAATTAATTTCTAGTGTAAGGATCCACTTGTCCAATTGTCAGGTCAAAATTTTATTAGCTGTTTTTCATATTATTATTATTTATTTTAGTTTTTTTTCAATTAAGGATATGTTAAACTTATGTTTATAGTTTCTTAAATTTGAAACTAATTTGCTGCTATCCTATCTTAAGCTCTGATAATAAGCATTTCAAGTTTTTGGTTTTATTATCAATTCCTTTGCTACTCTCTCTAAATTAAATGCCTTAATTATATTTCTAACATTTAACCATTATTCATATAATATTAAATCTAGTATTCCCATCTTTTAATTATTCAAGTTTACTCTATTTGGAGAATTTATTAGTTTTTGTGTAATTTAAATTTCAATTGATTAACTAACTTAAAGAAACCCTCATCTTTACTTTGATCATCATTTTTATTGATTAATTCTACTATTTCATTAAATGAGTAGAGCATTATTTTTGAAAATTTTTGTATTGAATATATCGTATAATATCTAACATATCAAATATTTAGAATAAATTAACAAGTACTTCAATCTTTACATTTCTTTTTAAGGAATGATTCAATATTATTCCAATAAATCCCTTATATACATTGTATGATTCATTAAATTTAATTAATTATTCTTTATTAAAAGGTAATATTTTATATTATTAATTTAGACATATCGTACATTGTTGTTAACACTAACTTATAAGTATATGCATAATGATTTAATCATTATAACAGTTTTATTAAAATAATCATTACGCTTAGTTTAAGTTTATTATTATTGTTGAATTGTACTTCAGACACCTTTAATAGTTTTGAGAAAAAATGATTATGAATTTTGAGAAAAATGCATAAATGTTAAAAGACTATATATATATCTAAATAAAGTATTTTTAATAAATCAAAATTGACAACATTCAGATCCGCAACAATTTCTATTTTTTTCTACCATGCTTTATTCCATATGTTCTATATTCAATTCATGTTGTTTAGTTTTTAGATTTGATTTTGCTTTACTCATATTTCGTTATTAAGAAATATGGCTCTCTCTCAGACTATCAATGCTGACATCCAAGGATTATTTTCTTATATTAGATACTCTATTTTTTGTTGCATTTTAAGTATGTCGCTTACCTCCAGGTAATTATTCTGAATCTCCATTTGAATTTTAAACGCTGTGTTTGCTATTTACTAAATTTTCATTGACTGGATTGGACATGGACTTATCAAATATATAATATTAATTAATACTAATGGAGAATCGAAAGAACCACAATATCCATCAGTTTTATTGAAAGGAATATATATGCTCTGAGCTGATCTTGCTTATTGTTGATTGGCTATAATGAGACTGCCCTTTCGTTATTATTCTATCCATTATTTTCTGAGAGAATATTGTTTTCTAAAATAATCTCATTTAAATAAATTACTTCATTTACATTTTAATCATGGATTATGCTTAGTAATTGGTTTCACTTTCATTAAAGTCTTGCCACTCCCCAATATCACCTTCTGGGAGTTAGAAGGGCATTCTTTATAAATTGTTCTCGTAGAATTTTAAATATCCTAAGACAATATCACCAAATTGTTGAATTGTAACAATTTCATAATAGCGATACTTAATGTCCTGAACTAGAGATGGATCTTAATTTTTTAGGTGAATTTAATTAGATCGATTCAGTTGGACACTTAATCTATTTCTAGACTATAACCAAAATGGATGCTCTTAGCCAACTGTATCTAAGACTGCTTACATATCTGTAGCAGCTTTCATGACATTTATAAAATCACTCCAGAGAACTTAAAAACTGATTGTTTACATTTTTTATATTTTTCAAATTATATTAAACAACCAAATTTTGTTTTAACTTTTTGTCTTATCCTTTTGATTTCAGAAATATTAGAAAAAATATCATAAAATATATGATTTATATGTCAGGATAGTCAGCCATACAATTGTATCTAAGAAAAAAATCTTGATTTGAAACTAAGAAAGTTTTTCATACTCTGGTACAAGCAAGATTTGGAAAAACGTTGCTAATCATTAATATGTTGGATTAATAATAACTTATAGGTTCTTCCTTTATTTGTTAAGTAAATACTTACATCAATATAAGAGTAACATAATTCAATTTTTAATATAAACTATTGGAAATCAATGTGAAAATAAGAATTACACAATAATCAAAAATTTTTGCTCATCTGGAATAAAATCTAAATTTTTTTATTTTAATTGATTAGAGAAAGTAATAAATAGAATTTATTAAAAAATGGTTATATAATCCAATTACTTTGATTTTAATTTTATTCGTATATTTCAAAAGTTTTTGTAGTTAAATAATAAGAAAAAATAGAAAATATAATGCAAGAAAAATTTCTTAAGATATTATTCTCAATATATATTTTTCTTTCTTTTTCTATTTTTAGTATTCCTTTCTCCCTTCAGTGTAAGTGTATAAACCATAGCCTTACAGTTCTCAACCTCCTCCTTATGCTGACTATACAATTATTAAAACAGTTAAATATCGGAGTATTCAATCTAGGTAATATAATAAATAAACCAATTATAATTAGGTTGATGAAATAATCAGATTAATAAAAGACTCATGTACCCAGATCGATGAGTTAACATCTACTGACAGAATAAGAAATAAAGAAGATTTTCCCATATACTTAAAGCATTCATAATAGATATTTGGAACAAAATAGAATGGAGAGCATCAGAGATGAATTAAATAATTAGTAGTAATAATCGATCTCCTCTCATATTAAGGATCTCATAGTCAAGTAATGATAATATTCAATTGATAATAGAGATAAGCTGAAGCCTAAATTATTACAACCAATAACTATGTTGGATGAAAGCTGCAATAGAGGAGTTAGAAGAATGAAGAAACTATTATATCATGATTCATAAAATATTAACCTCCACAATATCAATTAAAGAAGGGAAATGGTTTAATTGGCATAATGGTTAGATATGATGGTAGAATAGGTTCATTCCTAAAAGATAACCGATTATTAAGAATACTACAACAAATTGGAAATAGTCTTTCAAGGTTCTGTTTTGGAATTAGAGAGATAAATTACAACTGTAGGATTTGAGTTTGGACAATTTTTAAAGAAGTTGTGGGAAGCTTTTACATAAGAAGTTCAAAAAATAATTTTAGGATTGCAACAAAGAAATTAATAAATAGAATAGAAATGCTTAGAAGATATCAACCAATTGCATAGGAATTATTAAGATGCTATTGAAAAATAAGCAGAATCTATGAGGTTGATGAAGGAAGAAGCATTATCTGTTTAGAATAATATTGTAAAAATGAAGAAGGAGAATGTATATTTGAGGAAGAAAGATAAAAGAAGAGAAGAGCAATTGAATGATCTCATGAGTGACTTTTGGGAATAGAATTTGCATTTAATCGAATATTAAGGAATAGACAAATTTCATAAGTAGGCCCAGACAGCGGAGGAGATGGATCTAGTTTTATAATAGAAGGATATGTTTGAGTTCTTTAAACAGAAATTCGAAGTGCATAAAAAAGAAATTGAAAATTAATATAAGTAAGATTTTAAATGATTTAGAATTCTTACATTACAGGATGAATATTATGATGGATCAACTCATTTAATTATAACTGAATCCTCAGTTGATACAAGTGATCTTATTAAGACAAGAGAGTAAAGTGAAGATACATCTGAATATTATATATATGTGAGTACTTCAACTTAGACTCCAAAACAAGCAAAGAAAGTGGATGAAGAAATATAAGTGTAACCTTCTTAAGGAAATCAAGAATCTTAAGTCAATTCAATATAATTGAGAAAAGAGAGAGTGCCTCGAAATTAAACAGAGTCAAAATTGTTTAGGAGAGCTAAATTTCCTTTATCTGAGATTATTTCAGAATATAGTTCCCTATATTTCCCTGAGTAAGAACTGAGTAGTAATGATCCTTAATTTATTGTCATTATGGCTGATTAAATAGCTTAATTAAAGGATAGAATTGAAGATTTATTAACTGTCTTGAATTTGAGAGGAGACAATTCTAGTGAAGATATTTTAGCAATTAAATAATATCTGCAATTGAATTATGGCAATTTCAATTTTTATTTTAATGTAGATCGTATATACCATATTGTAGTAATGTTGGAATGTGTTATAAACACAAATCTCGGTTGTGATGGATGCTAAAATAGACAAAGAAGAAATGGAACTTGAAATGAAAGAAATTGAGAATAAATTTAATGAGAACATTGTTTTATTCAAGAAATATCATAATAGAACTAAAGAAAAAGAAACCATTGTAAAATTATTTAATATTACGAGTCTAAATTTTATGAAGACTCCTTAATAAAGGTTATCAGATATGCTCCATAATTTTTAATTAATCAAATAAAAGAGTAAGCTAGCACATATGGAGTTTTGGAGAATGTTGAATTTAAGGAGTTTAAACGAAGGCAAGGTACAAATGTCGATCCAAAATAATAATAACAATTATCTGCAAAAGATTTGGACTCACCAACCCGATCTCCTAATAAGACTTTGACAACAATCAATATTTCTAAGCCAATAATGAAAATTTAAAAAATAGGCAGCCAAATTGAAATCTCTAGCAAAGATGATGATGACGTTTACAAAAGTGATTCATCCAAAGAAGGGTCAGGAGATGAGAGTGATGTTTCCTTTAGTTAAATAAAATTGGATTTCAAACAAAGCAAACCAAAATTAACAATTGAAAAGAAACTAAGAATATCTACTTGTCCTATAAAATCAGCATCGTATGCTACTAATTTATTAAAACAAAGTATTATTAATTGTTATTATTTAAGTGATATCAAAATTCAATATCAATCAGAGAACTGGATTATATCAATTAAGTACTATCCTCTAAAGTTATCAAGAATTAATCATGAAAATTCCTAATACTATTTAAAATACTCCTCTTCATGTGCATATGTATGAAAATATTGTTTCACATTATGGCTAATCATAATTTAGTGATGCAAATAGATACAAGAGAACCATTAAGAGTTTCTTATTTTTTGAATAAAAAAGCAGCACTTGTCAATTAGTTGTTAAATTTTTGAAAGCTGAATATGATATTTAGGATCTTAACCTATATCTACAAATAGTTTAATCAATGTAAGAATATCCAAGTGTTTCATATTCAAAATTCATAGACACACTACTTAAATGGTTTTCTGATAATAAGTATTCTCAAAGTGAAATTGAAAATATCATATATGACATCTCCACATCATAAGTAGCATATATGTAGAGTTAATAAGGACCATGTGATTATGATATTTTGATGTACTAGTTTTTAGAGATCTTTCAAAAATACAAGAATCGTACATCTATTAAATATAAGCATCTCTACATCTCTGTTGATCTTTTGAATAAAGGAAGTATTGATTTTTATTAATGGAACTTTCTTTATGAAGTATTATGTTGCATCAACTACTCATTTTCAATTAGACTATTCTACTAAGAAGCTGATTATTGTGGAGATAGTGGAAAGATGATGTCAAAATAAAGATTTACATTAGTTTGTGATGAATTAAAGATATTTTAGGAAGATGATCAAATTAAATTATTAGATAGGGAGACATATTTTACAATAAGGGAAAAGATCAATACTTAATGGATGAAAGAAAAGATAGTAATGAAAATGTCATTCATTAAAGCAAACAAAGTAATTATTCAATTAAATATATAGTATAATAAATTTATTAAGAGTATTTTTGGAGCAATTGATTCTTTTGTTCAAAATCCAAATACTTGTTAATTTGAACCTGAATCAATTTGTTACATGTACAAACTATTATAAAAAACCTGGAAGCCCTACTTTTTGGAATCGCAATTAAATATAGGCATACCTGTAGAAATTTCACTTATCAATACTACTTACAGGAAGTTGGAACTCAAAGTTCTCAATAAAGATTGAAACTTTACATTATTCATTATCTCATAGAAATATATCTAAATTTAATAATAATATTAGGCTTTATTTCTTTATATTTTCATAGTTTTTAGTTAATATTCTATTTGAAATTAAGGAGAAGTAAATATTTTTGAGAACATTCTTATTTCTTTAAAACATAGTAAATAGACTTTTAAGTTTTAATTTATAAAGTTAAAGTATTTCCATAAGCAATTATAATAAGGTCCTTATATATTTAATACTTCTACCCTTTGTTTCTAATCGGATCTATTAGAAATACAAACTTGGAAAGATATAATTTTCTAATAGGTCAACTAGGTACTTAATTCATCTAATCAGTTTAAATCCTCCTTAAACGACCTATAAAAATCGATTGTAGGAAGTATCCATCAAAAATTTTAGCCAATTTCTCTTTGATTATTTGGATCCCAATAGTTTCGAGTGTATTTAGCATTGCATTATGCAGATCGAATTTATTAATGACACTATATTTTAAGATGATACTTTTTTCGCCTAAATTTAAGATATGAACAATTTACATTAGAATGACTCTTATTATTTATCTATTATTATTATTTATAAAATATTTATGAGTAAATAGAAGTAAACTGATAATAAAACTAATGAATAATTTATTAGTGATTTGCGATCTCTTTTTGAAGTCACTAGCAATAGACACAAGCAGGATAAGGATTTCTTGAAAAAATTTACATCCCTTATGAAAAAGGAAAAACTAGTTGATAAAAAAAATATCGTGAATGAAATGCTAAATTTGTTTAAGTTGGCTTCCAATTCTAAAACTCTTTATTTTAATACTATTGTTGATGGCTTATTGCTTCTGTAAGCCAAAGACATCAATATTAATGTTGTATTGGCAGAAGCTATTAAAGGTCCATGTTAAATAGATAAAAAATCAAAAGAAAATTAAGATAATGAAGAAATCAAACTCTTTTGTTTTTAGAAATTAGAAATTCAACATGCAGAGACACAACTCAACTTATCTAAGGTTTTGGTTTTCATGGAAAGAGTATTAAAGATGATATCCAATAAAACTAAAGAGGAAATCAAAAAGATGTTTTAATTCATGACTTCCATTCAGGATATCTTAAGCTAATAATTACAATTATAAAGCTTGATTTGTATACTTATACTTAAAATTGTATTGACTTTAAGAAAAGAATCAGCATTACAGAAGACCGATATGAAAGTCTTATATAATTTAATCGATGAATAAAGTATTCACTTAGTCTTTAAAAATATCCTAACGATCGCAAAAACCACTTGTATACATATGCATTTTATAATTTAGATGTTCATAAATATTATCATTACATATTTAAAAGTTGCTTCATGTTATTAAGCGAGATTTGTATCAAAAATAAAATGGCTATCTACTTTTAAACATTCCTATGTAGTCCAATTAGCTAAACTCATCTGAAAACAATTTTTAATATCATAAAAGAATTTAATTATTAATTTTTCCAAGACATCAAGGATGTGGTAACTATATTTATACTATTTTATAAGCCATATTTATTCGAAAAACCAAGATTTCTAATAGATTACATTCCAACCAACTTTTTATTAGGATTACTCAACAGGAATCCAGGAAATTGGATGTGTGTCTAGAATTTCATCCAAAATCATATTCAAATTGATGATAAATACTTAAACTTCACACTTGCCAACTTAGCATAAAGATAATCTAAAATAGTAGACCCTGGATGCATCTTCTAGTCAAATAAATTGTAATGTTATACACAATTAAATAATAGGAAGAAGAAGAACATTACTCAAATCGACTAATTGTTGACTGAATCCATTCAATAACAGTAAGATGTTGGAGATTATAACACTTACATATATTGTTAATTACATCTCTTGTTATATTTGAATTCCTTCGATTTAACAAGTAATTACTTCAATAAAACATAAATATCATGTGATTCAAGATTCTTCAAGAGATTATTCTTGCTAAAATTGGAAGATAAAATGTAATAATAGTATAAATCATTTTTAGCTATAAATATTAAGATGTTACAAGATTATCAAAGCCTAGACAAGGGATTAATTAATACTTCACTTTTTAAATTAACAAATAACTAAAATAGTTAAAGCATCCAATTGCATAAAGTCAAATAAAAAACATCTATCAGGATATCAAATAAATGCTAAATATAAACTATCATTTCTAATTCCCCTTTATTTCTAAATTTTCCTCGTATATCAAGGTTCTCTTCAAAGATTTGAATCAGTAATTCCTCAATAATACACTTTTTCCATTTGATTATCAATAATACTTTGGCTTAAGTATGACTTTCTCACCTATATAGTAATGATATTAAGTTCGTACTCAAAGTAAGCTTTCCAAGCCTTAATATTCTCCATATTTAATTCATTATTGGCAATGAAGAAGCCTCACACTGTGCATTAAGAATTAACAAGATTTTAGTTGTCTGCCTTAGAAGAAGTCGGGGTAATGTTCAATGAGATGAACATTGAGGATTCGATATTTTAATAGATGATAATTGGTTCTATTCACTTCTTTATTACTTTTGAAATTAAAAAGAATTCAAAGTTAAATTAATTCACTCAAATTCTTGAACGATTGAAGACTTATTTAAGATTGAATTGGAAGAGCGAGTAGAGTGTGTTAAAACAATACAAGTAACTTATGTTAATGGCTGTCGATCGATTCTTGATGTTGAATGGATTGGGGTAATTATTCATAGTATTTAGGGCATAATCTTTAAAGAATAATCAAAGCAAATTTATGAGATTCTTCAATACTCATTTAGTCAACAATATTGATTTCATTGAAGTCTTGATCAAATTAACTCAACATATCAAGATTCAAGAGGTTTCAAAATATTTGGAATATCTGGGAGAATGCTATTTAGGTAGTTTGGCTATACATCAATAGAATAGAAGTGTGAAGTTCTAATTGTGTACTCAGGTAAATAAGAGAGTTATAATAGATTCTGTATCATCATAGAAAGAATGCGTTGATTTATTTGGAACAAAACATGAAGGATCCAAATCAACTTTATGAATTGCTCTACTTCTTTTAGAGAGAGAAAAGATTGAAATAAGAACAACCTAATGTGGAGTCAAATGGAAGATACTAGTGCAGAAAGAAATTAGTGTATTTGTTTATGAAAGAATCATAATTTACAAAGGTGCATTATAATTGTTTATTGAAATTATTAAAATGAAAAAAAATTAAAAACATATATGTTGGATCTGTTACTAAACAAACACGCACAAGAGATTTAAACCATGCTATTGCAAAGGATCTTTGTCATATATTCATAGGAAATGCTTAAATGAATGGGCGACAAAGTAGTACAATCAAAACAATTAGATAATTAAATGTCCTAATTGCAAATATGAATATTTATTTGCGATAAAAGAATGCTATAAAGTATACCTAAAGGTTATTTAAGTTGCGTAATTTTTCAACATGGCAATTTTGTGATTCAATTGAGAAGATAGTCTTAATTTGCATGACTCTAGGTTTAATAATGATATCTGGACTCGATTTTATGTCAGTGTCAGATTACATGCAAGTTGATGAAAATGATAAGCAAGAAGTAACAATGTTCAAATGGGTAAACAGAGTTCATTTTGGGACAGTTTTAATCATTCTTTGTTCAGCAACTTTTAATATTGTCCAAATGGCTGTGAGTAAAACTGAGTTGGAAATTTTGGATATACGATATTGATAAATCTACTATTTTTGTTGTTTATATAGATTTATAGTAATGCATTAGAAAGTAAATGATTTCAATAACTAAACCCTTAGTGAAAACATAAATAGCTAATTATTTATTTAATTTGAGAAATATTAAACAAATAATATCAATTCAATATTATGGAACCAACAGTTTTGTAATTATTTAATTCGATATCATCTTCTAAAGTCTTATGATTCTCTTGCACACATACATCTTAGATCTCGTCTAATTAAGTGACACTTGTCTATTATTAATCCTGATCTTTCCTTTCTGTTTCTCGATTCAATTGCTTAGATGAAGAATAAAAATATATGTGAGTTCCGATTTCATCTAATTTATCGATTTCCTTCTGCTTTTCTTATACATTCAGAAAGATGGTACTTGCACAGTATGGCTCCTTAGTCAAAACCATGTTTTGATCAAGTTATCCAAGACCTAGTAATTCTTCAGATATTGATAAATTCTTGTCTTTTTCCTAATTCAAATACAATTAAACTTTGCTTTAATGATGCTCTTGATTATATGGATATAGCCAAGGATGCAAAATGAATTCTAATAATAGTTAGTATTTTCATACCTTTTGATGTTAATCTTTTTTCTGGTTCCTTTCGTAATAATCGTTTTAATAAATCCTATTGCAATTAGTCTAAGGATTCAAATTTCGCAGTATTCTCCACATTATAATTTGGATCGCATATCATTTCAATTGTATCTATAATTTGATCTTGTTAAAATGGTAAGCCATAACAAAATAGTTAATATACAATAACCCCAATAGCCCATATATCGACTGATTAATTAATTTTTAAATACCTTTTTAATTGTAGCCTCCTCCAGCAAAGATTTCAGGTGCCTAATAAAATAATGAACCAGTCCTTGTCCACATCTCAATATTCAATGTAGAATTCCTAGTTTTAGTGACAAACTTTTTTGAGACTCCAAAATCAATTATTTTAATTTTTGCGTCATCATCAGTTATTTATACTAAGATATTATCTGGTTTTAGATCTCTGTGACATACACATTTGCTATGAATTTTATCTATTGCTTTGGCAAGTTCAAAAATCAGTAGTTATTGCTATTTGATGGAGAGTGTAATTTTTTATTAAATAAGTTTGTCTAGAGAAGGATATGGACATAATTCCATAACAAAATGGATTTCTTCTTTAGTAACATTGATGAATAGATCAATAGCCTTGATCACACATTGCAAATCATTAAGCTATCTATTGATCTTAAAGGTTTTCTTAATTGTACTAATAATTTCTGGATCCCCAGTGCGAAATATTTTAACCGCATACTGAATTGTATTACATTCTAGTTTTTTGTAACATAGTTTAACAATCCCGTGTGCTCCCTCGCCTAATATACTAAATTCAATTACCAAGTCTCTTATTCTTGTAGCAATACACTTCATTAAAATTTTTGTATAATGTTATTGAGGGTGTTTCATTTATTTAAATAGTGTCATTGCAATTGAATTGATGTTTTTTATCTTTGAATAAGGTCTGTTTGAGGGTTTATCTTATTTAATAGGCAGTTTTGGATCTCATTGGTTACAAAATTTTAATAATAAGGGATTTATTAAAATATAAGAATTTGTGAAAGAGAGAAATTATAAATTTTGAATTAATCATTTGTGGTCTTCATTAATTTATTTGAATTAAATGGTTTTCTTATTGCTTATGGAATTTAAATGTCTATCTCAACTTATCTAAAGCAGTAACAATTTTGGTTTCAATTGTTTAATTTATCTCTTCATCAATCTAATTAAGCTTTGTAATAATGTCTTTCATTTTCTCTTCTGAGAAATGAGGTTCCTCTTCGTCTGACACTTCATCAGTTGATCTATTTTCAAATTAAAAGTCTTGCCATTCATTATTTTTATCCTGATTTTCAAGTTACTATTCTATTTATTCGCTTTGCTCTATATTGTTTGATGGCGGATTTGTAAAATCAAGTCCTTTTGTATATGGGACTGTATCTAATTTCAATTACTTCAAACGAGAGTGATAGACATTACATGAAATTTGATTCAATATTTTAGTATTGTTCAGATATCTACAATATTTAAGCCAAATGCATACTTAATAGCATCAATAGCAGAATTTACTTCATCATATTCAATAAAGACTTTAGGTTAACAATTAGCCTCTCTCAAATATTAATATCTATATTTAATATCACAATATCATCGAAAAGTAATACTTTTGATATTGAACCGTGTTTGGAGAAAATCTTGAGCAACGACTGGTTATTGATTTAAATATTATTTTGGGTAGTCTTGAGACAAACCAAAGCAACTCTAGTTGGCGTTGGATCTCTCTTTTTTTTCCTTTAAGACATTATATAATAAATTAATTAATGTTTTTCTCACTCTCTTCAATACGAAAGCCTAAACAGGAATTCAATTTATTACATTTGGAAACTCAAGAATACTACTTTCTATCCCTCAAAGTCTCACTTCACAATAACAATGAGTAATGATATCCATTTATGAATAGAATTCGTGGTAAATTGCACATCTGTTCCCGCTCCATAGTATTCCAGCCAAACCAACCAAAATTGCCCATGATTAAGATGAAATACTCAAATAATCTCATACTGAAGATTCTGCGTAACATAGATACAAAAACCATGAATTAAGTCATGTCAATCAAATGGACTCCCTCCTTGTTAATGGAAGATATCGACTCATTAGATATTAATCAATTGTATCAGCATTTCAAGAGAGACAAAAATAACGAGTTATTGGATAGAGTCTACAAAGTTCAATCCAGAACTGCCAATTCACAATACACTATCATGTTTCTTAGAGTAGATAAACTGTTTGTTATTAATAGAAATCCAATCAGTCCCTACATTACTGAAACTGTAAGCTAATTTCATTATCATGTAGAGCGATGACAATATTGTGTTTTCAATTTCATAATCAAATTCAAAATAAAATATTATCAGATTTCTTAAGCTATATTAAGGACTTACTTAAGCAGAAGATGAAAACTCATTTATCAGCACAATTATCAACACTACATTAAATGAAGCAATGAATGAACACAGAGCTTAATCATCTCAGTAAGGACTTAAGATTGAAATAGCAGTTAAATGCAAATTGATCAAACCTGAAGGAAACATATATGGAATATTTTCTATACAGAGAGATGAAGGCATAAAATACATTCCATTAATCAATTCACCAAAAGGAAAGATGTTGATGTGGCAATTAACTGATATTAAATTCTTCTTGAAGTATCGTTACATGTTCAAATAAATTGGTTTAGAAATCTGGTTCTTCAATAAAAAAAGAAGTGTTTTACTTGTTTTTGAAGACCCATAACAATTAGACTCAGTCTACAAATATTTAATAAGAAAAACTACCAAAAATTAAATCAGTTCTATCACCATTGAAAAATTAACTGAACTTTGGGTTAATGGAGATTTGAGCAACTTTGACTACCTAATGTCATTAAACACATTTTCCAGCAGAAGCTTTTGTGATCTATCTGCATATCCTGTATTTCCTTGGGTCATTGCAGAATATTAAGATAAAACCTTTGATTTGACATCTCCGCAATTTTTCAGAGATTTGTCCCGACCTGTTGGTGCTCTAAACAAACATAGATTATAAAAATATAAATAATCCTATTAAGATTAATTGAAAAGCCAAAAAAATAATAACAATAATGACATCATACCCTACATCTATCCCACTCATTATTCTAGTCCTGGAACTGTGGTTTATTATTTAATAAGAAAAATACCTGAATTTGTTATCAAACTATAAAATGGAGTATTTGGACCGACTGACCGTATCTTTAGAGGTATTGACAGCACTTGGTACACAACATTAAATCTACATGCTGATTCTAAAGAATTAACTCCGGAATTCTATTCACTCGATCCAGATTTCTTAATCAATTGTGATAAACTAGAATTGGGGATGACTTAAGAAGGCGAAATTATAGATGATGCCATTATACCACCCTGGGCTACATCAATGGCTGATTTCTTATTGAAAATGAGGATGGCATTGGAGAGCGATTATGTAAGTTTATAGCTCCCTAAGTGGATAGATTTAATATTTGGTTGCAAAACTAGAGGAGACGAGGCTGTCAAGTAAGATAATTTATTCTACCCTTACACTTATGCTGAAAATGTGAATTGGAATTAATGCAGAACCTCTATAGAAAAACAAGCTTTGGAAACTTAGGTTGCTGAATTTGGATAAGTGCCTGTATAGTTATTTAATTCAGGTCATCCAAACAGGAAACTGAAGATTCATGCTCCCTTGAAATAATAAAGACAATAGTTAAATTCATCGAGCCAAAGAAATCTATAATTAACTGACATTTAATAAGAATCCGAGAATAAAGATTACGTTACATGTTTGTAAAATTAGATGTCCTCATTGCAATGGGAAAACGAAAAGCTCAAATTCAATCTTGACACAATTAAACAAGAGATGTAATTATAAAAAATTGAGACCTTCAATTCATAATATGATCAGGTATATTATTAGTTCTATCTTTTGTAGGAGGAAATCGATAAGAAGGGATAGGATTTGATGAGTGACGATAGTACATTTTAAAAGATAAAAATTTGATCATTTTATTATTTTTAACTTCCATTATTATAATGGTTTAGAGTTATTATATATTTTTTCTGATAAAATTGATAAATAATGTTTCCAATCGATCTTGCCAAACTAGCCACCTTATAGTCTAAGGTACTAAATACACTCACATTGCATATTTATCTATACTTACCTTATAAAAACACTTAAATTCCTAATAATTATGTTAGAGATTAGAATCAGACTTCAAGGTACTAGGGAGGATAGGAAAGGGTGGATTCTCTAAGGTTTATAAGGTGAACAACTTATTGGACAAGAATACCTATGCTTTGAAAAAAGTACACTGTGTTTATAATTTTTATAGATTGAACTCAAAGCTAAAGACATAAAAGATAGCCTTGAGAAAAATATTGAAAGAGCATAGAGAGGTACATTATTTTGATCAATAAGTTCCGCAGAAGCCAAATACTTAGCCCGTCTATCACATCCCAAAATTATTAGATATTTCAATTCTTGGGTTGAAGTAATGTAGAACAAATTGGATTCAAAAATGATGAGAAAGTAAGAGTAAGATCAAAATGACTTTGTTATTGAACGAAATAACATTAGTTTTTGTGATTCTTAATCAAATTCAAGAAATGACCTTGAAAATTTGATAATGTTTAAAGACACTCAGAACGAGTAGATAAGTTATTCAGAATAAGAAAATGACATCTAACCAAAATCGAGGGTGAGTAGAAAGAAAAAAAATCACAACACTCCAAATAAGAAATCAACTAGTCAAGATGAGAAGAAATTGGAGTTCGATAAAATCATATTCTATATTTAAACTGAGTTTTGCTAAGAAACACTTGAAAATTATTTGCAACAGAGAAATAATGAATTACTGAAACTCAAGAAAAAGAATATTGAAAAATATCAACTCAAACTTTAAAAATATGAAAAAGAGGCTAAACTAATATTGGATTAAATTATTAAAGGATTGGACTATTTACACAATGAATGCAAACTAGTTCATCGAGATTTGAAACCAGGAAACATCTTTATGAATAGTCCAGAAGATGTAAAAATAGGTGATTTCGGTTTGGTGACCAAATTAAAATAATTCTATGATTTTGATGATTAAGATAATGATGATGACATTTGCACCAAAATGTATGCTGCTCCAGAACAAATCATTTAAAATATCAATAAGGCTTTTTATGATCAAAAAAGTGATATTTATGCTTTAGGACTCATCATTTTGTTGTTGTTTCATCCAATCTCTACTTCAATGGAAATGATTAAAGTAATTAATGAAGCCAGAAAAGGAGTGCTACCATCAAACCTCAGGGATAGACACAATAAAATAGCTGAAATAATACTGGAGTGTTTAAACAACGATCCTAAGCAAAGACCAAATATTAATGAGATATCATTTTAAGACTCATCAAATTCATTGTCTTCATCAAAGAAAAGCAGCAATGAATTTAGTAGTGACACAACTGATTATTTTATTAAAAATATAGGTGTTTGCTAAGTCAAATTTGAAGACGAGGATGTTTAAGAGAAGTAATTATTTAATCTTTACATTTTTAGATATTTGATTTTTAATAACAGATAAATTTAGATTTTTAAAAACTAGAAAAGTTAAAAAGCCTAAATGATCTACAATCTTAATGAATGCAATATATCTTATATTGATGATAAGATTGTCATCCAACACAGTTAATTAGAAAACTTTTCATTCACAACTACACATAATTACTTATAAGATATTTATGATCAATTATGTGAACTCACTTAATCATTCAATTGATTATTATAAATATATTTATATTTATAATTATTTTATAAACTAAAATCATTCATCCCTATTTAAAATTAGTTTTAAACATTTAGTAAACGAATTCATTTCACTTATGTAGTTATTTTTTGCAAGTTCCAACTTCTACAGTCTTTCTTGCAGAAAATGATAATTTTATTGATATTATTGACAAGATTCTGTCTCTTGCATCAATCTATACTCAAGTAACTATTTTTATCGCTTTAGAATTTGTAACTAATCTTAAGTATTTGGTTTCATAACTGCACCTGTTTATTATTCTAAATCACTATTTTAACTTCTAGAATTTGTCTGATCTGATGAACTATTATGAGAATTTCTATTTGCCAATGTAAAGGCATTTACTTTGATCTTATTAAAGTCAATCTCAGGTGGTTTTATTACAGTGATAGGCTTCCTATAAAATCTAAATCAATAATAACTTAATTATTGTGGAAGTGATGGATTTCGCCCTTGTTTTATTCGTTGCAGGTTGTTGCTTTGCTTTTGTCGTTTCCGACGTAGAGATGGCTGACTTTTTCCTTAAAGTGGAAAAGCTTTACGAATTATTTTTTATCATTTACAGATAATAAAATGAATGCTCTGATCAAAGAAATTTTGAGTAATTTCTATATTAAAATTAGAGGAATAACATTAAATTTTAAACAATTTGGCTGATATTCCTCTTATTTGATACTAATTGAAATCGCCAATATTACTCAAAAAAGAACTAATTATCAATAAAGTGGTGATAATATAAAATAAATTGAGTTATAATGATTGAGATTATCTATAAAAAAATTTCAATTAAATGAAAATTGATACATAAAACTTTAAATTCTAATTCAATCATTTACAATTAAATCCAAAATCTTAATGGTTGAACATTAATCATAGTAGAATAGAATCATTTCATTCAATCAAGATATATATAAATTTCGATTAATTATTGATTGATTTATTTGCTAATAAATCTATCATAAAATTTAATTTCAAGAGTTTAAATTAGAACTGAAGTAATAAATAAGGAGGATTGATTGATTAACAAACTTTTGATTAAATATTGAAGATATTTTAGAACGGGTATTAGGATGATTAAATTGAGGGGATTCATATAAATTTGATGCTCAAGAAATAGGCGAGTATCAAATATGCATATTTTGGCATTTAAAAAAAAATAATTTTAAAAGATACAAGTTCAATAAAAATAATAGTTATTGATATCAATTTTTGAATTGATAATGTGAATTATCACACAATATAGTATAACCTTAGATGATGAGATTATTTGAATCCCTTTTAAGAATTTATCTAAAATTTATATACCAACCCCGAATTAATACTAACAATTATATATATTAAACATGAAAATCAAAAATGCAAGATTATGATACAAATATTCGATAATTTGAAAAGAGTTGAGTCATCTTATACAATAAACTCTAACTGATTTGGAACTTATTCCTATGAATTGATGAGAATGAAATATATAAATTAATAATAAGTTTAATTAATATAAATTTGTTTTACAATGCAACGCTAATAAATGTTACCAACACCAAGGGAAAACAGTTAGCAAATTTACAGAGGAGGCGAACAATTCATAAAAGGAAATGATTTATAAGTTAGGAAAGCACAAAAGACAAAGGATTACAATTTGGAAGCCATGTATAAATGTTATTAATTTACATCAAAGATAACCCATATATCAAAATTCATAAGAGAGCTTATCAAATTGTAATAGTAATAAATCTAGTTCCAAAAATTCAATTGGCTTTGATTAGTAACTCAATTATATGGAAGAGTAATAATGGAAATCTTCTCACTATCACACAAATACTGCACCAGTCCATTTGTATTAAAATATTAGCGAGAATGATGCTGCCTTTTTGATAAAGGATTAGGATACAGGTAGCTAAAAATTTAGATCTTAGGGAATGTTTATGATATTAGAAATGCAGAGAAAATCCCTGTAAACAGAGAGTATATGACAAAATTGAAGAAGAGACACAAATCAGCATGGTAAGGCTGGTGGCAATAGAAAAAAGAGAACAATTAAAGTTTATTAAATTATGTTAAATCAAATAATATAAAAGAAGTAGAGAAACTTTTAGAAATTGCCTCCAAGGATTTGAAGCCTGAAATAAACATAAGAGATGAAAATGGTAGTAAATATCATTAAATTTAAAGGATTGATCCCATTACATTACAGTTGCATGAATCAGAATTACGAATTGGCATTATTACTTTTAAAAAATGAAGCTGATTGTGACTTAACAAACTCCTAAGGATAAACGGCATTAAGTGTTTGCGCTTAAAAAGGATGTGAATATATCCTCTCATTATTATTGACAATAGGTGCTGATATTAACCATATAGATAATCTTTAAAATACGCCGTTACATTATGCTTGCTATTTTTGTAAATTACTCATTAAACTTAGAACACAAGAGAGTTACCGAGATTTTATTGGCTAGACCTTCAATAATGATAAATATTAGAAATCTGGATGGCAAAACGCCTTATGATTTAGTCCAACATTGTCCAATTCTCAAAACACTGTTTGATAAACACCTGAAGGTAGTGAATCAACTTAATTAAGATGAAATAAGATTCTTTTAACTAATGTTAAAGAGTTAGAATCTTTGAAGAGACTACTGAAAGAGTAATCACTTCTCCTAATAGCAAATAATAAACCAATGCTTATCAAATTTTAAGTCGATGCTAGTCTCCTTAAAAAATCGAATATATGAATTCACATTCAAATAGATCAACAGCATACATCCATTCCTGCATAAGATTATACTGAAGTAATTGGACCATCTTCAATTAGAATAATATTACAAATAGGTAAAGGTTCATTTGGGAGATGTTTATTTGGTTGAAAAGAGAATAACTGGTAGACCTAATCAAGGACCAAAATTAGCTATGAAGGTTTTGCCTAAGAACAAATTCCTTGGATAAAATTTATTAAGATACGCACTAACCGAAAGAAATATTCTGTCTTATTTGAATCATCCATTCATTGTTAAACTAAGATATGCATTTCAAACGAATACTCATTTATGTTTACTCATGGACTTTTGTCCTGGTGGTGATCTGTCTAAATTAATTCAAAGACAGCAAAGATTGTCAGAATAATAAGCCAAATTGTACTTTGCTGAAATATTGACTGCTTTAGAACATTTACATTCAAATGACATAATCTACAGAGATTTGAAACCTGAGAATATTGTTATAGATTAATATGGACATGCAATGCTAACAGATTTTGGATTATCGAAAGAAGGGATACATGACAATTATGGAGCCAAGAGCTTTTGTGGCTCTATGGCATATTTAGCACCAGAAATGCTTAAAAGAGTAGGCCATGGTAGAGCTGTCGATTGGTATCATATGGGTATTCAATTAAATTTATAAGAAGGGATCTTATTATATGAAATGATTACTGGTCGACCACCGTATTTCTCAGCCAATAGAGATGAAATGATTAACAATATAGAATAGAATAACATTCAATTTCCAGATACAATTACCAAAGAATGCAAATCTATTATTTAATCCTCTATTGATCAAAAATCCTATGTAGAGATTAGGTGCCTCATAAAGAGATGCCGATGAAATTAAGGATCATCCATTTTTAAAACAAATAAATTGGAAGGATTTATTGAATAGGTACTCTTTAAGTATTAACTTAGAAAATACAAACCACCAATCCCAGTGATAAATGAAGAGATACTTAATTAAAAATTTGATATTCCTTTTGATTTTATACTTTCTGCAGATAAATCTAGTGCAATAAATTACATCAATGGGTGGTCTTTTGTTAATAATGACTTTGTGCAGTTTTGATTTATTTATATATATATATATTTATTATTAACTCAGTAATTAGTATATTGAAATAATTCATCTCTATTTTAGCTATCATTAGGTTGAAATGTCCAATGTTGACTTTACTATTACATTTCAAAAACCTTTTGTTAGAATTCTTGGATTAACTCCGCCTTTTATTGCAGTTTATTGAGATATTGTTTACAAATAGGATTGTAAGTCCTTCTAATTCTCATAAATTGTTATTTCTTTCATTTCCTAAAATAGTTTAAATTATTTTATACTAATTTAGATATCTCAATAATTTTATCTATTAAATTCTTGTGATCATAAACTATGGAGGAACAATTAATATGTCCTGGTCGATATGATTGTTAAGTGTTTGAATAATCAAACTCTTCTTCCAATTCTTAACTTTGTTAGACAGCTTATTGATTTAATTGTCGAAATCCTTATTCCTATTATGATTGATAAGGCGATTCACTAAATAGATCACTGTAAGTAGCAGTTTAATTAATTTAGTGTTATTAAATCAATCGATTATTTTGATTAAGAGAAATTCTAAGTTTTTAAGAACAAATTATTTTAGTTTTTATCGAAATGATCGTAATCGTGATTGTAAGTACTTTCAGAATTTACCCTTTAATGAGTTGGAAAATAATTATTTGGATTAATTTATTAAGTCTTATTGAAATTTACATTAATAGATGGAATTGAAGCTAAATTAAACTTATTGATAGCAGAAGAGATATCACTCTTTCTGATCTCTTTTTATTAATTGAAATTCTGATTATTGAACATTTAAGTAGACTGATGTAATGGTTATAATGATTGTCTTTTAATATTTGAAATTGGACTGAAATTTCTCGCATTTTCTTAATCTTCTTCTTTATTAAATTGTTTTCTCGTAACATTTTCTAAAATTATTAAATAATGATATACTTGTTTATCTAGCCAACATTAATTCTCTTTACATCAATTCTCCTTAAAAAATTCTGTTTTCAGGTTTTTTTAACTCTTTCACTCTATCTGCATACCTAAGAGTATTAAGAGTATGTTCGCTACTATGAGAACTCGGAGATATATTTCCAATCATAACAGTTTTACAATTACCAGTCAAACTATCTTTTAATACCAAAGTTAATTTCGATCCTCTAAATGGGGTATGGTTTTTATTCAAATCCAATGCTCTTATGCATTCTTTCAATGCTAACAATGACTTGTTAATTTCAGCCCCATCTATTCTGGTTTACTTGTTTTGATCTTAAACATCAGCTCCTCTCTCACTACCAGCTAAATCAATGAATGACATCTTTCCATGCAGTGTCTTCCCTGATTTTAAACTCACTTATAGTATGGCATGGGACCTTGATGATTCTGAATTTGAACTATTTGATGCTATTATGATTATTGATTATTTATACCTGTAATTCTAACATTCTACCCCAACTAAATGAATTGCATTAATTATTAAACAGAATTTATTTTTTTCTCCATTAAATTTATCATATTCACATTCCCATTTGCATCCTCTCTTAATTAGATTTAATTCCTTTAAGATAATAAATCAAACAATTTTCCACAATAAATTTCAAAAAATGAAACATACACTTGAAGATGAGTATATTCTTCCTAAATTGTGATAAATTTAGTAGTTTTACCATTTCAATTATTTAAAATATATCTTAACCGGCCAATAAATACATTCCAGGTATTTGTCTCTCAATATCTCCTATCATTGTGTATGTCTTTCCACTTCCTGTCTATCCATATGCAAAACAAGTCACTTTGGCTCTTTAAAAGGCTGCACGAATTATGGGTCTTACAGCATTGATGTAAACTTATTCATTCGAATGATTTTAATTGAAAGTAAGATCAAAGTTAAATTAATGTTCTTCAATATACTTGGTGAGGTCTACTTTTTATCTTCACTCAATTAATTTATTTATCTTACTTAATTTCTTTAACGATCACACTGTTATCGTTTTGCACAATTATTATGTCTTCCTCCTTTTTAATAATTTCCTTCTATGATAGAGGCCTTTTTCTTATAGCAACAACTATTCTATCAGCTACATCCATCATTCTTTCTGAAATTGTGATTAAGAAAATATAATATAAAAATTAATTTCTCAAACAACTATTTGTTCACATTAAAATCCTCATTTGCAATTTTAATTGCTACTATTTTCATAATGATAAAGCCATTCAAAATTGATTATCTTGTATGATTCCTATATTACTCTTAAGACAGATTCTTTTTTAATAATATAATTATATTTAATGTTATTGTTTCTTATATATATTACATAAAGTCTAAGTTATTTGATATTTGAATAAAATGGAAGAATTAACAATTCATTACATATTGATTTGAATATTACAAAAGAATAAAAATAGCTGTTGGATAAGGACTATTTATGGTTTGATTTTTAATTTGATTTTCCAACACCTATATCAATTGAACTTGAGAACACTATTACCAAATTAGATTAATTACTTCAAGTGCAAGTAGATGATGCACAATACGGTCTATTTATATGCAAAGACTTTTAATTATCTAATCAGAAGACTACAATGATCCTTGATCCATTACCGCAGTATTAAGAATAATGGTATAAATATAAAGTTAATGTAAATAAATATCCAAGAATACTCACCAGGTTCTAACCTGAATTAGGTTTTACAAAAAATTCATCGGAAGTGATTTATAGTTTGAATATGACTTATGAAACTTCTGGGTTTTATCAAATTGAAATTAATTATAAATATGGGTCTGGAAATTTGGAACTTTAAACTTGTAAAAGTAATGTTTGCAATAATTAAAATAATGAGACCAAATTACTCCTAAATTTTTCATAAATAGAATGCACACTGATTTTAAAGGATTATTATTAGGATCTATGTAGCCATCAACTTAAAGTAACTACCACCAATGCCACCTTTTATTACCTTACTTTTAAACACTATAGTTCTGCTAATGTCTAATTTATAAAACCTAATAAAATATCGTAAATTGAGATAGTGAACAAGGAAGCTTCCCTCGTATTGGATGATTTAAACTCGCTTAATTTTATCTATACCAATTAAAAGATAAAAGCAATCCAATACTCAGAAAAGTCCAGAAACTAATTTGAGAGTAATGTTATCATTTTGGCTAAAGAAGAATAAAATTTGCAAGATTGGGATTAAAACTTCTATCTCTAGTCTAACGCACACTAAAATCTAACATTACAATATCTTAATTCAATTTAAACTCTATATTTGAATTCAAATTTTAGATTAGAATAAGAGGAAGATTCCTATGCTTTCTATTGTGTCGATACAATATTCTCTGAATTTGTATTTGAGCTTTTTGTTTATGATTATGAACTTCTAGTCTAAATTTATTTTTCCAATAACACCCTCTATCCTAATGAACATCAGAACGAATTCGAATTAATAGAATCAAATATCAAATCAATCAAAATGAATGGAGATACTAAAATGTATATTGGTATTAAAACTAAACAAAAAGCCCTTGAATATTAATTACATATAAGAGAACCTACTTTCTATTTTTTAAATCTGTTTTAATTAAGAAGATTTAGCTATTGTAAAACATGTTAAATGGAATATAAATATGCTTCATAATCGAATGCAGAAATTCAACTCCATATTTATTACGATTAAATGAACTATGAACAAGATAATTCTCTGTTTGAAATATAGTTCATAGAGAATGGAAAGTTCATAAAGCCCATATAAACTTACCATTCATAAAATTATCTCAGATTTTCTCTTTAAACTCAAGTGGAATTGCAATACATTATTCTAACTAAAAGCAAAATTTAATAGGATCTAGAAATCATGATAACTGATACTAAACTATTAGAATTACAATTTAATTAAGATATATCCTCAATTGATTTTGCAGTAGAAATCTTTAAAATTTAATAAACAAACAATAATATATTTTATTTCTATTTTAAAGAAGATATAGAAGAAAAAATTTTAATTATTAATAGAAATGGCTAATCAGAAGTCGAAAAGATTGCATAAAATTATTATAAAGTTTAATTTATCAATAATGTGAGAGAAGATGCTTATACATATTTTATGATAGAAGGCATTAAGTCTTAAATAACATTTTAAGTATAAGAAAAGACTTATAAAAACATTGAATTGATATCCAAAAATATCTTTCTCTCTCCTCTTAAATATGAACAGCAATTAACAAGCCTTACTCTTAATACACAAATTCTTAATTGCACACAACTAAAATGTGATGAATTACATATTTAAAAAATTCTAATTATAACTAAAATAGGATTTAAAAATAAATCTATTGAGTATTCTCAAGGATATTACAACCTAAGCGAATACCATTAAACTTTAAATGAGCTATATGACCCTATTTCAAACATTTAATCGATTTAATTGTTTGCTTAAATTAATGAGAATAATAATAATTTTAACTTTAGCTCCTAAGTATTTTAATTATAATTAAAGAATTAAATAATGCTACAAAGGTAAGAACCTCAACTATAAAATCTATTATTCGCCATTTTGTATATAATTTTTATTGTGTTTCTTGGATATATAGTTTTTAAGATGATTTTTAGAAAGAAAGTGTCCATATTTCCTAAGAATATAAATAAAAGACGTCATAATTATGAAGATGAAGAGGAATCAATATCAATAGATGATATATGATATTATTATTAATAAACCATTTTTTATTCAGTCTGAAAATTCCCCAGTCAAAGTACCGTTATCATAATATTAATATCTATTATTGAATACATTTTATACCTTTATGACTCGATGACATCATTAAGATAAGTAATTTTTGTAAATACTTCTATTTTCTTATCATCTTTATAGATTCCTATTAATTTTAACTTCCTTTAATTTGTGGGCTTTATTAAATTTAGACTTTTAAAAAAAGACTGATTTATGTCTTAGTCTTCTATTTCGATTTATGTTTCTGTGATAGCCCCATGTTTTTTATTTTCAAAAAATTCTCCTTCATAACTTTAATATATGAGCTAAAAAATACATGCATTCATAGGTTGGAGTACTTTAAACCAATTTTCCTTTGCCGTGCATCATCCCCTTGTATACTTCTCCTTCGTAGTAAGTATTTTAATCCAATTGAATCCTCCCTTATTACTTAAGTTCTTCAACTCTAACCTTAGAATAATTAATACTTTAAAACAGACATGGTCTTAGGATTAGGTAAATCTACAGGCTTTTCAATCTCAATTTATTATGATATATTGCTCTAAGGCTTCTATTCTGATATAATAGAATTTGAATTAGATTTTTCCGGTTTATCTGTTTATCCATCTATGATTGAGGGAACTTTTGTTTCTTTTTCTGTTTGCTGGGTAGATGAGCCTAATGTTAAGATTAGGAAGGCATTTTCCAAATTCATTTAAAGATTTTATATATCACTTTCACAATTTTCCAAGTCGACCTTTAGTTATTCTCTAAAATTAAGAACTTCTTGAAGTTTTTCGTTGTTGAAAATAAAGTATTCGATCTTTTAATTAAGTGTTTCAATCAAAGAAGAGAAATGGTCTACTTTTAATTAAATTTAAGATTTCAGGTCAAATAAAAGCTTCTCAAAATTTGTTTGCCATTGTTTTAGGTTGAATAAAGCACCATAAAGGTGTTGGACAATTTCTGATGAATCTAACTTTTCTCGAATTTCTTTGTTGATTTTTTCTAGATCCTTCAAAGCTGTAAATGATTATTTTGGTAGATCCGATTCAAATTAACACATTGCGCAGCATAGAACCCATTGATTATTTTCTCTAATAACAAAGGCTACTGGTTAGTTTTCGTGACATTCTTTTATGCAATATTTAAAACTCATTAATATTATATATTATTTTTATTATTTTCATTTTGATACGAGTAATGTTTATAAATAATCTTTATAAAGATTATATAGGATTTTAATAAAAATATAACTTAAATTGATAAATTCGTAAAGATTTAAATATCTTTAGGAGTACACTATATTGATAGTTTGAATGACTTAAAAAGATATTTTTTATAAAAAGGTGAAATAAAATGAATGGCAGACAGGAATTAATTACTAAAGTACGATTAGATTTACTATGAATTATACATTTTGGATATTCCATTTCAATAAGAAAATTAGTTTCAAAGTCCTAAAAATGTTTTTGTTTAATAGTGTTGTAATAATGTTTAGAAGGTAAAAAATAAATGTTAATTTAATGAATATATGAATATCAAGATGCTTAAAAGTCAAGATAGGCAAAATATTTTTATTGATTTATTATTGATTATAAACTATCTTAATAATTTTGCCACTTTGGCTTTGGCACGAAATCTTGTTGAATTTTGAAGAGATGGGAATTCTGCTATTCCAATTTCTATTTAGCAATAAGTTATTTAATTTTAGTATTGTTCCTTATTTACTATAAATATTTGTTATTTATCGTGGAATAGTCAAAACTATATTATAATTTATTGATATTATCATAGTTCCTTGGAGTATCCTACTTAGACCATCTCCTCTTGGGGTTTTATTCCAAATCTTAGTTTTTATTTTGAGATGACTTTCTGCTTTGCTTTTCATATTTTCTTTAATTCATTTTAATATTTTATAATAAAGAAAGTTTATATTCTCACCTCACATTAGATCTTAATTATGTATAGAACATTCACATATTATAAGGTAGAAAGTAGTATTTCACTTAATTAAAATAATAATTATATATTACAAAGTGTTCAGTTAGTTAATTAATTCAATGAATAAAGAAGTCGAGATATTAATTGTTGAATTGAAGGTATTATTTAATATAAAAGTGAAGAATAGTAAAATAAAAGAAAATTTATTAAAAAAGATTTTAATGAATGTTTATCTTTAGTTAAATTAAAAAGTCCATATAAATTCAAAGAGAACATGAGTAAACTAATTTTGATGAAAGAATGACGTAGTATTGGATTGAATGTTTAACTAGATTTGCATAGTTAAATTAATAGGTCGCATTATGATAATGAATGCTGAAATGATTCAAAAGACAAAAAGAGCATACCCCAATTTGGAATAAAAATGAAAATTGATATGAATTTACAATAAAACAATTAATTAGTACAAGAGATAATTGATAATTTAAATAGAAAGGAATATAATTAAAAGATGGGACTACAGAATAGTATGAGGGATTATGTAGTCAAATTTTAATTACTTATAAAATGGAATTAGAGATTACATTAAATAGAACCACAGGAGTAAATAACATATTATGTCAAATTGTAATTTCATTTGAGGAGGTAAGATTTCAATTAGATTGTGGTAAAATTGTAGTGTTATGATGTTAATTATAATAATTGTGATGTACTTAAAACAATACTTTATAATATCAAAACAATTCTAATGTACCCTATTCCTTTTCCTTTTTCAATGTTTCAAAATAACCATAGATAATAGTGACCGAGAGCAAAATACCAGTTCCTATGAAAATATAGACAGAATAAAATACCTGATCCAATAGCTCCAAGAAAATCAGCCATGATAGTAAGAGCTCCAATGCACATACCACCAAATGAAGCGGCTATTGGAATGTATCTCTTCAGGACTTCTTTCATAGATGAGTCTCTGTATCCTACAATTTACATGTCTTATTCTTTCAATTATTTGGCAACCTAAGTATAATTATTAAGTAATACATCTTTAGGTGAGGATCCAGATACATCAATCCAAGTTTTGGAGAAGACTGCACAAGTTCCAAGTATGAAGGCAGTGTAAAGGATAGTGTGGATTGGATCAAAAATTGCTTCTGAAATTGATCTTGGTGGAGATACATAATAGACTAATCCACCAACTGGGACTGTTTGTCCATTTTCTAATTCTTACCAATATCCTAATAGACGGATTAAGAAGTTTCCTCTGAAATTTCTATAGAGGATTTAGGATAGGAAATAAAGGTTTGAAACAAGTGCAGTTTACAAAATGATTGGGATGTTGGAAGTGTAAAACAATTTAATGGGATAAGATGTCAATCCTCCTCTAACTTTGTTATTTTTGATGGGAATATCTACTTTGAAGCCTTGGAAATAAATGACAATCAAAAACACAAGGACTGTAGCCAATAAATTAGTAAGATTAGGCAAAGAGTCTCTCAAGATGGCTGATTGGATAGCAGCTATTTTGTCACTCTAAATGAAGAGTCCATGCAATAAGGCAATGACAGCGCCTTCATATTCGAGTCCAAGTTATGTTTTGTGAGTGATAGGGGAGAATGCTTTCCACATGATGTTTTCGCAGATGTTAATAGCAATGAATAATGAAGTTCCTGAATTTCCAATTCCATATCCTTTAGAGAGTAATTCATCGATCATGATCATGACGATTGCTGAGAAGACTAATTGGATTATGATGAGGATGGCATTTCCTGCTCCCAATTTGTCTAAATCTCCATACATTCCTGACCAAACATAAGCAAAGGCTTCTCCGAAAGCAATGAGGATTCCCAACACTAAGATAGACAAAGTTGATTACATTTTTGTGCTCCAGAATAAAGTTATTTGTCTTCTTTGACATTTTAATCAACATCAATCAATTTGGCACCTGCCAAGAGTTGCATAATCATTGAGGCTGTGACCATAGGTGAGATACCTAATTCCATCAAAGTACCTCTATTCGATGCTAATATGACTCTCATCCAATAGAATGGATCACCAGCAGAAGATTTGTATATACCATAGAGTGGAATTTGGGAGCAAATCAGATAGAGCAAAGTTGCAATGGCTGTCCATAATGCTCTGTATTTAAATAAGATCTAAAATCAATTTAATATAGGTACTCTTCTTTCAGGCTCAGCCACATCTGGAATGATGGCCATGGCTGGTCTCATATAATTGAGGATCTTGGTTTTATTTGTCATTTTTATTATTGTACTTTAACGTGGTTATTTTTAACATTTATTGAACCCCAAACACACGTGTGAATTGAATTAATATTATAATTTTAATAATAAATTCTCATTTCAAAACGAAAACCTGACCAAATTCTCCATTCTTGCCTCATAGAGTTCTTAATGTTTTGATATTTTGAGCTGCTTCAATTATTCTAAGGCAGTCTCCAGTTTAGTTATTTTTGAAATCTGAGGCACTTTAATATCAGCTCTGTGCATGACTATCAATTCCAATTTGCAGCCAAGTTGCCAATAATACTGTTTACCTGGAGATTGTTCAAAGACAGAGAATATCATGTTGGCATATGGGGTATCTCTTAAATAGAATTTAGATAGCAATTTATTGTAGATCCTTTCATTGGCGCCGTCTCTCTTCAATTACTTATTATGCAAGCCATACACAGTTCCTGATTAGCCGTAAATGTCGTAGTCATTTAAACCAAAACTCTTGGCCAACTCCACTATTGTTCCAAATATTGTTGTATCGAAATTGCAATACAAATGAAGATAGACATTTCTTGGACTGCAATGATTACAAGTTGGATAGGGTTCTGGAAGATAAGTGGGAGCTATTTTATCGTAGGTAGGTTGAATCCAATTCATTCTTAATTAATTCCAGTTCTCTTCCAACACCTTCTTACTTTCAGACACTTAGATAGCAGCAGCAATAGCATTTGTACTTGCAATAGCAGGAATAATCTTTCCTCCAATTTGTCTGACTTCATTGACACTCAAGTATTTCATTTTATCTCCTTCAATCAATCTTGGATCAATGTCTTTGAATTTCTTAGTAAAATTGTATGTTCTAAGGTTGGTTGTGGCAGCAACAAATTTCACACTGTCCCAATCGTCTTTATCAAATTTGAATGAGCCCACACCAGGAGTTTGCAAAATCTTAACAAATGTCTTTACAAATAATTCTACATAATATTTAAATGGTTAAACTAAACAAATCGATGTAATAATTACTTTTATCATCTTCCTCCTCTATTTTAGATTGATCAATTGTGGTATACACCTTGGTGTCGTTCATTCCCTCCTCATAAGATATTGGGTATTTATGTTAATTGATTGCATTAGCCTCTTCATCTTTCACATATCCCTTGATTCCTTGCTTGATATCTTCACAAAACAACTTATTGAATGTTCTTAATGCCAAAGATTACAATAGCTATTCGTCTGTCTTATCGCATGAATGGACTTGAGCCAAATCCAATAGCCCAGCCAAGACATTCGATTCGTCCAATGGTCCAAACAACAGATTGTACAAGGACATGCCGTAAGTAACACAATGGATTGGCTATGATGGACTTGCTCTGATAGTGCAAACGGCATATTGGGGAGCTCCTTTTGAAGGTTGACAATTGTTGCATTGATAAGAAACTATATGATTCTCGTGATTATATACATCTTTTAACCACATTAGCTTGACCACTGAACCCACCAGTTCCTGCATCCACCAAAATTCTATTACTTTTTAAACACATCCTTCCCAAATGTTCTCTGGCTAAAGCATTGTCCAAAGCACATAATATAAAGTCAAATTGAGTGTAAAATTCAACATCATATTTTTCTAGTCTTCACTTATTATTAATACCTTCAAATATTGATCCATGAATTGCAGTAATATCCAGATCAGGATGCTTCTTCATCACGCTCTCTTTGCCTACTAATGCCTACAATATTATTTCGTATAACCTTGCTCATGCCAACGTGTTCCTTTCGAAAATAGAATTACCTATTTAAATTGGTCGCCTCTATTGTATCTAAATCCAATATGGTCATCTTGTGATAGCCGCTGTTTGTCAACACCTTCAGCAACTCACAACCTATTCCTCCCACTCCTATTATTAGGATGTTGCTATTTCTGATTTTTTCATATGTTTCTGGACTGTAGAGTAAACTCAAGGTTTTATTCATTTTTTATAGAATTTAATAAAATAATAATATCCTCACTAATTGTCAAATAACAAGTTTTAATTCCCAAAATTCTCCTACTCATTCCTCATTAAATGAATTTTTATATAAGAAATGCATATTTCGGATTATGTAATTGAGATAATCAATAATTAAAATATATTTGATCAGTTATGAGCAATACATTGCAATCATATGAAAATACCTGTCATCAATATGAGAGGGATCAGATGTAGTTTAAGAGAAGGAAGGACATGAACCTTAAGGATGAGTATTCCATTAAAGAAAAGCAAAAGGGTCTTCTTGATTTCGACGAGACAAGTTAGAAGGAAAATTAAACGTATAAAGCATTCAGTTTTAGATAGATAAATGTCATTGATGAAAAAAAACTATACGAAGTATATTGTCAAGATGCAAAATTTGAATCTACTTAATAGTTATGATCATAATGTAAGAGTGTTGGATCTTTCAAATTCCAAAATGACTTCTTTGCATGAAGGCATCAAACAATACGCTCGCTTATCCATCATCAATTTAGCCAACAATCTCTTTCAAGAAGTACCGACCTGTCTATTTGAACTCTATCTCTCGCATATCAATCTCAACAACAATCTATTAAAGACTCTCCAATTGGGAGATAAGTGGAAAACATCACTGGAGAGACTCGATGTCGGCAAAAATCACATTCGCATTTTACCTGACGAGTTATTTCAGATGGAACAACTAAAAATTGTAGATTTAAGAAGCAACGATTTCACCAAAATACCTAAAGCAATATTGAATTTAGAGAAGCAACTCAAAGGACTCGGTTTAGATTGGGTTAAATACACTAATCAGAACTACTTTGTATCCAGTATTTACTAATATTTAACTTTAAATTAGAAAAGGACATGATGATAACAGACGATCTCTAAAGATTTTGGGATCAAGTACACCAACTACTTAAAGATAATGAAGGCATCCTCTGCCATGAATACTTGATATACAATCAAAAATACCAAGATGATCAAATTCAAGATTCAATCACTGTACAAATCCCCAAACAGTCCAACATTGTGAGAGCTACTTAGAGAAATACTGAATTAACCCTCTAAGAATTGACTAGCAGTTGCCAATTCATACACACAAAAACCTTAGGGCAAGATGCTGATGTGTCTGATTGCGGATCTAATCTAATGCATATGGCAGTTGAAAATGAAGACATCGGTATTGTGAGAGCTCTTCTTAATATAAGATTTGAACTATCCTCATTATTAGATGATGCTTCTCACACTCCACTTTCATTGGCAATCAAAGAGGAAAAGTATCATTGTGCCAAAATCATCATAAATGCATCAGCTAATCTAAATATAGGAGGGTAATTCATCTCATTTATTTTTAAAGGGGAGAATACAATAGTGTTCTTAATTAGGCTGTGAGTAAAACATAATATTACCTAATCAAGGACATCTTAAATGCCAAAGTCTAAATTAACAAGTAAGATAAAAAAGGTAATGGTCCTTTGCATAACTTGATTCCCTCCTTTAAAAAGAATCTTTAAGAGGCTACAAGAATTGGACATCTCTTAATAGAAAGGGGTGCTGATCCTAATTTAAAGAATATCAATAATAATACACCTCTTCATCTAGCTATCAAGAAATCCTCTTATTCGGCATTAAGATTTGCAATTTCTATAAATGAATAATACTAACGAGATGTGTTTTCATTCAAATTGCTGGGTCACAAAGGCAATTCAGGTATCAATTTATATCTAATTAGTGATGCATTTTGCTGCCAAAAGCGAAAATATTAAAATTATCCTGTAACTTTATTCCATCAACCCTTACTTGTTATTCACTTATAATGAGGATCAAAAACGCCCTTTTGATATCATCCAAAAGAACTTCACTCTGAGCAAACTCATTTCAGTTTTAGAACTTATCTATATTAAAAATAACATTCTTAAATAACACTTGAAAGCAAATAGCTCATTTAATGGATAGCAAATCAAAGAGGAACAGACTTCATAAGTTAAGTAGAAGGAAAAGGAAATCTAATTTTCAAAGAAAAATAGTTTTGATTTAGTTGAATCAGACGAGGAAGGTACGAACAGAATCGGATTGAATAATTTTCAAATCTTACCTAATTTAAAAAGACAACAGTCACAACCACCTAGAAGACCAACAATCAAGAAGGAGAACAAGGTATCTTGTGAGAATGCAGGACCCATTTTTATTCATAAATCTATCCAATAGGATAGAAATGATATTAAGTAAATAGAATTGTAAAATCAGCAAAACAATAGCAAATTCAAAGAAAATAAAAATATCAATAAATAGATCCATAGGTTATTGAAGGATATAGAGAATATTCAAGCTTTAATGTAGACTGAAAAGGATTAGTACTCTTAAATTGCTTTAGAGAAACTGTTTATTTCTTTAATTCAATAATTAAATTATTATAAAGAGGATCCTCTCACAAACTTAATGATCAAAAATGCTACTTAATTACAGAAGATAGAGTTTGAATGTAGACAAACAACAACCCTTTCTTATGATACTTCTCCGTTATTCTTAGAATATGAATAATTTATGAAGCTATGAGTAATATATTAAATAAAAAATATTCACTTTTTATGATAGACTTTGATTGGTTGAAGAGGGGTTTCTCTGCGACTTCTCGAGAGTTCAAATGAGTAAAAAGAAGCATTGTCTTACGTCAAATCAAACTCAATCATATTATTAAGGTTATGATTGATTTTCTTTTATTTAAGAGTATTGTTCAAATAAGATTCTATACTAAATTGCATTTTCTTGTTAATCTCTTAAGAGGTCAAAAGTAAGCTCTTGTTTATATCCTTTAAATCTTCATTCCCTGATAGTTCTAACTCCTTCATAATACTTTCACTTGAATCTCTAATTCGAAATTGTTATTTAACAACCGGACTTTATTATTGCGATCTTTATATTCTTGGGGTGACAATGCTATTTTTTTTTTTTTATTTGTTATCATTAATTCTAGACTGAGGAGAACAATTAGGTAATTTTAGATGAGTATTCCGAGGAGTAGTCTTTGATTAAGTTTAATTGCGAGATGCATAAATTAAATAAATCTATCTCTATTTAGGTTTGCTGAACAAGGTTGAATTGATCATTTAATTATTAGGAATTTATTAATATAATGCTTAGTGAATAGATAGTCAATCCTGAACCTGGGATAGCCACTGAATTCGAGAATAAACTAGTTTGTCATATATGCGATGATGAGCTCGAACGTCCAAATCACTGGTATGACTAATTTATTAGATTAGTGATTTTTGTGGTAAATCCACTTGTTCCAATTGTATAGTGAAGAGACGAAAATCTAAAGATGATGCTTTTCATCCAGTTTGTGAATATTGTGAACGTCTCTTCCTTGAACGCATCCTCATATTAAGTGCCAAAAAGTAAAAGGATGATTTGGCAAATTCTTTGGATTAAGCAAATACTGAATTGGCAAATAAAAGACAACAACTTTATTCATTTAAGAATGTGTTTCACAATAATCCAGAATCAACAACTTCAGAGCAGAAGATTCAAAAGCTAGATGAGGATATCATTGAAGCCACATATCAAAAAAATTTATTATTATCCCAGCTGCAAGAAATAGAATCTGAGAAGATATAAATTAAATAATCCAATATAGAAAAAGCCCAAAGTGTAGATATTAAATAGGTGAAATTACAGGAAACAACCAATAAAGCATAAAAATCCAAAGATGAATTAGAAGACATCTAAAGATAGATTGATGAGTTCTTGGCGAACTTACCAAATTTAGAAGCAGAATAAAAGTCAGCTATTACTTAGTTGGACTTCTCCAATTACGAATAAATCTTTAGAGGCAGTAACTTACCTGAATTAATGAATTAATAAGCCATCAAATAGAGCTAAATCATGTAATAGCCTAGTAGCAAGAAAAAAAAAGAGGACAACAAGGAGTGCAATATCTATTGATTCATCTCAAATAATTGATGTATAAATTGTCCCATTTTGTAATTATAATTAAACTCTTTAATAATCGATCATGTTGACTCTATTTATTATAAAAATATATTGATTCAAAAAATGTTTGTGATTGTTATCAGAATAACCTAATTATCACTAATCTGTATTATTAAACATAATTATATTATATTATCAATTCATTTTAATCCATTTTGCTAAAATAAAGAGGAGGGCATCAATCATTATGGGTTTTGACAAATAATCATGAAAAGGAAGCTTTCTTGACAAGGCTCTATTCTCTTCATCCACACAGCCAATCAACCCTATGATTCTGGGTTCAACCTTGAACTCTGCATAGACATCTTTTATAGAATTGAACATTGCATATAGTTCCTCTTCAAATTACTCAATTCCAATGAATAAAAGTTATAATCCTTTACAACAAGGCTAATTTTCATTGTTTTTCAGCTATTAATTATCATTATTAATCTTTAATTAATGATCTTCACCATTCTACTTTTATTAATTACTATTTTACTATTATTACAAATCACTATTTAATAATTTAACAAGAGCGCTCACAATTTGAGATTTCTGAGTTACATACTCATATGTAATCCCTATATTTGTTAATTAATGCGATAAAGCGTAAAGATCAAGATCGACACTCTCACATATCAATATCTTAGTACACTAACTATTAAAATAAGAATACTCTACAATTGGATTTATTTTTTTATGATTTAATTTTTTCCATTTTCTCAAAGCAATCTAATAAATCATTGGGTTACATGGTTCCACTAGTAAAACATAACGAAGAATATATCGAGGATCTGCCTTGTCCTAGTCCTCCAAATGTGAGTTGTTGGGATGGCTGAGAACTCATGCCCTCAGGTTTCTATTAGGTTTCATTGACATAATCGAAGAAATAAGGCTTTATTTTTAGCATTTGCTCCACTCTATTTGAGATGCCATTTTTGGACTCAATTGAAACTTCATCATCCTATTATTCAGAGGGACTTTCATCAGATTCATTTGATTGTTCTTGGATTTCCTTTTACTTTTCCTTAGGTTCTGGGCCTTGAGTTTGGATAACATTGATATTAAATTTTTGTCTGGCTTCTTTGAGGTCTAATTTGATATTCGAATCCTCTGGTTATAAACTAGACATTTAAGATTAATATCTCTTTAAGCCTTCTTTATTCTGGTATTATTGATAAAAACTTTATTAATTTGAAAATTCTGACAATCTTTTCTTATTCAAATTTTAATTAAATTATGGATATAAATTATTGATTTTAATGACAAAACCAAACTCTTCTTTATTACCCACACGTTCATAATTGTATTCGAATGGAATTTGAGACAGGCATTTCGTTAAATAAAATGAAATCAAAATTGATTGTGAATACTGCCGAAGATTCCCAAGATCCAATATCTTAGACTTCAAAGTTTATGACTTAAAGAATCTAACTGTTCTCTCTATTATTTTAAGAATGGAGAAATTAGTTTCATTAGCCTTCACCTTTACAACAAAGTCAATATGTTCATTGAGAATTTGACTCTTGGAAACACAAAATATTATGGATCCTCTGACAGTAGCTTAAATAGATGTAACTAATAAATTAAGTAGGATTTATCTCAATCTATTGGGATCAGTTCTTATAAACTATGGAACATTCTATTTAATATTAACAGATATTTTTAATCCTCTGAAAATTGCTTAAGATTTTACTACATTGATGATATCAGTCAAGAACTCCTATATCTGAACGTCCATCTAGACCAAGTCCAACTTATCCTTCTTTTGTAACTAGGCATAATCAAGGATGTCATTAGCAGTGTTAATTAATAGTTTACAGCCAGCAAGTGCTGGACTTATATATTTCTCAGTTATTTCTTACGGAGTTGTATTCTTATGTAATAATAAGGAATAGTGTTACCATTATAATTTCAAGCATAGATATGGTACAATTAAGAGGCTACTTAATCTTTTAGGAAATGTCACTAATCAAAAAATCATTGTTTTTTGTAGTATTCAATAGTTAAGTGATGTAGGGATCCTCGGTGATGTCGGATACAAAAATCAAAATTTAAGGTTTAAGTTTATAGATTATTGGCGACAAAACAATCTGCATATAGCAAGTATCGAATTTGATATATATTTTAAGGGAAAAGTCAATAGGGGAGCGCTTGTTAACGAATTTCAGATGATTGAAAGCAATAAGATTATCAAAGAATGCTTTAAAGGATATTTTTTTGGTTAGTAGTTATAGTCGTTTGATTTGAGTAGGATCGTTTTCGATATTATTCTCCAAAGTAGATGGAACTCAACAATATAAACTTATACAATACTCTAAAGTTTCAGTGAATTTGAGGAACTGTGCAATATCCTGACTTCTATGAAATTTTGGCAATAACAAACAGGGTTCATCAATAAGCAATCCGAAATCATACAATTCAGTCTCAAGAAACGAAGGGCTCAGGTAATCTTCCCTCATAATTATATTGGACAACTATGGATTTATTACCTGCACACTTTTAGTCAGACTATCAATAAGATAGATTCCGAATTCCGCAGAGGACAGTATGGCTTCGTTTATTTGATCCTATTGAACTGATTCAGTTTATTGATCATCCTATTTCTATTCATGTGGTATTTGTGATATATTGCGATTTTCAGGGATATCTATATACAATTGATGAAGAGTCCTGTTGGGATGGGACAATCTTTGGGAATTCAATTAAGTGTAACTCACTTTACTGTTCAAACCCAAGGTTACCAATTAGGAATTTAGATTGTTCTTAATATTCTTTTTGTTGACAATCAATATTAGGAATTATAGAAAGAGATGGATCACAATTAACTTAGAGCCGAATATGATATTCATTTTGGAATCAAACTCAAAGTTCCTGAACAAAGAGTAAATCAGATTGAAGATGATTGCTAATGTCTAACATACTTACGATTCTATTGCAAAAACAAAGCATGCTAGAATTAGGAACTTGTCCAGTATTCTTGATATTAATTATTATTTTGCATAATAATCGAGCTCTTCCCAACAAATGACTAAGCATAGAAATTTTAAGAGAGTCATGAGATTTATAAATCCATTTTTTGTTTTGATCATTTTAATCAATGACACTTCAAAGAGCGCTATCAAAAATATTTGGGTCTATAATGGTAATCAATATTACCAATATTCTATATATCAAAATGTATTTGTCTCCTTCAATTTCCAAGGTTATGGCATCTCCTGTCACTATAATAATGTCGCATATTTGATAGACAGATATCAGCACCATTAACATCCTCCACTGATCTTTGTTCTTCAAATGTTCTTAATGAATCACAAAATATTCTTTAAATTTATATAACATAAATTAATAATAATTCAATTCCTTTACTTTTGGTAATCTCAACCTTTAATATTTATATAATATGGCAAATAAGTATAAAGTATGTGTACTCGGATCTGGAGCATTTGGAACCGCTATGGCTCATTGTGCTATCAACAATCCATACATTGGACGAGTTCAAATCTATGCAAGGAACCAAGCCATTGTAGAGTCCATCAATCAAGAACACAGGAATCCCAAGTTTCTCAGTAACTTCACCTTGCATCCTGATATCACTGCCACTACCGACCTTTAACAAGCCCTCTACCGTATGTCTCTCCAACTACTACTCAAGAGGCCAATTATGTGCTTAGTTGCATTCCAACCCAGGAGCTCCACCAATTCGTTTAGGCCAACAAACAGTACATAGACACCAAGGTTCCCTTCGTCTCCTGTTCTAAGGGCATAATCTTAAAGTCTGGAAAACTGATCTCCCAAATGTTGAGTGAAGAATTCGATGGCAAATTAAGATATGCCTGTCTGAGTGGTCCCTCCTTTGCTGCAGAGCTTATGTAAAATAGTAAACCCTTTTTCTCATGATTTAGACCCATCATGTGTTGTAGTAGCTAGTCAAGATGTTAAGACTTCTAAATTAGTCTAATTAGGATTGTCAGGAAATTTCTTAAGAATCTTCTCTTAAAGTGACGTTGTGGGTGTTGAATTAGCAGGAGCGTTGAAGAATTTGGTGGCTATAGGCACAGGCGTATTAGATGGTGCTGGATTTGGAATCAACACCTAAACAGCCTACGTTACTAGGAGTGTTGGAGAAATGCAGAGATTTGCTAGAATTTATGGGGCCTCAAAACATACTTTTTATGGTCTGGCTGGATTTGGGGATCTTATGTTGACAAGTTAGAATCATTCTTATTTGCAGGTTTTGGATCTTTAAGCAGAAATAGAGCATTTGGCATTAAAGTAGGAAAAGGAGAAAAAGTCGAAGATATCTTAAGTGAGTCAAAAGGAGTGGTCGAAGGATGGCCTACTTTAGAACTGGTGTATAAACAAGCTCAAGAAAATAACATTGAAATGCCTATGACACTCATTTTGCATGACTTTATTAAAAGAAAATATTCTAAAGAGTAGAGTATCCAAATGTTGATGAATAGAGCATTTTAAGATGAATTTGAACCAACATTTGAGGATTTATTATGATTATCATTACATTAATGCCCAAAATCAGTTATTTTCATTCTTATTTTGTTTCATCAATCTTAATTAGTTAACTGCATCACTTGGTAGAGATTGTTATAGCTATTGTAAAGCACTCACTCTTCTTGGCAACGACTCATGCATATTAGTCTAATTAGTAATTGGCTATTGTAGTTTCTTCTGCTAATCCAATTTATTCCGTTATTCTTCTTTGATTTTCATTTAATATATCTTTTCAATTTATTGTTTGGACTAAATTATAATATGAATTGATATACCTTTAAACAATTATTCCAAACTTATTGAATCGATTAGAAGAAGACATCACTTTGCAAAGTTTTTGGATTCTCACAATAAAATACACAAAGTTCAGAATATAATTATTCACATGTTGATTAAAGTTAAGATAAATCTGTTATCTCCAATAAGAGTTATTATGAGAAATCTTCTAATCTACTCACTCTATCATTAGGGAACTTCGATTAACTCTTTATTGCATTCTACACAAACTTTTACAATTTCTTTATCTCATTTATATCAATTGTCATCTATGACACTGGTAATCTACACATAAAGTCTAGAAGATCCATACGATCATTTGAGAAAAAGGATCCCTTTCCTTGCTTTTCATAAATTTGTTCACATTCTTACACAATACTCATCAATAATGTCTCTTTTCCATCCACACTCTTTATATCGGCTGCCTTTGATATAGCGTCGATTTTAAATCCAAAGGCTCCTCCTCTTGCAGAATCACCATTTACATAATTACCGATAGCTAAAGTGCATTTTATTAATAATTTAAATGCTTCATCATTTTTTTAAAATTCAAATCCTTTCTATAATTACTTTAATTTTCCTCTGCATTCCTTACACATATCCATTCCCACAAACTCCGCCTTAATAGCTTAAATTCTATCTCCCTAAGCAGGAACTTAACATAATTCTAAGTAAAATAAATCTGCTATTTATAAGGTCTCTTTATCTAATTCCTCTGGATTCTAATACAAAGACTTTTCTTAATCCGTTGGAACCACATTTAATAAAGATTCTATCACATTTAGATTTAAAACTGACTTATCACACTCAAGCAATGCATTCTTTATTTTTTCATTACTCATTTTTAATTTACCCAATATGAGCTCTATGTTCTTAGTTCTTTCTCCACTCAGTAATGTGATTTTATACACTTCCTTCTTTTTGTCACTCACGCCTATACTTTATTAAATTTGCTTAGCTGGTTTTGAGGCAAATTTCTCTTCTAAAGATTTAACATCAAACTTGATTTCATTTTCATTCATCCCTTAAAATACTGAATTCCCAATCTAATCTGGCTTTAAAATATTCCAACTTAAGCCTTTAAGTGGAACTGAAGGTTAGCATTTAGGTTTTGTTGGTACAGCAGGTTTAGCATTTGGTAATGGAGGAGCCTTGCCGCCTGGAGGAGGTGGTGGAGGAGGAGGACCACCAGCTTTAGCTCCAGGAGGAGGTGGTGGTGGTGGAGGAGGAGGTGCTCCAGTCTTTGCTCCAGGAGGAGGAGGTGGCGGTGGTGGAGGAGGTGGTGCATTTGTCTTTGCTCCAGGAGGAGGCGGTGGAGCTGGAACTTAAGATTATAATGAAGGAGGAGGAGGTGGTGGCGGAGCATTTTAAGAAACTGTTTAAACCTAAGCTATATTTTCTGAAGGGTTTGGTGGAGGCTCTTAACCTCCATCAGGGGCTTAGATTTTGCATAACTAGGGTTGAGTATGAGTTGTTTTTAATCGATTAATTTCATTAGCATACTCTTCTAATTTTGCTTCTAATTCTGATACTTATTATGCTTTTGTCATAACCTTTTAGGCTTCTATTAATTAACTACTCACATCTGAATATTTATTTTTGAGTTCAATGTATTACGAACTTTAATCTTGCAATCTTTTGTTTTCTTCAATTAGTTGGTTTAGTTTTTCATTAAGGTTTTTGAAATCCTTTTAATTATCCTAGTTACTTTTTTGTTTGATTTCCAATTGGAGATAGGTCTACAATATAAACAGAGATTACAATTTATTATTTATATCCATCTTCTCTTTCTTTCCTCATCTAGTCTCTTTTCTTTTGATCTGCCATAATTTGATCGAACTTTTTGGTTAACAGATCAATCAGCCTTGAAAGGATAGTAACTCCTGATGATTCATCATTTAATTTAACTAGTAACTCCTAGATTTCTAGTAATGAATTAGATTTTTTGATGGCATTCAAAATGATTTATTAATTTGTTGTTTCATTTCCTCTACTCTGCCATAATCCTTTCAAAGCACCCACTAAACCTTCTTCGCTGCCTTTTTTTGTTATCGTTGATACAAACAAGGGATTCTACCTTTCTAGAATGGTTTTATTTGGATTAAAGCCTGGTTGGATTAAAGAATCATAAACGTCTAATTACACTTAGAGTTAATTCTTTTGAATTTCAAAATAGTCTGGATCTGTATTAAAAATTTCATCGAAATATCCATAAGCAAATATCAATGGTTTGCTAGGATCAAAATCGTAAAGATTATTGAAATAGAAGTTATCCACTTGAGAATAATGTGGTAAGTACTTTTATTCGTGCAGGAATTGCATAGCATGTTAGTAAGAACAATGAGCTATCTGATACTCTTAGTTTTTCAGTTTCAGTTTGATGTCATCATAAATAACTGTTAAACCATATTGTTCTATTTATTATTTAATTAGTTCACACATTTCGTCATCTGAATGAGTTTCTGCCAAAGCATTGATAAAGGTGCAAGCATCCCTTATAAGATATACATTTTGTTAAACTTCCATGATTTTAAATATGGGTTCGGTAGCGAATCTCCATTTGGCTTCCTCCTTGAGATCTTTTAGAATTTCTATTATATTTTCAATGCATTTGTCTTGATTCACACAAATATCTGCTAATATCTGTAATATTAATGAGACATTTAAAGCATTATAAGGATTCAAATGCCTGAACAACCAGGATATGTGTTATGATTCCAAAATAATTGAAGGTAGTTTGCCTACAATATTGTGAATTATGATGATAATTAGTATTTATTTATCAAGGTCCTTTTATTACTCTTAAGTTATTCTAGTGATGATGTTATAATTGTTAATGAGTTCTAGACACTCATTTGAAGTACAACCAACAATATATTTAGTAGCTTAGTACAATATTATTAAATCGTCACATTTCTTTAGTTGCTCAAAAATAATTGATTTGAGTGTCTGCTCATGTAAAAATTGAAGTTATATTAAGATATCTAAGAGATATTCTAGAATTATTACCCTAATCCAAATCCCGTAATGCTGGATTTATTTATATAATTTCTTGGAAACGTAAAGGTTTTTGATATCCTATTTTTTATTTTGGGTCGAATTTCAACTCAAGATCCTATTTGTTAATATATATGATTTACATGATCATCGTACTTATAATGTAATGTACAAGGTTGGCGCTTGAACAGTTTTGCTTATTCTTAACCCATATAATTAATTATTTATAATTATAAATTAAATACACATTTTTTAATATCTTGAGATCTGTAATGGGAATCTCAGCAATTTTATTTAATTATATATACAAATTGAACTAATTAAATTTAGTATTCAATAATATTTTATATTAATGTCCAATTCTCCATCAAATAAGAGGAAGTTTAAAATACAATATCATGTCGTAACAGTAATTATGATGATTATTATTCAGCCTGGTATGTATTTTGATGACTCTGTTACCAAGATTGCTACTCATAAACGAAGAGTTTCCTCTCAAGGCAAAATATAACCAAGTATATTGGAGAATTATGAGTGTAAAGTATAAAATGTCTTTGAAAAACAATTACAGGAGACAGAAAAATTACACAATAAAGTGAAGTACTTATCTGATTAAACAGACCATAGAAAGATCAGTTAACTAAAAAAGAACTCATCGAAAAATTAGTAAATCAAATGTAGGATCATTTACAATAGAAAGAGAAAGAGTTATTTGAAACAAGCAACATAGAAGATTAAAAGAGATTAGAGAGAAGAAAGTCTATTTTTTATTAAGAACAATCACATTTAGCGATGCTTGAACAAATGAAAGAAAGATTTGCATCCTAACAAGAAATCAAAAAGTAAGTTGATAGAAAAAAGACTAAGCATCCATCTGATTCATCCCCAATGAGAGGAACTCGGAAAAAAACTAATTTAGAATGCCAGTTATATGAGTAAGAACAAATTGAATTTGGTTTATAAGAGTATTATAAACTTTAGAGAATCAAACACAATGTTGAAAAATAATTAAATCGTATGGGACTGAAAGATTCCTCAGGTACTGATGAGAGAACACGCAAATTATCGCTTTTATAAAATTCATCTTAATTATTACATAATAGTGTGTTAACATAAGAAAAATCAAAATCTAAAAGTAATCCAAAAACTCAGAATACCAATAACATTTTAAAAAGAATCAAAGAGAAAATTCAACATATACACACTAATTACAGTAATAATAATTCAATGAGTACACTTATTACATGTTGTGATTAAGAAATTGCATAATTGAAGAGAATTGATAATGACATCAATAAAAAGAAGAAAATTTAGATTAAAAAGTTCAAAGTAATTTAAAATGACCTAGATGCAATAGGTTTTATGAGATTTCAAAGGGCTAAAATGTAATGATTATAAATTAAAGTTTATGAATATGTTTTCAATTTAAATATTACTTATTTTCTTGTAATTAAAAAAAAGAAGTAATGTAAAATTCATTATAAGAGATAAAAACACCATATGTAAGGCATTAATTGTTTAGAAATATAAAACTATTTAAGCAATAATTTTAAAGTTTGTAATATTACTAGAGATAAAATTTTATTATGACTAAGTTTTAGATGCAATTTGGCTCAAGGAATGTTAAGCATAGAAAATATTGGATAAGCAGATAACTTACTAAGAATTATAATTCAGTTAATTCCTTATATATATATATTGATAAATAAAATAAATTATATTTTCAATTTAAAACAATAAGCCCACAATTAAGAGAGCTTTAGTTTGTCTTCTAAACAGTAAAGAGGATATGACGTTCTTATTATTATTCCAATAAAATTTCTCATTTTTTAATGAAGGAACTCAACATCAAGTCATTACCCTATTCAATAAATTGGTAAACTAATGACAGAAGTTAAATGCAGAGGATTCATGAGTAATTAACATTTTTTTTGGTGATTATAATTATTATATTAATTTAATATGAATACTTTCACTAAATTTCCTGAAGATGACGAAATCGCGAATCATAAGATTAAGGCTTTGGAATTGAATGCTTCCCAATTTTAGGCGAAAATGAAAGTAAATATTCGTAGCTATACAGCCACTATTTAACGAGAACACTAAATTAAAGCAACATGTTATCAGTCTTAACTTCTATATAGAGGAACGCAAATTATAATTAGCCAATCTCATTAGTGATACTGGCCCAAATGGAGAAGATAGAGTTTTGATCAAAGCAGTAGCAGATTTCAAATAAATATGTGATCTGTTAGAAGGTATTATAGTTTTTATAAAAAGAGGAGATAATCAGATTGAACAATATTATAATCGATAACAATAATGCGAAAACTGCTTTTCAGCTAAATATTAAACAGTTAAGGGAGAATCTACAATAGGAAACTGAAAGACATTTTATTGAAAAACAATAGTTGATAGATTAAAACAGAAAACTGAGTGACTATCATAAATAACAAAAGTAGTTGAATGAGCAAAGACAAAATCGTCTGGTAAAGATATCTCATTTAAATTGTAGCAAATGAAAATCGAAGATCTCAGTTCATAAATCATGTAATTAAAATTGAATGAATAAAAGATGCACAAGATATATAAAGAGGAATTAGAAATTAAGACTTTAAAATTGAATACTGAACTTGCTTAAGTCAAATTTGAAAAATAAGATTAAAATGAGAAGTTTGAAATTGAAAGAAGATCCTATTTAAAACAATTGGAAGTCTTTAGTACTAAGTTGAATGAGGTCAAAATGGAATTAATAAATGAATACGAGTATAAGATTTAGTCGTAAAGAATGAAAATGGATAATTAAATTCAAAAACTTAAAGATGATTGCCAAGATTATAAAAATTAAACTTTGTAATATATTGAAAAAAATAAAATCTTGCAATTCTAAATAGATAGATATTAACCATATACTGCGAGTTTGGAGAAGGATATTCAAGATTTAAAATACAAAGTCTTTCTGTTTGATGAGCAAATGAAAGGCAAGGACTCAAAACTCCTTCAAAAGGACATATTAATAGATTAATTAAAGTACTAGTGTATATATATCTAGTGAATAGATCAAGAGATTGAAACATGATAAAACTCAACCAGGAACTAGAGAAAATATAAGGAAGTAAGGCACAGTAGTCTAAAATAATAAGAATTCATCTCCAGATAAAGTGTAATAGTAAAAAACCAATCCATAATCATAATATAAGTAGATTGTCAAACAAAGAGAACCAATTAAATAAACCAGCAATCCTGAATCAGCTGTTCAATCTTCTTATAAAAGAACATCCATTTAAAAAGATGAATTTAATTTCGAAGAAACTACAATTGAGTAATACGTTGAAAATAATCGATAAGAAATAATGCAATCTATTTAGCAACAAAGTCGATAATCCTCGGTGGAAGACAAACCTACTCAATAGATATAAATAATAAAAATTGTATCTAATGAACCAACTTCAACGATTAAAACTAACAATGAAGGATTGCAAAACACAAGCATTCAATACAATAAATCCTTATAGACCACCTAGAGAGCTTGGACAATTTAAAATGATTTTGGAGTTTAATGTGATCTGATTGAAATGGATTCTAACACATCATCTTATTACACTTCAGATGCACAGTTGGCAAGGTGTAAGAATGAGATTATTAGACTTAAAGAAGAGTTTGAATTTAAAATAAAGTGCAGTTAAGATGAAATCACTGATATGCAAGATTTGATGAAGATCTCATAGGTTAAGAATGAATAACTAGTTGAATCAATGAAAAGAGAATTTGAATAATAGATATAATAAGAATTATTAAAGAAGGACATAGAGATTTCCCAATTGTTAGAAACTATCAAAGACAAAGATTATAGTATTAAAAGCTATATAGATTCAGAACAATTATATGAACTCTTAATTGAAGATTTGAATCTAAAATTAAAATAGAAGGATGAAGAAGAATTGCAACTCCTAAAAAAATTCCAAGAGTAGGTTGAATAACTAAAAAGTGAAAATGAAATAGAGTAAAAACGACTCTTAGAATTAACTGAAAATCTAAAATTAAATCATAAGCAGGAAATGGAAAATTTAAATAATTAACATCTACTGGATCAGGAATAACTTACTTAAGAAAGGAAAAAGCTTAAGGAACAATAAGCAGATCATGAAATCTTTATGAAATAAACTACAGAGTTATTAGAGTAAGCGAAATCTAAAGAATACTTATTAGATAGTTATAGAAGAGAATTATTAAAAACAAATGAAATCGTTAAATATTTATCATTAGAGATTGAAAATTACAAAAAAATAAACAATATTTTTAGAACCAAAAATGATCATATTTCTTAAAATTTCCTGTATAATGGAATGGGATTTCTACCTACTGAAGTTTAAGATAAAATAAAGAATAAAATGAATAAAGCTAAATATAAGTAGAGTGTGCCCTCAAATATACCCAAGGATGCTTATGCTATGAACTTTTAACTCTAGAAGGGTTCTAAAATGAAACCTGCTAAGTTAGCATCGATGACTAACAATATCTAAGATTTGAAAAATTAAAAGTCATTATTATTTATATTTTAGATAGGAGATCAAAGTTAAAATTGAATAATTGAATGAAGGAAGTGATGGACTGCCAAAAATTAATTCAAAAAATGTTTATGAATTAGAGAGATCTCATTCTGAATCAAAACAAAAGATATTAAATAAAAATATTAGATCAAGTATATTGAATTCTCATTTATTAACTTAGAAACTTAACAAGAAGATTATGTTGAAACTAATGATCCTAAAAGAATCATTTAGGATATCAATTAAAAGGAATTGCTATTGATTTAACGTAGTCAAATGCTACTATCTTAGCTGAATGTAACGGCAGAAAATTATTAAAAATAAAACCAAAAAAAAACAAATTATAGTACTTGTAAAATATGATGAATTTAGATTTTCATGATATATTTCATCATCACCCATCATTATATCATTTGATTATTCCTCTATTATTGAAGTGTATGGGAAGGGATTTATTTTCTATATAAGTTTCATCAAAAAAAATTAAATTGTTATTTATTCAGTTATTTTCTCAGATTAAATATTGGAATTATACTTGTCAAAATATTTCTGAATCATTTTCAATAATTGAAGTAACAATAATTTTATGATAATTTTAAAATTCTAATTAATTAAAATACTTAAAAACAATATTTCTAAAGGAATTCTTGCATACAAATTAAATATTAAATTTATACAATTCACTTAATATTTTACATCATCAATTGAACTAAACTAATTAAAAGAACTTTCTCATATTGTAATTTAATACTTCTCTTATTGTTTTGTCATCTTGATTAATTGCTTTCCAAATTTCATTGATCAGATATTTTATATTTATTAGTTCATAAATAAATATTATTTTAATATAAATATCTAATCATTTAAGTATATGTTTTAAACACAAATAGATCATAATAAATATGTAAATGGCAACTTCTTAAATAAGAATTTTACCAAGAGTTCTGTTTAGTATCAAAAATAAAATTTGATATATTCAAATCAAGAGAGTTGACACATTTTTCAATCTATTATTCGTCTTTTCTAGGTTAATTAATATATATTTCATCTTTTCTTTAAGGAAGATGGTGCTTTCTAATATTGATTCCTAGGACATTTAACAGAAAATATTTGTAAAAATTAGTTGTTAAATAATTAAATATTTGTCTACCTATGTATTCCAACAGAATAGTGAGAACAAAAGTGTCCTCAGACTTTCAAAATACTTGTGTATGATCCCATCATCAATTTTTAGTCTTCCAGTTTTAAGAGACAGTAATTCCATACATAAACCGGGTCGATTTCACCATGCAGAATTACAGCTGACAACTTTTGTACTGCTAAAACATATACACCTGCTTAAAGCTAAAATGACAAAGGAGTAAGTGTATATTATATCTTAGTAATAACTTAAGAAAGTGCAGATAGAAGCATTTATTGCAGAAATTGAAAAACTAAATGATGTCTTAAAAAAGAAAGTAAACTTGATTCATGATCTTACTGTGAAATTGAATGCAAGTGAAGCAAATTTGCAAGAAAAGAGAGATGAATAATCAAGTTTAAAAACTACATATTAACGTTAAATTGAAGAGCAGTAATAAAAAATTGAAGAGCTGTTACTAACGAATCAACAACTTAAGCAGACAAATATTTAATAACAATAAGAGTTAGAAAATCTATTTCTTCAGATAGAATAATATAATAAAGAATCTTAGAAACTAAAAGAAACTCTTAAAAATTCATAGACTATTCACAATGAAGTAGAAGTCAAACAATTGAGAGTAGAGTTGAATAATTAAAAGTAAGAAATCACGAGATTGCAAATTTAACTTTTGGAGGAAAAAAAGGAGGCGAACTTATTAAAATTATAAAATGAAGAACTAAACAATTAATCATAAATTAAATTCCTTGAGAATACCTTAAATGATCAACAAAATACTATTGATAATCAAAAATAATGCATAGCTCAATTAAGGAAAACTATTAATTTACTAGAGTAGAATATATCTGATTAATTTATGAGTGAGAATTCTTATAATCAACTTGTCAATGCATTTAATTCTTACAAGGATCAACAGAAAGAATAAGAAGCAAAGTTAAGTAAATTGTTAAAGGGTAAGGATTCTGAAATAATGGATCTTAAAGATAATTTTTAAAGTTAATAAGTCTAATTGGAATAGTCGAATCTTTTGGTTATATCTTTATAAAATTAAATTGAGAAGCTGAAAAATATGATGAAACTTAAAATAGATGATTTTGATCTCAAGAAATTTGAGAATGATTAAGCACTTTAGTAACCACTTCAATAACACAATAAAAATCATAGTAAAAAAATAAATAAAGATTATATTGGAACCCCATAGAATCATGCCTCTTAGCACCAATAGATAAATTTTATAGTATTTTTTATTTATTATGATCTTAGAAAGAATAATGTAGACATATTCCAATGTCAAGCCAAAACTTCGAAAAAGAATTATCATCTTATAAAAACAAAATGAATAGTCCATCAAATATTAAATTTAGATAAGAGGCTAAGGAAGGAATTTTCAATAAAAAAGTGTGTTGATTATGAATATTTATATTATATAATTTCTAAAAAGAATTCATTATTTCTTCATCATGATTTTGCCATTAATTTTATTTTGAGTTAGCGTAATAGATTGTCTTTTTGTTGTTTACTTGTATTCAGTCTATAATCTGATAGTATCAGTATTATGCAATTGCAATTTCTTTTTCTATTTTGGATTAGGACTCTCCAGCATAATTTTGAATTTTTAAAATGAGGAAAGTTTGTCGAGATTTTAAATAAGATTCTTTTAAGAACTGTTTTGAGAAGTTTAAGCACTTGTTTTATACAATTATCGGAATTTTTCCGGAGTCTTTTTTGGTTAAGTCTTTATTTTACTACTAAAATTGTTAGAGTATATTTTAATAAGTTTAGAATCTTTTTTAGCTGGTGTGCATTCTGTCTATAAAGACTACTAGGAAGCAGACTTCTTATGGACAGGTGAAATATAATTAAAAAGTTTAGGTTAGCTTTAATTATTTCCTCCAGTATTAATGATCTAACTTAAACGCATTTATTCTGTCTTCAACTATTCTGATGAAACACTTCTAGTACTCGTAATAAAGTGAGCACTACTATGTTTCGCTTAATTATTAATATTATTTTGGTCAACTTTATTCGAGAAAATTTTTTGAATTTTTAATTTGTTATCTTAAGATAATTTTATAATCTTAGCTTTCATGTACTTTTGAAATTCATTCTCTTCTTGACTACTATTAATATGCTATTGTGAAGATGATTTTTGAGTAGGATTAGGACGTTCTGGAGATTGTTTTTAGGAAGTTCTAATATTCGCTTAGATTTTTCCATTTATCAAATGAAATGGCAAATTTAATTTTAGCTTATCCTTATTTATTTAATTGTTTCTGATGACTAATTATTTTAATATTTTGAGGTTCTAAGTTGGCTATTTCGCTATTTATTTTTAATTATTTTTTTCTGTTTAGATTTCTTATTGCATTGTTAACCATGTTTCATCTACATTCTAAAATAGTAAATAGACTAATTACAATCTAATCTTCATCCTTTTACAATTTAATTATTTATCTTAATAGTGATTTGGCAGATCTTTCACTTAACTTTGTTATACTATTTAAGACTTAAATATCTTCGTTTAATTTTTCATATTCTATTATTACAGTAAACTCAATACATGTGCTTAAACTAGATTACTCATATGGAATTCCTAGTTAAATTTTTATCTTTCTATATTCATATTTTCTAATTATTTATTATGTGATATTTACTTTTTCTTCTCGTAATAATAAGTAGCAATATCTGCTAGGAATCCAAAAAACATTCTAGGTATGTCTTTGTGGTATTTGTAATATTCTAATAATTGTTAAAATTTGTTAGATTATTATGTAATTGGATAATATCTATTTTCATATTACAAAATAGAATTACTTTTTTAAATATTCCTCTTACTCCTTTATATGTAGGTTGTCTTTGAAATCTATGACCCACTTAACTGGTTTTATTGAAAAAAAGTCCTCAAAATTTTTCACTTTTTATTATGAATATTTAGTGTACAAGGCCTTCTCAATCTTTAATGAATGATACACTATTGATTAAATTTGCATATAAATGTTTGACATTTTTTGAACATTTTAATTTTTAACAGAACGGACAATCCCTTTTTCTAAAAGAACTCTTCATAACTGAATATAATTAATATTGAATAATATATTAATATCACAGCCTCATAATTGTATCCTTATTAAATTTCATAAATAGAATCAAGCCATTCCAATTTACGATAAAGTCTTCCAAAACAGAAGGTTAATAATTTTGGAAATATCTCTATTTTCAAATTATTTTTTGTAAACTATCTTCGTTATCTATACTCCAATCTGCAATGAAGTATCTAATGCTTCTGATTTAATGTTATAATTAATGTTATGTGTTTTGTTAGATATACTCAGCTCTGAAAATATGTAATTGGTAATAATCAATGATAATCATTTATTAATAATCTTAAGAAAATTATAGATGCAATTAATTGTATTTACAATGAAGAAGAAGGTATTTGAGTTTATAAATCAAATTTTGAGAGTAAATTCATCTTTTGTTAGATTATATTTTATTATTTATAAATTGATATAAAAAATATAATTTTTATAGCAGCCACAAGCAAATACCTTAAATTGTTTCAATTTGTTAAAATTTTGAATTAATTGGACTTATTTTACTGAAATTTAGTAACATTAAATCACTTTTTCTAATTCTGTAAATAATATATAAATAAAATTATTCACTTTATTGACTGATAGCAAGAATAAATGGAAATATAAATTTTTGAATGATATTTTTAAATGATTAAATCATTCATATATTCTTAATTTGTAATTAGTACAAAATAAATCGCTCTAGTATTTTGCAAAATTAGTTTATTAATAAGGAGGACTTTGCATTTATTGAAAATATAGAAATGCAGTAATTAATTTGAAATATAGTTGGTATAAAAATTTAGATATTATAAGCTATCAATTTTTATAATTCTCCTTAACAATATTAGCTTTTTTAATTATTTTATTTTAGAAAATATTACATTTCAGAATAGATTTTTTAAAATTATAATTAATTTTCACGAAATTCAAAATGCTTTCTTAAATAAAAATTTAAAGTTTCGATAGTTCAGCTGAAATTAAACTATTTATTAAACTGTAACAACTAAAATCATGAGGATTGTCTGTAATTATATTAATCAATTTTAATTTCAGTAATAAATTGTTTTCCTTCTTTTCATGATATAGAAAAAGAAGGACCCAAGTCTGAATGCTATTTGTAAAAGAAAATAAGTTTTCAAATTTACTTGTATAAAAGACAAATAATTTTAAGTCTGAAATATTAAATTTTAAATTATAAAAGGAGGAAAAGGCATCTAAAATAATTTTATATGTTTTGTCGGAGGAATATTAATAAAAATTATTCCTTAGAAATTAATAATTTCTTCATTAATAAAAGAAGGAGAACTGTAAGTCTACTAAGTTGACGTAGTGAATAAATTTTTAAATCTTAAATTCTCCCTATATGAATTTCAATGTTGAATAATTATTTCTTAGTCTACTTAATATTTTAGTATTTCTTGCATCATCTAAATTAACTAATTGAAGATTGCCACTAATATTTTCTTGAGTATTTCAATAAATTTAATATATAAACTCATTTATAATTCATTTTTTAACCATCAAAATAAGTATACTAATAATATCTCTATATATAATTTAATGGGTGTATGCTGTTCCAAATAAAGAGAGAGAGAAGATGGGATAAGAGAGTAGATTGCATAGACTGTAGTGGAATAGTAAAAGATAAAAGAAGAAGAGGAATAAGAACAGAATCAATTTCAGTGTTACTCATCAGGCAGAAAATCTTAAACTTATCAATTTAATCAAGTTGACATCTGCAACTTAGTTACTCAGGCTGGAAATGAAGATGCTCCAGTGGATATGGAGTAAATAAAATCAGAGAGAGTCAAAAAGAAAAAGCAGGAGCATCAAAAGGATGACGCAAATTATTTAAGAAAAATGGACCATGTATTGTCTGTAAAGTCGATTGTAGTCTAATTATAATAAGAAGGAGATATGAAATATTACAAGATCTCAATGCATATAAACTATAAGGACCTCCTTTACAATGTGAATTTAAATGGTGCTCTAACAACAGAACTAGGCTTTAAATATTTCACATTAAACCCCAAGAAATTTGAAGAGGCTTCTAAGTATTCAAGGTTTCTCACTTTCTTTTCAAATGACAACTATTTTAATGTAGACAAGGAATGTACAAATAATTTTAATTCGTTTGATAAATTGTTAAATGTCGAGAGAAGTTTACAAGAAGTTTAAGCGAATTTGTAAAAAGCGTAAAGGAAGTAGACAACTATTGGTTTGCAAGAAAAGAAGGCTTAAACTTGTTTAGTTAATTAAACCAATTAAGAAATGCTCGAAGTCATAACAGTTGTAGATGTAGAATAACAGTCAAGATTTTTGACAATTCTCTTCCATTTGCTAATCTAAAAATATTTTAAAAAGCTAGAACTCTACTTAGTGTTTATAACAAATGCTACATTCTTGTTTGAAATCCTTCCTTAATTTGATTAACCAAATGTATACAGATTGGCTTTGTTTTATGATAAAATGGATTATTCATTAAAAGATCTACAAAATCTGTGTCTTAAGAACCAAATGGAATTATCTAAACTTTTGTATTAAAAATTGGCACTAAACCTTCTAGAGATCTTTTATTAATGCTATTCAAATTATTTATATAGACTCAATTTCACATTGTCAACAATTTTTTATGTTTCTAAATTTAGGACTTTTAAGCTACAAACATTTGGAAGATTAAAATATTTATTGAAGTTTGGATACACTGGTGATGAAGCCTTAAAAGAGTTGGATGAGAAAAAAATGAGATTATTTGAAAAAGCATTTAAAAAAGATCTGTTCGCTTTATGTGATCTATTAGTCTACTTTAAAAAGATAAATAAAATAGGCTTGAAATAAATCCAAAGTTAAAGGAAAAAGTACTTTTAGAGTATCTCGAAGGGTGAAGATCTAGCTGATGATAATTATTTAATTTATGTTGATTAGATCTTTTCATCCTAATCTGATCGTTATATTTTAGAATTCATTCATATGGCCCTATATGCGAATTAGGTTAAATCAGTAGATAAAACCTTGGAGGATACTCAGCCAATTATTGAATAACTATAAAAAATGATTGCCGATTATGAATCCAATCTAGAATTAGGAGTAAAAGGAAAGGATCTCTAGCATAATACTGATTTCTAAAATTTAGAAAATCCATAAGAAACTGAAAATAGAGATATCGGCTTAGAGGATTCTGTAGATTTAGATAATAACTAAAAATATTTGAAGTCTTTTTAATTTGAATTCAATTCTGAATATGAAGAATTATCTATTAATAAAGATAAAGTTACGTAAACCTAATTAATATATAGAGAATTGCTTTATTCATCATTGCTATTTTAGGATGAATTTTAAATTTATTATAAAAAATTCAAAGAATGCTAGAAATAAAAATCAGAGGAGGCCTATATAGAAATCTTGAATGCATTTTATCAATTGAAATCAATGAACGAGGACTCTTGGGAATATAGATTGAAAATGATTTCAAAATTAATGAACAGACCTATAGAAATTATGAATTCAATATTTGAAATCTTCATTGATCAATTTCACATTACAATAATGTTCCAGATACTGACCATATCATAGAGAAAACCTCTGCCTTTACTAAATTAATTTCAAAAAAGCATCAATAAGTAATTGGAAACTAAAGTTTTAATGGATAGAAAATTAAGAAGTCATAATTCATCAAAGGGGATCATAGAACAGAAAAAGTATATAATGGTCTAATTAATGTATGCACAATCATACTTAAATAATAATAATTTTTATTAAGCAGTTTAAAAAATACAAAAAGTGATAGGGTTTTAATTGAAAAATTAACACCAAGCCTCATTATTTTATGCATATTCATTATTAATAAGTGGAGAAATACAAAAGGAGAGGTCTTGGCGAC